GGAGGGCCATGTTCTGTGACGCAGAACCTCCGGTGATGTGGTGTGGCCCTATTACACTGTAAACAAGCAGGCTTGTGAAGACATCTCTTCTCATCCAGTAGAAATATTACTCTCGACTTCAAGATAGCGTGGCTGATAAATGGCACTTACTGCACTTGTAAACTCTGCAGAAGGATCACGTTTCTGTGGTGAGACGTCTGCTGCACAACCTGTACTTATTCGCTCCTGCATCACAGTACACCAGTCATTACAGTGACTAGTGAGCAGGAAGGGCTGCAGCTCGTCGCAGTTGGTGGAACCTCTTGCGGTGAGTATTTATTTTCGTCCGTCTCTGTAATTTGCCGATTTCGGCTGAATGCACCAGCTCTCCTTTACAGTATATTTTCAACAACAAAAAACTGACCCGATTTTTTTATTGCAATTCTCGCCATTTTCCGTTTCCAATTGTAAAATGGTAACAGTCAGAGTGCTTACACACTGTAATTTAATGTATTTTTGAGTTTTTTTGTATCACTTATATAAAGCTTAGATTTAGCACCATAAACACTGAGAGATTGTAAGGAGTCTGTTCTAACGCTCTTTTTTTCATAGCCGATATTTTTAAAGCATGCAGAAAAACTGCCATGGAGCCTTTCTTGTAATCTGAAAGAGGAAGACTGAAGCAAACAGGAACTTGACATTAAAATCTTCAGCGCCGATCAAGTGGTTGGTTCCCCGACAGAAACGATGGTTAAAGGTAGCGAAGACGGTTTTTTTCTGAATGACTACCTCCCGTCGCAGCCCTCTGAAGCGCAGAGTTCGTGTCCAAGAGCAACACGTCTAACCAAGCTCAACAAACAGCTCACACAATTAAACATTTTAAAACCTAGAACACAGGGGCAAATACTTAAGCCTTGGCTAATATCGGTAAAGCAAGAAAAAGTGCGAAAGTAAAGCTTTCAAAAAGAGTTTGTTTAGCTGAAGATGTTCTCTCCCACTGGCATGATCAATTATGTACTGTACACGCATATTGTCAGATTCAACTGAATATTGTTACTGGTTAAAATTATGATGTACATGCTAAACTAATTACAGAGTAATTGCAGAGTAATTATTTACTCTATAAATACTTTAGTACCAGCTATCTAAAAATATTATAGAATTCTGCACTTTGCGTCACTTTTCTACTATAGTGGAGCTTGTGTACAGTAAAAATACTGTAGAAGTGCTGTTGAGAATTTCCAGGCTCAGCTATCTCTCAGTCTGTGTGCAACACAAGCCTGATTTATAAAAAAGACACTCTCCTGTTTTTATTGTCTCAGCACGGCTCGGATTAAAAGCTGACAGCGCAGTTCTGGCGATGCTCTGTGCTGTCGGTAAGCAAACGAAGGTGCGGGAGGTAATATATCATTTCCGTAATATTACGCGTCTCTGGAACCCAGGCCACAGTTCAGCACACATATTTTTGTTAGTTTTGTTTCGGTGTTATTTGTTGTCGATTGGGTGGTGTGTTGGATGAGGGCATTTTTTAATAATTTCGTTAAAATTCTTCAGTTTGCATTATTTCTGGTAGATCCATTCGGAGGAGGATACAAAACTCAGGTTTGCTTTGTTGGAAAAGATACCATTTTATTGAGCCTTGAACACATTTAACAGGTTGGCCCAGTGGGGCAGTTTGGGTTGCTAGTGAAGGAGAAGAGTAAAGAAAAACAGGGCTGTGGCTCTGCCAGCTGAAGAGACCTCCTGAGAGTGTTGAAACCCATCCTAACGCATTCGCTCAGAGGAAAAAATTCCCCAGTGTTGGGGGAAAAGCCTCAAAAAACAGGAATGCCTGAGGTACATCAACCCCACTATTCACACAGGTCTTTCCCAGCTTCTCTAGGTGTAGGGCAGAGAGAGCTCCCCTTCCCAACCAGCACAACTCACACGCTTTATCTCAGTCTCACTCTGAGGGCGTTTGGCCTACGCATGCTCTGTGGCACACCATCAATACCCTCAGCAGACAACAGGTTCACCTGGACAGAGGATGTCTTGTGAACAGGACTCACAAATCCCACAGTCCTCATGGGAGAGATTTAGTAAAATGAGTCCAGAGCATGTCTCTTTGGCCTTCCACCATAATCGTTCAGCACCAGGCACGGTCCAGCAGGGTGGACATTTATGTGTCTGCAGTCCGCAAAACATCAACCCTGCATATATCAGCCACAGGCAGTGCCTCAGTCAGCTGACAGGTCACGTGACACCACCTGCTGCAGTCAGTCCTGCAATGAGATTAGATTGTCCCAGAGCCCTCTCCCCCCCCAGCCCCTAAAAGATGGAGAAGAAACAGAAGACAGAAGCAATCTGTCACAGGAAATCAAATCAGAACCCTTTGCTCTTCTTCAAAGTAAGCAGGACCCCAATTAGATTTCCATTTCAATGTTCACTATAAATAGTAAGTTTATTTTTGTTGCTTCGGGTCATAACTGTGGTAATGTACTTTACACGCAGCACTGAAAGGAGACTCCAGAGACCACTTTTCTGCTGATAGCCCAATAGGTAATTAGATGACATGTGATAGATGTGTCTGTTGCCTTTCTGCTGCTCATGAATGTGGTATTGGCACAGAACATGACACCGTGTTTCTTAGCAACTGTTCTGCAGCCCAATGCAACACTCACAACATCTGCACTCTCAAATCAGGAGCATCCATATTCACACCAGCTCATTGATTTGCGTAAGCAACATGTTCTATGCAACATGTGCTATTTTAAGACCATGATCTTTCTTTTTTGTAAAATGTTTCTATAAAATTTTAGAGGTAACTTGAAATCAATCACTTTGATCTTGAATGACAGTCATTTGATTAAGCAAGTCATTCATTCAAATTAATGCTTCAATTAAGCTAAGATGCAGATGCACTTGAGAGATGCAGAATAAGATGCAGAAGAGAGAGGAGTTCCCAAAAGTACAAAACTGAGAGATGCACATAAATATGACATTTAATTACGGACATTTCTCTCTGTGAAAGTAATGTAAAACATTCCAAAGACTTTTGAATTAAACCTGATCTTGCAGCTGACTGGATTCTTTTAAGGTAAGGCAGATAGGAATGGAAAATAATAACGTAACAACAGACCATTTCTGGGGTACTTGATTCTGTTCAGCAAGTCACTCTGATAAGTGGGGTTTAATTCTTCTTTTCAGTGAGAAAGTAATCTTTACTTGTTACTTTGCAGCCTACGCGAACTAATGCAGCTCCCCACTCTTGACAGACTGAATTAGCTCTGTGCTAGGTGGCAGTCATTGTACAAATCCAGGTTCAAACAATGAAAAGCATATACTATAATTATTGCACGTTTCCACTGCCCAGTCCTGCAAAACTCCATTACTACTACTACAAAAAGTACACACAGAAAACACGACTAAATGCTTATGTTCAGCCACAAGATGTCAGTGTTGCTCGGGAAATTGTTTCAACATCATGGACTCCATTCTCCATGTCACTTGATCAACCACAAACTTTGCTAAAGCTGCAAATCAAATCGCTTTTCTCACATGTTAATGCGCGAAACATGTGATTTAGTGTAAGTGATTCATAGCAAACTGATTGCAAATGATTATAACTGAACACATCATTCCCCATTAACTCTGCAAACGTCTAACAACTCATATGTCAATGAAGTATACAGGACTGAGGAGAATCACAAAGCTAGACGCAAACCTTTTATCACACAAGCTTTTCATAAGGCATGAGTTTTGTTGCAAAAAAATCCCCTGAGAGTCTCCTGAACTGCAAAATAATGGATTTAAATTTTCATTCAAATTTTATTTATGCTTTTAAATGATTTTTTTCACCCAATCCGTGCAGAACAGAAGAGGGCTGCGAGACTGGAATGGGAAATTATTGAACTGAAAGGTGACATAAATTTCACTAAAGCCAGGGCAATTGCAAGTCTATATCACACGTGCATCCCTGCCATTTTAAGATCAAGATATTCTTCTTATTGTAAAACATGGGAGGACACCAGTTTGCTAGGAGTGTGAACACCACATGACCTATCACCTTCATTACTTAATGAACAATTATTTCCCTGTAGAAAACATGTTACTTAAAAAAATAAAAGTTGAACACAAGTCTTTTCAGAAATAAAGCACTATATTTAATATTGTATGATTTATTTTGCACCCTAGAATCCTGGGACATTCATCCTTCTCTGGGTGTTTTTCAACAATACCTGTCATGTCGCTGATAATCAATGCAGCTAGCTGGTTCTGTGTGGTTTAGATGAAGTAGGGCTGTCCTTCACAAGCCATTTGGGCCTGTTAGGAAAGTTGTCTGGAACTTGAGTGCTCTGCTCCAGCAGTCGGCAGATTCATTCAGAGAAACAAGAAACCTGTCCTTGGTCTCCACACAGGCCCCGGATAGTCCTACTGATCCCAGCCTGGCAGTGCCCAGAGCAGGGGAAACTCATCCGGAAGAATGATTGGAGCTCACCAGTGACAGAGAGAGGGGTGGCGTGCTTTATCCACTAATGAGTGCCATCTTGCCCCTGATGTGAATTTGTGAAGTTTTTGAAGTCAGCCAGTGTGTCAATGATGACGTGGAGAAGAATCTCCTTTAACACTGGGACACCTTTGATGGAGTTAGAGGGCTACATCATTAATGACGCTCTTGAGCTCACAGCTTTTCTGTTCCTGCAATCCAATCAGAGTATTTGCCATATTTCAGCAGCACAAAAAATGATTATTACAGTAAAAAATAATGACCTGATATAGACTCTTTGTGTCCCGAGTTAGAATTAGAATGGGCAACTACTTGTAGAATATCATTAGTATTATTAACAAGAAACCTGCAAAGATACACATCGAATGGAATATTAATTTGTACCTGTTTTGAGTATACTTTCACGCTGAGATTAAAAAAAGGCACAAAGACTGCAGCCCAGGCACGGTTTTTAGGGTACTCGGTCACCAGCACGGACCTACCCGTTTAAAAGAGATTCTCGGCGGCGTCCCTAGGGGTCGCTGTCGCTTTTGAGCCTCCCTCCGGCGGGCAGGGCCGTCGGCCGAGTCCAGTGCGAGGATAACTCAGGCCGGGCTGGTCCTGCAGCAGCGACAGATACAGCAACCCGAAACAGCGCAGGGGAGGGAGCAAACAGAGAAGCAATCCGCAGCCATCCTTTAAAAATCGCCCCGTTTACGAGCAAGATAACCTACTGTCTGGTGTGAAGCGGGGTTTGTGGGTGAACACGGTGAGTTTGGGGTGGGTTGTGGCGGGCTGTGCGGCGCTGCCGGAGCCGCTCCGCTCTCCGCTTCTCGCCGTCGCCGCCGCTTTGTTCTGGGAAGCGGCCATTTTTGATCGCCTTGTTCTCCCTCACCCCGTTCCTCTCCGGAGCCGGGCTGCGGGGGGAGGCCGGCTGATCTCGGCTGCCCTGTTGCCCCCGCTCTTTTATTTATTTGCCCCGTTCTCCTCTGGTGCGCAATATTTTTTTCCCCCCAGCAGCAGGAGGGTTTACATAACTCGCAGGGTATTGGGGGAAAAAAATAAAGTCCGGAGGGGGGGGGCATCGTTCATTTCTCGTCTAGCGAGAGGGATCTCTCTCTCACACACACAGGGCAGGGAAAATAATCTTTTTATAACGCAATATGTCGTGTTTTCGTTGGGTAAGACGGTATACGGCGTTTTGATAAAATGCTCTTTTTTTTTTACAATTATCGAGGGAAACGTCTTAAATCGACTAATATGGGTTTAAAGAGCCGGGCAGCGATTTTTTTTTCAGGACGTTTTGTGTTAATAGTGGTGTTCTTGCGACATAACCTACCGGTTAGCGGAATGGGTTTTCGTTAAAATGGTTTAATTTTCGGTCGTCACAGGCTCTCGGCCGCCTGCCGCCGCGGTGTGTTTTGATTTTGGACGCCTAGGCCTCGGGTCTGCTGTTCGGCTGCCGCGGCGGATAACAGTTGGGGGCACGAAATGGGTTATTCGTTAATGGTCTCAAAATGGTTGTTTTTCTCAGCTGTGGTGGTGGAGTTTGTGTGGTTTCGTCTTGTTTGCAAGACGGGGAAGGTTTCGCGATGCCAATTTCTCCTTGCGCAATCGCTACCGGAGTGTTGACGATTTCGACTGCGGTGGCGTTATGTAGCTCATGATGTGGGAAAAGTTCAGGTTTTAGGCAGCCTTTAAAGATTTAACCATCTTTAAACGGGTGGTCCAGTTTATCTGGTATTCTGGTACAGGGCGGTTAAGAAACTGATGAAGTAGCTGCTTGTTTTCTTTTTGTTGTTGTTGGTACACCGTGCCTGTTGGCGTCTAGCGAAGAGACCATTTTTAAGAGCTGTGCATTTTGTGTACAGCCTGCGCTTTGGCCAGATAGTTATTTCTGCGGTACCCTCGACTAAAATGGAAGAGGGTTTTGTGCATCTCAGGGAGGATTATTAAACAAGGCTCTGCCTTCAAAGGTATTCTGTTGCATCTTGGCAAGATGCAATACTGTAACACCTTCTTCCCTCCTCCCCTTCGCTGCAAAACCCAAAATGTCGAGTCTCGAAGCCAGTGTTTTGTGCAGGCTTGTAAGATAAGCGTCCTTTCATCTGTTTTGCTGCGGGGATATCCTACACTTAATCTCCTCCGTAAAGATAAAACACTGCTGTGGAACTTTTTTCGTTTCCTTAATCCTTTTTACATCTTCCTCGTAGGATTTCTCATCTAAATTAACAATTATTGTAAATACAGCGCTTGTCAATCTTCAACAGCTCGGCGTAGCGCATAGGTGTGAATGAATTGGAGGCTGTTCTTCCTTGAGAAGTGGAGAATTGAAATGCTTGAATGTCTGGATGAACAGGAGACGCGAGGAATCGATTAGTTGTAAAAAAAGCGATATTGTGATAAAGCCCGGTTTGGGATACTATGGCATTAGTATTGTTGGTGTGCCTGGCGTTATTGGCTTTGTAACAGAATTTGTTTTACATCACACGAAACCACTTTTTATGTACATAACTGAAATAGCAGTACAGCTGCCAATTTGCAGTTACTTTGAAATGCTCAGTGGTCCTCATTCAAAAACCCCGTTTTTGCACTTAAAGAATTGCCGTTTTTAAGGCAATTTAAGGAGGAATGAATTTTGGCGTGAGAATCAAGCCCCACATTTTTCTGTAGAAGGGGTCCAAATCCTTTTTCTTAAATGCAGACCTTGCTTCTGTCACTTGTGGATGAAATGGCTTTGAACTTTATTAAGCAGTTATTTGTAAGGGGCTCATTTTTCAGGATTTGCTTCTTTACTGACTTTTAACTTTAAGTAAATGTATCAAATTACAAATGGATAAGTGTATCTGCTGCTGCTTCATACCCTGTAGCCTGTTTATACACACTGTTCAGGGGTTTGGTAGAATCTCTGGGTTTAGATTTTAACCTGTGTTCTGTTTAACTCTTGTTTGGCATTTTGATCCATCATCCTGTTCATGTCGTTATCCTCATGATTCTGTAGTGCATAGAGTATAGACCGTATACATTGAGTGCTGTCAATAGGGATGCAACAGCCAGGAAAACAAGGCAGTGTGCGGCCTGACTTGCACTGCTAGAGCATGTACCCCTCCAATTCCAGGGAGCTTTAGGCCTCCTGGAAGAGTTAAAGGCTTCTTGGTTTCTCTGAGCTGCAGAATATGTCTGACAATAGAAGCGTGTGCTCCATGTCAAGGAATTAATTTCCTGTAGGATTCTCCTAAACCCTTCCTTAATTGCAGTAGCTACACCTTTTTCAAAAGAACTTGTAATGAGAATGGATTTCGGACAAGTTCTTGTAGGGTGAAGGCCACTGCAGTGTCCTTTACCAGTGTTAATGTACTGAGGCTGTATTCTGGGAAGTTTACAGAAAACTATCGGAGAGCAACTTCACATCAGACAGCAGTGTCATCACAGTGATGCCATCCCATAATTCATACTGAAATACAAGGCCATTCCTTCTGAATGTTTATTGGCTGGTTCATTTATGATGTACTACAGAATATTACCGATGTATGAATTGCAAAATTTAGGATTAATTACCACCTTCCTTTCTGATTTCTCCCAAATGTGATCTTTAAATCCCCACCCTTGGAGGTATTGTTGATACTGTATTATCACCTGGACATGTTAACCAATTGTTTTGCAAACCGTTTATGCACATGCCCTGCTGCTTTGAAAACTACCATGTTTCAGGCTGCTGAAGAATGGACTGTCCTCAGGATCTTTTCCAGGTGTTTTTTGGAAAGTGAATGTAAATACATGTGCTGATTACAAATGGCAGAAGTGTGATACTCCAAATCCTGCAGGGCATCAAGTCTAGAGTTTTTGGACGATGCTCTCCAAATCCTTATCACTTTAGAACTTGTATTTGACTCATTAGGGGGAGCTTTGTGCTCACAGACTGTAATCAGCTCTTGATTGCTCTGTCTAGGTTGTGGCTGAGGTATACAGGCACTGGGATAGTCAAGTGTGAGAGCTGCTTTTATGAAGTTTAATTCTCCGTTATGCTGCTGGAGCAGCTAGTGTCCTCATGCACCTCTACTGCAGGTGCTCAGTTTGAGGGGATCTCTTTGCTGCTGTGGTTGAAAATAGCGCAGCAGAAAGAAGATGCTCATTAGGGTCAGTTTATTTGTCATATACACAGGTGCAATGAAATGATTATTTGCATGTGTGCTCCAGTACATACACATTAAGCACCAAACTTTGCAGCAGCAGCAACAACAACAAAGTCAAATAACAATGTAAATAAAAGTCAGCACAAGCAGTGTGCAGAAAACATCAGTGTGAGTCAGTGGATGTGGGATAGTTCATTTTAAGAAGAGACCTGAGTTTCTCACCTGGCTGGAGTGAGGAGGTGATATCCTTTAATTAGGCTTTGTGGCAGACTTTGTAGAAAGTTTAATTTTGAGCTCTTAGTCTTTCGCTGGAATACTGTTCCTGTGCACTCCCCTTGCTGCTGTTCTGTGAACTGAAAACGGTTCTTTGTGTGGAATTCCACACCGGGATTCTCCATGATTTCGGTGTCTTCCAAGTGCTTCACTGCAGAATGCCCTGACATCATTATGGTAGAGCTCGTGTTTCATATTGATGTGACATTTATAACACTTCTGTCTCATTCATCTACAAGACCTCGTTTACCCGTGCTCTTATCTGAGGACATGAGGAGCGAGGGCCTGCTGTGGTTTGTTTGACTATTGCTGGTTATTTGTCATCATTTACACAGGGATATGTTTTGTTTTGATTTATCATCACAGATGTTGGATAGTTGACATCTTTTCGAGAGATGTTTTGTATTTGAAGTCTATGGAAATCTCAAAGCATTCCTTTTGGTTAACCACACATCAATCATGTCATTACCTGGCGATTGATGTTTTATGTGCTTTCATTTCATCATTGCAGCTTTTGATTTCGGCACTTCTGTTTTGCAGAGGTTTTAGAAAAGTGTAATGGGTATAAACGTAGACTGCATGACGGGGATTGTGGTCTAGTAGAAGAATGAGGGAAGTGCTTTCTAACAGGTCAGGCTGAGGGGTGCACAGCTCCCCCCCTGGAGGACTGCAGTCTAGGTCGGCCTCCAGCACCTGGGCCACTGGTGGGTGTCTGGTTGGTCCAATCAAGACATATCAGGTAGCGGTCAGGTGGAATGAAACCCTGTAATCAGGGTGACTATTTCAAGACAGAAGTTGTGTGTTCCTGATCTGCATACGTGCTTGGTATATTTACAAAAGCAGATGTGAGTGTTGATCTGTTGTAAAGCAGCGAGCTGTGGTGAGGAGCAGTGTTCATTGCATATTGGTCTCTAGGCATTTCAGTTGTGTCATCTAATAGAGACTGAAGCCTCACAAAAAGTCCACAAGAGACTGAGTTATGAGGCCTCTTCTGTAGCGGCTCAATAGGAATGATTTTTTTTTTCCAGTTCCAGCTTATTGTCAGCTTTGTAAGTCATGTTTTCCAACGTGAGCTATTTGTGTATAATTAAGGAAAAGCCCTATAAATGATGTAGGATTTAATTTCATGTGGTTTGACTATAGCAGTTTTCTGTCCTGCAGTCTCTAGACTGATTGTGTTCTATGACTAAACCCCTGGTCTTCCAATAACTTCCAAAGTTCGATCAAACTGTCAATCATAATTCTACACAAACTCTTAAGGGTTAATGATTTTTAATCCTATCGGACGTGATTTTATGAATGCATCCTGCTTTATGAAACAACATGGTCTTAAATGGGATTTTTACGCAATATGATGGCACATCTTGCCAAAATCGCACATTTTTGCAAGCATGCAAACTCGCTGGCTGTCTGCTTTGGCGCACTATTAACCCAGCCTGCTAGAGCACGATGGCTGCCCGTGTTCCATAGGACAGGCCTGCATGAAACCCTTTTACTCTTTTCTTCAGGATATTGCACAGTCACTAACCTGCTACCGTACTGATCACGGATCATGTACAACAGATTTATTTGCAGATTTCAAAAGCATAATGCGTTAAAAAGCTGCGCACAGGGAGTGCAGGATTGGAGAAATGTCTGCTCAGGGTAGTGCCATCTCTAACGTTTATGTTAATGTGAGATTTTTTCTTGGCTTTCCTAAGCTACCAACTCGAGATCTCTACAAACTCACTGTAGCTATCTTGTTCTAGATCCGCTGAGCACTTCTCATTAAACTTTCTCCCTATGCAGATGGAACATTTCGCAGTGTAAAGTGATTCACTGGGTTATTGTTTTGACCCTTGCAGCAGTGCATTGAGTGATCACTCCACTCACTGAAGCAGTCAGTTCCTGTCAAGGAGCACGTCTGTCAGTCGCTCTGTGCCTTAGCCATTGTGAATGGGGAAAGGGAAAAATGAAATGTGATTGTCTTAATCTTTTCTTTAATACAATTGCATACTTGCTGTCGTAACCCTAAGATAGCTATAAACCAGCAGCAGGTGTTTTATTTTCTGTATGCTTTTTACCCATAAGGCAAGTAATGTAATTAATTGCAGTTGCTAGAATATTGCCAGTACTAAACAAACAACTGTGCTAGACTTCATATTCTGAAGAACTGTGTGTGCTGTCTTTTCTGGCCCTTTGGTACAAGACTGAAGCTCCTGCCATCAGTTGGGCTAGAGGCACTTTCATATGGTCTTGAACCACCTACAACTGGAAGCTCTAGGTGAAATGGTGTTAGTTTCAGTTGGAGAAGAGGTTGATATGGTGAACCAGCCTGTGTTTATTCACCGTTCAGGATTATTTTGTTTACGTCCTATGGTGACATCCGCTGACGTTTGTGGAATTAAAATCATATTTGATTTTGTAGTAATGAGGTTCAGGGATTTCAGTTCTGTTTACTGAGGTAGCTCTTTTTTTAAACCTGAGCTTTCCAGCTCTACTGCCCTATTTTCTACTGGAGTAATATGAAGAAATGGGATGTTGCAAAGGAGTCGAACATGGAGGGGTTCTGAATTGCATTCTTAAGGTGGAAGCAAAATTGCACATGGCTTTTAATTAAGGGCTATTATTGCGAGAGTTCTGTGTGGCACAGTGATCATGTTACGAAGAATTCTTATTTTACATGCCAAAGTGCACGCAAAAAACATCACAGTGAAACGTGAACTTGGTTCATTTGTGAATTTTCACATTTGCTGCTAGGATAAATTTGTATAGGTTAATGCAACCCTGGATCCATAATGAATATTTTCTCCTTTTTTTTTCTCCAAAGCAAAAACGTCTTCAGTGTAAAAGAACGATTCAGAGTTTTAGAAATGTTTTGATTTAGCGAAGCAAGAGTGAAGTACTATTAAACTGTAGTCTCAGTGGATTGGAATCCCATGGATACCAGAACGCAGGCAGTACTGTAAAGAACATGTTGGCTCTAACAGCCCGTGTTGTTGCTGAGCAGCCCTGCTGTGCAACAGCAGTTCTATTGATCTTGGCCAGTGACCCCTCCTGTCCTGGTCCTGCGCTTCCCTGCTCCAGCTCGGCAGTCAGTGTGGATGGAGTCTTCATTCTTCAGCCTTTTTAATGGGGCAGTGGGAGATGCATTTGTTCGCATTTATGTCTCTATCCTGAATATTTTTCTGGTGCAATATCAAATATTTAAAATATTTTACATTGTTTTATAGATTTGCATGTCCGTAAATCAGATATCCTCTTCTTGTAGTTACATGATGTGCTTTTTTTGGCAGGAGTCTTGACTGCTGTGGCCCTCTTTGATGCGGTTTAGAATTCATTTTGAGAAGCAAAAAAAGATTTCATCGTTGACACTGCTGCTTTTGTTATGAATTTGCTTATTTAAATCTTCAGTAGTTCTTATTTGTATTTGTAACATGGTAGGCAATGTTTTTTTTTCTCAATTATTTTAGCAATCTGAAAATGATTGTTGCCGTTATCTGGTAGGCGTTTTACCAATATGTATGTAGCACGGAGGCTTAAATTAGTCATGATGATCCCAAAATAGTTTACACTGTACAAGACGTGTAAATATCACTTAGCAGACATCAGAACAGAATTATCAGAGTTTTACTCGTTTGCATTGTAAGGAACGTTTAGAACTTCCTGTTGAGATTTCCTCTTCAAGAACGTTTCCAGGGATGTTTGTTGGGGAAAACAGTGAGTGGCCAGTCAGGGCGGCCCCCTTTCTACAGAACACTTTAACGTCTGGGCTCAGAGGCAAGACTGGCTGTCGCCCAAAAGCAAAACGAGGTTCAGCTTTACAGTTATAACTTGATTCAGCTTGGATGAAAGTTCACTGGCTTTCTTATAACAAGCAATACCTTTTTAACGTGTGCAAACTAAGAAAAATCTTAAGATGCTACCAAGTTTTTGTTACTGCCTAGAATTTAATTTGTCATTAGTGCTTTAATGTTGCTGAAATGTCAGGAGATTCTGAGCTATCAGTTGCTATTTTTTTTACCAGTTTCCAGAATGATTTCCATGTTCTGCTATTGGTGCAAAAGCCTTGCCTGTACTTTCCTCAGGCTTATAACTGATCAGTTTGAGTGTTTTTCCAGATTTTTTAGATATCCTTAGTGCAATGCAGGGGTGGGTGGTACACTTAAATTTATATGAAATGGGAAAACATTTCAATATTGTTTCCTCAAGGCTTATTTTCAATTATGATGTTATTTTCACAGGGTATCAGATGATGGCTAGGTCCTTTAACCCCTTGGTTTGAAGCCATTTTCCTAGGGCTGGACAGTACATTGTAACTATAAGGATATGTGGGTTTAACATTGGCAAGCAGGCTTTCTCTTTCACCATTATGCCATATCTGAGATGGGTACTGGCACGCACTGTTGGTGAACTTGTATGGGAATTTTAGTATCCAAGGGGACAGAAAGGCATTGGAGCCACACCAAAAAGGAAAGGCTGGCATTATGAAGGGTGCTTGGCGCATGTGCATCTCTCGGCTTCAGCATTCTAGCTTTCACATGAAAGCAGTTAGATCCAGCATGGTGGTAACGCCGTAGTAATGTGGCAGTGGAAGATGATGACAAACTGGAATGATTTGTTTTAAGAACTGGAATGTCCAGAGTAAAGCTCCAGCAACTAAATTTGCCGATTGTGATTTTAGTTCCCTTTCAGTATTAATAATATACCAATAACTGCTTGTGCTTATATAGTGCTCTTTCTGGATATATAAAATCATGATGTAAATAGGATTGCTGGTATAATTTGAGACACAAGTTCTTTGTGTCAGAACTGAATAATACAACTAGACAATGCACAACATTACCTCAAAACGACATTACCTTAAAACATTACCTATATCATTTACACTATTTCCATAACAAGGAATCTGGTAGGCCAGCATTCTTTCCATCCAGAATACCCAGCATGCTAACCATGCAACCTGAAATCCTATATAAAGCCTCAACAGGCCAGCAAGAGAAATCCACTTTGCGCCCTAAATAAAAATATACCCAGAGCTAAATCTTCCTTCCTGAAGCCTGGATACCCAAACATAAATGGGACCTTTCTCCCTGTTCTACAAAGGTGTCATTGATCAGGAGAGAATGTTTTTAGCCTTAGGATTCCACAGTAACGGAAATCAGTCGCCTGATAATGAAAAGGGCAGAAATGTCTATTTAACAAGGTTCAGGTCACTTTAGCCAGAATCTGGTCTTCAAACAGATCAGAACAAGGTCCTCACATGGCATAAACTTTTTTCCCCCCATCTCCTTTCTCCTCTCTGTCCACTCTTGCCTTCGTATGCAGTCTTTCTGCTTCTTTTCATTCTTTGTGATTAACTGGGATGGTTTGGTGAATCACTGATTTAGGTCCTCTCTCAGCCCACCTACAGCAAGGAAAATGCATCATTTTGTTCCCCTTGTTTCTCAGGCCCTGTTAAGGCGATAATTCCACTTTCTTGTAACTATTTCATATTTCACTTGAAAGTGGGTGGTGAAATTAAACCTCAGACAAAGCCATTGTTTTTTGTGATTTGATCGCAAATTGATTCTCATTTTTGACTACTTATTTTCTGGTGAATGTGTATCAATGTAATTTTTTTTCCTTCCCACAGACAGGCATATAGGGAGAGGTGCAGAGAAAAATTTCCATACTCGATGACATTACATCGCAATGTCCGATCGTTTGGGGCAAATAACCAAGGCAAAGGATGGGAAAAGCAAGTACTCCTCTCTCAGCCTGTTTGATAAATACAAGGGAAAGTCAATAGAAACTCAGAAAACCACAGGTAAGAGCTGTTAGCACCTTCAGTAATTCCCACTTTATCTTGATACCTCTGCATTGTAGCTCGTTTAACTTGAAAACTGTTCTCTCCTTGTCTTACGTCTGTGGGAAAACCTGCCATTGACTTGTATGGGGAGGAGAAAAGAAATGCATAAAGGATGTTGTTTTTGCTTAAGCTTTCCCCCAGTCTTCCTTCACCCCTGTCGTATCCTGTGCGGTGCTCGAAGGCTCTAACGCTGCCTCTCCCTCTGGCCAGCAGTTGTTCCTCGACATGGCTTGCAAAGTCTTGGTAAAGTGGCCGTTGCCCGGCGCATGCCTCCCCCTGCTCACTTGCCGAGCTTGAAATCTGAAAACAAGGGAAACGATCCTAACGTGATTATTGTGCCCAAAGACGGAACAGGATGGGCAAACAAGCAGGAGCAACCAGACCAAAAGAGGTAGGGAAGTGAATTCCATCATCGGAGCAGCCTAGAAGGTCCTGGTGTTTTCCTTGACGCAGGCTTCTTAGACTCCAGGTCTAGGTCTTCTGTTCCTGCAGAATGGGATTGCTGGGGCGGCTGCGTTTTTGTTTGCCCAGTTTTCTAAGCAGCTTATGTGGTAAATGTGGTTAATGTAAACAGGGAGGACTGTCCAACCAGTATAGCCCGATGGGTAGTTAGTAGCTAATTAATCCAAGGGTCTCATCCATCTCCGAAGTGGTGTGTGGGTGGAAAGCTTGGGATGTGATGATTTGTTAATGTGAGTGTGTGGGCTTGTGTAGGAGTTCAGAGAAGGATGCAGTTCTTTTTACTGTAGTACTAGATTTTTTTTAAAATGATAAACCAGTAGAAAAAAACTACTAGGTAATGTGCCTTTTTTTTCCCCAGTAATGCAGTTTTTGCATCCTTTGGGTTTTCTGCAACATCTTGTTTTAGTTCCCTGATGCTTTTGCCTGATGAGTTTTGTTTGTTTCGTCTCCAGTTCTACTGCATCAACAATACAGCAGCAGGAGTCGCAGCAGCAGCCGGCTTTGCAGAAATCTGTCTCCAATCTTCAGAAACCGACACCAGCAGCAAGCCAGGAGGTGGGTTTCAGTCGTCCTTCATGTTCGTTGACCCACCTTCTAGCCCTGGGCCTTTTTATTTCTGCATGTCTTGTAACAGTGAGTCATAAGAGCACTTGAGCTGCTGAGTGCTTGAGGCTCTTCTAGCTCGTGTTGTGAAAATAATTTCTGGAACAGTTTCCATTTATTTCAATAAGCAAGCAGTTGCCGTGCGTGATGGTTTTTATGTGCACCTTCTCAGACTTGAGCTGTTAAGTCTCCCACATCTCTCTTCCAGAACACAAATACAGGTGGACCAAAGCAATGGGCACAGCTGAACGGAAAGGCAGTAGAACAAGATGGTCAGTGGATTCACAGGTTTTCAGTACTGGATTGTGCACTTTCCATAAAAGTAGTGAGGTGTGAGAAGCGATTAGCTATCCAGTTGACTTCATGTAAATATTTGCTTTGTAGTTTTAGGATTAGTTCATAATCATGGCCTGAAATGTAAACCTTGGCATTTATGTATTCTGGGTACTGTTTCGTTTTAATCGGAAGTGTGGTACGCGTCACAATCCGCTCCTCCCGAGTCTTTTTTTAAAATGATCCATAAAGGTGGTGTCTTCAGTAAAATCCGCCTTGTCTGCTCTGGCACGGTTGCAGGTTTAAAGGCCTCAAACCGACTGCAGCCCTTCTCTCACGAGGAATTTCCGACGTTGAAAGCAGCTGGAGAACAGGACAAGGCTGGCAAGGAAAGAAGCGCCTTCGATCTGTCGTATGGGCCCGGACCAAGCCTCCGCCCCCAGAGTAAGATCCGCGCCACGCCTGTGACTGTTAAACTCTAGGGAAGCAGTGTGGCAGAGGACTGCGCTTCCAGTACACCTGTATGGGTTGCTGCATTTGTTCACCCACATCTGGTCAATTCCAGTGCTTTCCTGCTGAAGTGCTCTTATTACTTAAGAGTTATGCGTCAGACTAAGACGACTAGTACTGGTAAGAGACAGATGTTTTGAGAGACCTTGAACTTTGACCTGGAGATGCTATGTATTGTGGGGCACGGTGGTTCTTCTTGGGAGCAGCTTCTCCGTCAGAAAGTTCTGATTCTCTCAAGTGAGTGAGCAACAGTAGTGCCAAAATTTTCATCACTTGATCAACAGTGGCCTTGTTAATTGCTCTGCAGATGTAACGAGCTGGAGGGAGGGTGGTGGGAGGAACCTGCACCCGGTGACCTCTGTGTCTGCTGCGCCCCCCGAGCCCGAGGGGAAGAGCAACAGCCCAGGTGAGGCAGGTCCCCCTTCCTCCTCCTCCTCTTCTTCCGCCGCTGCCACCACTGCTGCTGCTCCTGCTGCTCCAGCCTCCGAAAGCAAGGAACCCTGCCTCCGCCCCGTACAGCCAACCCGGAGGAGCACGACGCCAGCGCCTCAGTACCTGGGACCACAACACCACCCCACTACGACCTACCATGACATGCTGCCTGCTTTTGTAAGTCATCTTTTTAGTACAGGGGGGTATTCGAGTGGTATTCAAATTTGTCCAGGTTAAGGATCAATTCCCTTTCGGTTTCAAGCCGATGACAGTTCTGCACGTGTAAGATTTCAAAAGTAGGTCTGAAAGGCTGGAATAGACTTGGCCCTGATATGCTTTATTTTGGGGGAAAACTGGGCATTGGTGGGATCGTACAAGCAGAAATAGTACGTTTCGGGTTGGTATGCAGAACTCTTACTTGGTCATCACAAAGTTGCCCCTTCGTGAGACCGGTTTCCTCTGCAGGTCTCCTTTGGAAGTGGGAGTGTTAGTGTGGTAGCCCTTAAAGATTAATTAGCAAGTCTGTTGTGAAAATTGCAGTAGTGTACAAACAGGGTTGTTTTTGGATCCCAGACGTGTGGAACGAGAGGTAACGCCTTTCCCTTTTGCAGATGTGCCCCAAAGAGTCTCGGGACTCCCCAGCTTCCTCTGAGCGTGGCCCCCCCGCCGTCGCCGCCCCGGTCCGATTCGATGCTCGGCCCGCCTTCAGGCAGCAGTTCCAGCCTGTCGAGCCTGTGAAGTAAGTGCCTGCGGCATGGGTTGTTCTTTAAATCGATGATAATCGTAAAATTAGTGTGCTATTCACGTCTGGTTCAGGCAACCCAGTGTGTTTCTTGGTGCAGGAGTGTTGTCAGGAGCCAAAGGAGTGAGAGTTTGTCATTTAAAGGAGAACTGTAACGCTATTTTTATAGTTTGGGGTTGGAGAGATTTGGCATTTCAAACCGCAGTAAAAGTAAAATGCACACAGTAACTTGTAACACCTCCAATTTATACCAGGAAATAGACAATTTCCTGGTATGTGCCGCACCAAAGTCTTGAGATTCAGAACGAGGCAACAAAACTTCCAGTGACATGTAAACATGCAGGCTTGTGAAGACATCTTTTTTTAATCCAATACAAACACATTTGCTCTTGACTTTGAGACTGTTGACGGAACTAATACTACATGTTAACTTGGCATGCATATCATGGTCATTTCATGTCACAATTCTCGTGCGCTCTCGACCATAGTGAGGCCAGGGCTAGGTGACGACACGGGCACTTACGGTGCTGTCACAGTGTTCACAATTTTGTGCTTCATTCAAAATTTGTAAAACTTTGTATACCGTTGATGAATTAATTTTGTCACTGAGATTTAATAACAGCTCTGAGAACATTGGGACTGCAGTTCCTCTAAAATTGATGTGATCAGGTTTCTCGGCTCTTTTGAAGGACGTTCTTCGGTTAGCGGTCAGAACTGTAGGGTGTTGGTAGTTTCAGGCCCCTGTGTGAGGATGTCTGGTGCTGTTGGGTGTGGGTTTGCAGTGGGTGGCAGCCAGAGCCTGACTCTCCTTCTCCCACAGCGGGGAGCTCCGGAAGGACAGCCGGTTCGCCCGCGGGCCGTCTCGCTCGTCTCGCCCCATCAGGCGCCCCGGCGACCGGGCGCCAAGGCCTGCCATCATCAACCCCGAGGACCTGAAGGACCTGGACGACCTGGACAACGACTGCGACGACGGTTGGGCAGGTGGGCGAAGGTCCCTCTTAGCCTGAGCCCACTGCTTCAAGGGCAGGGCAGTGTGGAAGAGTCATAGAGAAGGGTGAAGGCAACTTGAGTTGCTACCCCATGCTCCAGAACAGGTCTGGGGTTAATACAGGGTCAGTTATTGCTGCATGTACAGCTTGGAAATGCTGTGTTTTGATGCAGGTAACACCTTAGGGTGTGAAGATTTTATTTTGCTTTCTGGTATTTAAGTTTATTTAGGTTTAAGATGTTCACTTTCAAGCCAGTGACAGTTCCTGCAAATGTAAGATTTCAAAATTTAGTTCTGAAAAGCTGGAATTGACTCCAGGTGGCTTCCTCTGCAGGTCTCCATGAAGAAGTGGATTACAGCGAGAAGCTGAAGTTCAGCGATGATGAAGACGATCACTCTTGTAGAGACAAGAACAACAAGTGGTTAGTTTGACTTTTTCAGGCCTATTTGATCAGTTTGTGTGTGCAGCATCTAGTTTAACCTATCTGGGATATAACCTACAATTTATTGAATAGTCTCTCCTAGCTTGCTGTGTTAATTTTTTTTTCCCCCATTTGAGTAGCTTAACGTGTTGTGATTTCTGTCTGATGCTGGTGTTGTAAAGGAACGACTGGGAACTCAGGCGTGACCGGCAGCCCTCTCTGAGCTCAGGGGACGGCGTGTACAGCAGGGAGACCCCTGAGGAGGAAGCAGGGTGGAATGAACGGGGCTCCCACAGGTACCAAGATGCCCAACTACAGAGGAAGGCCAACGGCTGGGCCGCCCCTCCTGAAGCACAGGTAACCATGGGGGAACCCCAGGCCTTTAACTATATTTGTGCCTCTTGGAATAATGGTTTCCAGTGGCTGCTTCTTAAATTACTCTGTAAGAATCCCATTGTACATGTACGTATGGCAAATAAGCTCCTCTGTTGCTGGTTATACTGAATAAATGGACTGATTGCATTAACCTGTGTGTATTACTGAATATTCTAATGTGGACGTTCGTTTAAGGAGGCGTCTGTGGAGTAGCTCAACTGCTTAAGGTGCTCACACAAGCACAGGGTGGACTCGATCAGAATCGCCTTTATTTGCCAAGTGCGTTTCACGTATGTGTTCACTCTGGTGTGCTTGAAGCGGCCATAACAATCTAAAAGTATGCAGACAAAACAGGACAAGAGACTTCAAGACGGTGCAAGTATAACTAGGAATACTGGTAAAGCAGAAAGGCAGCCCTGGGAAGGGAGCTGTTCAAATACCTGTTCTGCTTTTAATAGACTGGCAGCCTTTCCTTGAGGGGAGGTTATGAAACAGGTCAGTGGGAGAGCAATCTTTCCTGCCAGTCTCCTGATCACGGGCTGAAGATCGGCCTGGGTGGTGACAGGGATTGGCAGAGATTCATAAAGCAGGTGGTCCAATTCGATGAGCTCACCTGATGGCAGGACAGGTAGACCCCCAGCTGTCTCTGCGGCCCCCCCCTCACTGTTCAAGCAGGCCCTAAACCTCTGGCGCGGCGCCGTGCACCCCATCACGATGCAGAACTAACGGCCTGGGGTTGGAGGAGTCTGTACACGCTTTCCTCCTCCTCCTCCTCCCCCGGAAAGTGTGGCGTTGTGGAATTCATCACTGCCAGCTAGCAGGATAACACCAGTGGCTCTTCCAAATCGGATGGGCATGAATGGGTGAAAGGAAACGGAGCAGTGTCAGAGCTGGGGTAACAGTTCCTGCTCTTGTCTGAGCTCCGTGTCGCTGTTGCCCACCTGCGCAGGCCCAGCAGAAGCCCCCCGCCCGGGGGCGAGACGCCGTGGAGGACAAGGAGGAGAGGCCGGCCCCGCGCGGGAAGTTCGTGTCGCCGGAGATCTCGGAGGCGGTGGAGCGGGCCCGGCGCCGGCGGGAGGAGGAGGAGCGGCGCGCCCGCGAGGAGAGGCTGGCGGCCTGCGCCGAGAAGCTCAAGAAGCTGGACGAGAAGTTCGGGAAGAGCGAGAAGGCGCAGAAGGCGGAGTGCTGCCCGAAGGAGCTGGACTGCAGGAGCACACAGGAGCCGCCGTCGCCCAGTAAAGACTCCAGGCTCAGTCAGGAGAACTGGCAGTATGGCACTGAAGGTAAGCAGGGCTGATTGAGGTTAATATTGGACCTGGTTACTTGTGCTTCCCGAGCTGACCGTGCTTAGCCGTGCTCTTCACATGATTGTAGTTTTCAAACACTAGCTTGAGCTAAAACTGGCACAGTTTTCTCGTATTAATGAAACTCTGATTTTAAACCTGTATTGACTTAACGCTTTACTTTTGAAAGAAGTGTCGGAAGTCCCTCCGGAGCAGTATTCCGGCCAGGATTATGCCGAAGATGAGGCTTTGGGGTCAAACTATCGGAGTGAAGACGACGGTCCAGAGCCCACCTCCCCTGTCCCCGACTACGGGAAGTATCAGAAGTCACTCCCGCCTCGCTTCCAGAAACAGCAGCAGCAGCAGCACCAGCAGGTTAAAGATTTACATTGATTCTGTTCTGCATTTCCTTAATCCGTTAATCTCCTTCAACTGAGAAAAATACAGCCTGGCAGCCGTTTAAAGGAACAGGTGTTTTCTGTAAAAAATTAATCCAGAATTTGCTCTTTGCCTTGTTTAAATGTCAGCTGGAGCAGATGTTATAAAGACGCTTAAACTGATATTGAAAGAATTAAATGATCCTCAAAGCTAATGTAGTTTATGGTCCCATGGTAGTATCTATGGAATACAAAGGTTGTTAGAGACGACCACTTTGATGCAGAAGCAGTTCCAAAAGAAAACTTGTTCTTGATTTATATTTGTTAACCCAAATAATTATGTGGATAAGTTATTCTTTTGAATTCTTTTAATCACATTTGGCTGTGGACTGTATTACTGTGTTCCGTGTTGATGTGTGTGAGTGGCTGTATTGAATGTGCCCTTGGTTCTCTCTTCAGGAGCAGGTGTATAAAATGCAGCACTGGCAGCAGCAGCAGCAGGCCCACCCTGCCCAGCCTGGTGCCACGCACCCTCAGCGCGGCTACTACCCTCCTCACGTGCTGGGTTTCGACCCTCGCTGGATGATGATGCCCCCGTACATGGACCCCCGCATGGCCCAAGGACGATCTCCTGTCGACTACTACCCGGCCCCTGTTCACTCTGCAGGTACCCTAGCTGCAAAAATGTATTGCCAGATTTGATGGGATAAAGCATCATGTAAATCCTGTTTTTGATGCTTCTGTTTTCCCTCAAATCTTGGAAGTTCTTCCCGCATTCAGACATTTAGTTTGTTCTTTCCTTGGCCTGACAGGAATGATGAAACCTGTCATGCAGCAAGAACATCTCAACAGTCCTGGCTCTGCTTCGGAGGAGAGCTGCCACCCTGCTGTGATTCAGGAGAGGAGAGCTCCCTCCGCTGAGCCCTACCCAGTGTGGGGTCAGGACAGTTACACCTCCGTCCCACCCCGGAGCTTCACGCCCCCCTACCAGAGACAGCACGAGAGCAAGGAGATGCGCAGGGTCGATGACAGGTGTGTTGAATCTCCGTTGGTTTTGCGGAGCGACTGAAACGGGTTTTTGTTTTGCGTTTGCGGTTCGATGTCCACTACAGAAGCATGGATGTTTTCCGTCAAGATGGGGGATATTCTACACCTGAGTGCTAAACCTCTGCAAAAACCTTGACTGTAGAATAAATGTAATTCAGAGGTTAGATGTGTTTTAAAATATTGTGCTGGTGTCTTGTACAGGAATGAGAGAACTTGTTCCCAGCAAGACTCCTATGAAGAAAGACAGGAGGAATATAGAGATGTTTCAGCTGAAGATCTCTCCCACTCTGGTTATCGCCAGACCAGGAGGCCCGAGATGGCTTTCAGTTCCTCCCAAAAGAAGGTCCATGACCAAGAAAGCAGACAGAACGAGGCTCTGGCACCTTCCAACCAAAACCGTAGCCTTTCAGGCGATGCTGAATATCTAAAACCGGAGCGTCAGGGTGAGCCTAAAGAAGTGGGATATAGGCAAAAAAAGGATAGTGCCAGAGATGAGGCGTTTGATAACTCTGCAAAAGAGAAGACCTTTGCATCTGATTTTTGGAGGAACGATGGCCTTCAGAAGAAAGAGAATGGTCCTTCCTCCCAGTGGTCTGACTCGAGCTCCAATACCAGCAGCAGCCAGCCCCAGGAGTCCACTGGGAGACCTCTAACCAGGAGAACAGGGCCGATAAAGAAGCCCGTTCTCAAGGCTCTGAAAGTAGAGGATAAGGAGAATGAAAAGCCTAAGGTTGAAGTTGAAGAGAAACCTGTCCCCTACAAACTGAAAGAGAAGGAAGTCCCTTCTAGCGTGTATGAGCAGAAAAGGGACTTGAGCCTACCTCTAGGTGCAAAGTACTCCATTACCCCTGCTGTGGCAGCTGTGGACGAAAAGTACCCCACATACCCTAAGGCGGAGAAAAACCCAGAGAGCTCTGCTGAGGACGAGCAGAAAGACAACAGCTGGGAAAGCAAGTCCCAGCCGAGGGAGCCCAGAGACGGCAGCGATCCTCCTGCCCCGCGCCGCAACAACTGGATTTTCATAGACGAGGAGCAGGCGTTCGGAGGCGTGAGAGGAGCGGGGCGAGGGAGGGGCAGGGGGTTCAGGGAGTTCAGCTCCAGAGGCGGGCGAGGGGGCCGTGGGGAGAGCTCGAGGGGGGGCTACAATGGCCAGAGGGTGGGCCGAGGCCGGAACCTGCGCGAGTTCGCCAAGCCGGAAGACGTCCAGAGGGGCAAGCCCCGGCGTCGCAACGTCAGCGAGACCCTGAGCGAGACCTCGGAGTACGAGGAGCTGCCCAAGCGGCGCAGGCAGAAGGGCTCGGAGAACGGCGGGGATCCGGTCGGCACCGAGACCGCCAACGCGAGGAAGGTGGACAGCAAGGATTCCTGGAGGTCCAACAAGGTTTACACGGATGAACAGAGCAGTGGCAGCGAGTCTCGGGAGAAGCCCAAAGCTAGCAGGGGTTTTGGTCGCTCTCTGCCCCCTCGGCTCACCAATGCCGGCGGCTACGGACGAGGGTTTGGACCCAGAGAGCCCTCGACGTGGAGAGGCAGGGGAGGGGCGTTTGTGGGAGGCCTGGTCCAGGAGAATGGTTACTGCCCGGTCCCGGACACCTTCTCCAGGAGACCACAGGAACGGGAGCCTCTGAAATATTCCCAGAAGTACGCGGGGACCTTCGTTGAAAATGGATTTGAAGACCGAGGCGGGGAGGAATACTTTGTGGATGGGGACAATCCCGACGGCAGGCCCCTGAGACGCCGGAGACCGCCGCGGCAGGACAAGCCGCCCCGGTTCAGGCGCCTGCGCCAGGAGAGGGAGACGGGAGCGCAGTGGGCCGGCGAGGAGCATGTCGGCGGCGACTTCTCCAGCTCCTGGCCCAGTAGGGCAAAGGGGGAGGACGGCGGCGTTCCCCACCTCACTGGGAGCCGGGGCCGTGACGTGGCGCACCTGGAGCAGGGTGCCGAAGACTGGGAGACTGCCTCCGAGAGCAGCGACTTCAACGACAGGCGGGAGAAGCGCTCCGGCCTATCCCAGGGCGAGATTCCCTCGGAGTTGGGGCACGGGGAGGCGGGATCGGGGGAGAAGAGGGAGCTCTCCAAGCGCAGCTTCTCCAGCCAGAGGCCTCTCGTGGAGAGACAGAACCGAAAGGGGGATCCCACAGGACTTGGAGACAAAGTGTCCAGGTCTGCTGAAACTCCGTCCCGGAGTGAGAGCTGGCAGAATGGAATGCTGCACTCCAGCAGTAAAAGGTTAATTGCTTACAGACATTTATTCAAGCGTAAGGTGGCCTAGAGCTCTTAACCGACCAGATATATTTTGCAGTTTAACTCTTCCTTTTAATAATTAAACTGGGAATTAAAATATTTGCATATTAAGTTTTTTTTACTTTAGGGTGCCAATAAAATGCTTGTTTTCTAAACATTGAGTGTTGGGAGTTGTATTTTTTTAAAGTAGTTTAACTAATAACTGTGCTTTTAGAAAATGAAATGTCCACGTTTTCCTTTGCAGAAATTAAATCTTTCAGAATTGTGATGGATATTAATCTCTTTCAATGTTTTTTTTTTTGTTAACAGGGCTTCAGACGAAGCTGCCTCTGGAGCAGGGTACAACGTGGATCAAACTGTCAAGACAGAAGATGTTCCTCAGAACAACGCCTCTGAGCATTCCAGCAAAAAGTCGGAGAAAGAAATGAAACCTGTGTCACTGAAAAGCGACAAGTCAGATTCTTCACCTCAGTACAGCCTGAATAGTTACCAAAGTGAGTTCCAACAAAAGCAGAACCTAAAGAGCTGGTTACATGCCTGCAAAAAACATTTGTTCATGTTACTGCTTAAATATAAAAAAATTCAGTTGCAGAAGATGTGCCTGTTAAATAAAAGGTATAAATCATGTCGGCCAGTGGCAGGGCCCAGTAAATGCTTGGGATTGCTGGAGTGCCACTGTACCTCCTTGTAGTGTCGTTTCGGAGCACTTTTGCCGGCTCTGTCCTGCAGTACTGGGTTTAACTGCTTTCTCCTCTCCCAGTGGAGAATGAAACGGGAGTGTCCGTGCCCAGTGGGGAGGGGTTCACCGAGATCTTGTCCAAAAAACAGCGGCGTCAGCAGGAAGAGGAACGCCGGAAGAAAGAGCAGGGGGTACAGGTGGGTTGGCACCTTTGGATTCTAGCTTCTGTTCTTTTATTCTTACAAGTATGGCTTCCATGCTGTTGTTTTTAAGTTGGAAGCATGAGATGCACGTGACTCGTGACGTCACATCACCTCTGGATCTTTAATAAATTCTCCAGCTGATGGCTCAGGTGCAAGTGATTTAAAAAGACCCTCTGATTAAGTTTGATATCTCTAGTAGCACCTGATGTTCTAACTATAAAAAGCCTGACATGAATAGAAGTTTAAAAACAAATGCAATCTTTGAAAGTCACAGTTCTCTAAAACCATTTTCCGTTCATTTAAAATTGCTTTAATGCTGCATTTGCTGCGTTTTCTCCTATGGTGGCATTAGTTGAATACAGAAAGTGAAATTATGCATTCAAAAGCAGTATATTCAATCATTTGTTGTTTTTTCCAGATACATATCTAGTTTCATTGGCATTTGGAAATTTTAATGTTCCATGTCTTGTGCAAATACTTCACTTTTCAGCTTAGCAATAAAATTTGCGGCAGAGCTGAAGTAGAACTATTTCCATATCCGGTTTTATCTTGAGATTGCCAGATGTGTGCTCTCAGTCCTTTTGCGTGTTTAAAGATGGAAGTTGAGGTCTGTACTTTCAGTACTGACTTTTGTATTCTTCCAATCAAATGATTTTTCCATATTAAAATGTTGACTGGGTTGTACTGTTCCAAGTCTAGAGAGCTTTTCAGTTTAGCTTCCTTACAGACGGTCTGTAAATGTTTCTGCAAACAAGGTCTTTCAAAATGATCATGTGCTGTTACTGTTGCACAGGTGTCCGTGAAAAACAGGGTGATTACTTCCAAGATACCTCCACGCTTTGCAAAGAAGCAGGGCGCCATTTCAGTGGATCAGGCTGAAGAGGGGCTCTCCACTAGCAACCTGGGGACTGAGATCTGGGAGAACAACAGTGCAGGTTTGTACCATTATTATTTCAGCAGCAGACTGCAGGCTAAGGAAAGTAACACATTACGGGTCTATCTCACTCCGTTTTATGTGTGTCCTTGAAAGTGTCACTTCCAGTACAGAACCCTAATTTGTTCAGTTATTTTAAATAGCAGTTTTTTTATATTGGTAGACTCTTATCCATTATAGAAAATAACCCTAATCATTGCAGTCATTCCAAATGAATGCATTTTTTATTTGGAAGAACAGATTTATTGTGAGTTTACATTCAATTCTTTTTAAAATAATTATATGGAAGTAAACTGCTGTTTTGGAAAGGGTGTTTATACATGGTTACAAGTAGTAGTAGACTCCAGCTTCACTCAAATTGAACAGCTTTCCATTTTTGTGAGAGAGGTGTTCCAGTGTGGTAATAGCGTCTGCATAAGAGTCATCGTTAAATTTCTTACGTGTCTGCCTTTGACTTCAGCTGATAGACTATTGCTGATGCAAGGATTGCTTATGGATTCCTTAACAAGCACATGTAAAAAGTAAATTGGATATTTAAGAGTAAAAATCCAAAGAAATACTCTACATTTCATTCAGAATAATTAGAAATCAAATCAAGCTTTAAGCTTGGTAAATATAGTTTAATGAAAAATTCTGACGTTTTGTTAAAATTGTCAAATTTTTTCACCCAGCTCTTTCTGTTCAGTCCACTGGTGGAGATTCTTGGACAAAGCCAGTATCCTACGCTGGGGCAGAACCAAGCTCCACTGAGGTATGGTTATTTTTAGGCCATTTTTCCCCCCATCTAAAGATTTTAAACAGCCCCATTGAGTGTCTCTGGAAATGGAGGTGAACTCCTTCATTGTGCGTGGATCTTATATCATGAATGCACCTGCAGCTGAGTCACATGTAGCTTGGAAGGCATTTTCACTTGTGTGAAAGTGTCCTTCAGTTTTGCAAAAGGTGACTTATGTATTAAATGAAGTCAGTTTTGTGTTTTGCAATACAGCACATCTCTAGGAACAGTAGTAGAAAATGCATTCTAACAACGCAACTTGATCAGTTCATCTTTTCTGATGCCCCAACAGTCAGCATGCGTGCTTAATGATCTGGTGAATGATACATTGACGGTGTTATCAAGAGCTCTGCAAATATCTAAAAGTAGAACTCCATGGGAGATGAATGCCCTGTTCTCAGGACCGAGGCGCCGTCCTCCAGCGTGTTTCCTAAGAGCTGATTGCCTCAGGTGAATGGGCCTTTTCTGTGACGGGATATCCTGTGAGACTCAGCATGCTGGTACACCCCCACCCCACCCCCCAGCCTGGAGAAAGCTGCTAGACCCACTATAAGATTGAGCAAAGAAAAAACAAAGCAGAAACAAGTCGCTGCTTTTTTATAAATTTGCATTACATAAGCAATTCGAATATCTTTAAATTAGCATTACTTTGCTCAATTTGTGGGGGAAAAAAAGAAACATTTATCACCTCAATTGGAATTTGAAGCACCCTTGTGTTTTGTCTATTCCCAGGTGTTTAAAGGCAGTCAGACTGACAGTGGGATTGACCTGAGTGCTGAGTCTCAGGGATCCTCTGCCAACTCCTCCCAGAGAAGTTCCCCTTATGGCACCCTCAAGCCTGAGGAAATCAACGGGTCGACCCCAGCAGAACCAAAACAGGACGGGCTCAAAGACCTCACACCCAAGCAGATGGAGAAGAAGGTGCCGTTAACCAGCTCCCCTGTCTGCCGCCCCTCCCCTCCCCAGTAGGCCGCTAACCTCCACAGGGGTGTGTCCGTTTAGCGACTGTCCAAAGAATCGCTCAGAAGTGCAGGGCAGGCACTCCTGTTAAAATCTCTCTCCTGGCCGAGGGCATGTTGATCTGCTTGCTTCCACTGGAGTGTAGCTATTTTGTGGTCCGCCGCGGTTTAAAAGGGTACTTTGTTGTATCTGCAAGACTCTGTGGTTATTTTTAAAAGCAGCCTTTATGGGTCGTGTAAACTTCAAATATCATTCCATTCCCTAATGAGTAGTAATTTTCAGTACCATTCTTCTCATCAGGTTGTGAAGCTGTTTTTTTAACAATGAAGTAATGCAAAAACATCCGACGCCTGAAAAGTGTCTAAAAGACAAGGGATTTGGCGTTGAGTGATGTTACTGTCAGGGTGCTATTCTGGGTGGATAGAAACAGGATGTCCTCATCAACATGGAAGAACTGATCTTTTCAAGTAAAACAGTAATCCTACATGTAGCCTTAGAGAGTTTGTCTAAGTGGGGGAGTTAAAATGCTGCATGTGGCATCCCAATGGTGACCTCACTTGCTTCTTTTGAGGCTGAAGGTCATTTCGTGTTTCTTAGACAATGGAGAAAAATGCCAAACAGGAAACGATCCATGATATTTATAACATTAATTATTCAGTTTCCTTAAAATTGAGCTCGGTAAACCTTTCGTTTTTTTTAGTAAACTTTTTTAGTTTTTAAATTTCCATTACTTTTGTGGGGAAAGAATAAAAACCGCTTGCTGCATTTAGATTAGCATGTAGTTTTATATGCTTTGCATTTTAATATACGATATTTGCAAGATGGTGGCATGGACAGTATAGCTTATCTTTATTTCAAGTTAAATTTTCCTGGTTCTCGGATTTCCACCAAACTCACAACTTGGGTATACATTTAGGGCACAACTCTGCAGTTGCAGGCACTACGGAAGCCAGATGGTGGTGGGGGTAAAAGCACTGTCACACAGGGCATTTTATATGTCACATCTGAATTGAAAGACTTGAAACAGTTTACACACCAGAACCCATGAAAAGTGAAATGTGTTGAATGGCCGACCCTGATGCTCTTTGCAGAACCTCTTCTCCTGTCAGTGTGATTAAGTAGGAGCAACCCTTATTGGCTCTACTTTGTCAAGCTGCTGTCCTTTCAACAAATATCTATGCATCTACCAGGATATGTTCCAAAAGCATGTACACTGAATGAACACTTAATATCAGACCAATTGAGTTCTCAGTGTTGCAAAATCCAGTTTGAAGAGGACACTGAATAGGGTTTTTAGTAATATGATTTAATACATTGATTTTCAGTGACATTTTTCTTCATTAAAGGTATTGCTATGTCATTTGACAAGTTCTTTGCAGAAAATTCATCGTCTTTGAATAAAATTTAATTGCAGGTTTCTGAGGAGACTAGTTAGTCATAAAAGTTTACCTTGTCTTAAATATTTATTCCCTCCTTTTGTTTTTCATCTCTCTAGGACTCGGAGACCAATTCAGAGCAGAGCAAGGAACACAAACCTGGCCCCATTGGGAATGAGCGATCCCTGAAACACCGCAAAGGATCAGAGGGGATAGAGAGGCTGGAAGGAAACATTCCCCCTGTTAATGGTGTGGATATACATGTGGAAAACGTTATCCCTGTACCACCCATTGAGTTTGGAGTGAGTGCAAAGGTAAAGGAGGAATCACGTCTTTTGGCATGGCACACCTTATGAACAGCAAAGGTTGTAGTGGCTTCGAATCTTTCTATCTGTGAAAAAGTAGTGCTTTCAAAGTTTGCGTGATTTCTTTTAAAATAAATTTGCTGAACCCAGAGCATCTGGTATTGCTGCTTTTTATGGGAGAGTGCATCATGTTTTATTTAGTGGTGCTTTTATTTCCTGATTGCCTTGGATTTTGTAATTTGGTTACTTTGAGTTGTGAGTTTCCTGGCTCAAAGGTGATTTTCTCTTAGGATTCTGACTTCAGTCTGCCTCCTGGATCCACCCCGGTTCCTGTTTCAAACCCAGTAACAAAGCTGCAGGATGCTTTGGCCAGTAATGTAAGTCAAGTCTTCAGTCTTTATAATTATGTCAGTCCCTAATAATCTGTGCACAAACTGAGCCGTATTCACATTCCATTTTTTTTACATGGAACAATTGTAGGTGGCTCTCACTCAAGCGATTCCGATGCTCCGCCGCGATCATCTGCCGCAAGGTATCGGCCTCAACCCCATCTCCTTCCCGAGCACCGACCTCACCCTCAAGGTACTCGTCCGTGCAGAGCAACCCTGGGCACAGCAGTGCCCACAGCATTCAGGGCACCGGGTGCGCGGCTTTTGGCGGGGGTCCTGAATGTTCCTGTTCCTGTGCCGCAGATGGAGTCTGCGCGGAAGGCGTGGGAGAATTCCCAGTCGCTGCCCGAGCAGGGCTCCCCGGGCGGCGCGGGCTCGGGGGGCCAGCCCCCCTGCAGCGTGGGCTCCTCCAGCGGCGTGAGCTACAGTTCGTTTGGGGGGGTGTCCATGCCACCCATGCCCGTGGCCTCGGTGGCGCCTTCGGTCTCGATGCAAGGTAGGGTCCCCACGTTACCCTGGTCTTCTGGAAGTGAGAAACGCAAGGTTGTGTTCTTGTCATCTGTATTCTGTGTACAGCAAACCCTCAGTTGAGCTGACCAACTGGGGGAATGGATGTCCATTATTGTGGGCCTGTTAAATCATGTAGCATTTTTCAGTCCAGAAACACAATTACATGAGGTATTTTTATATATATAAAAACACTAAGTGCTTTCTGGCTCTTCAGACTTATTTTTAGGAATTTCTGTTGGCACAGTCAATGACAATTGTTCTGTACTTTTTTTAACAAATATACAAGCTTTTTATTTCATGTTTTGTCAATAAACTATAAAATGTGATCAAACATAGGAAACAGAACACCTATCATAAACTGTTGACCAAGCCCTATAGGCCACCATTATTATTTCTGTATTTTTACTGTTTATTTTTACCTAGTTTTATTATTCATGGATTTACATATGTTAAAATTCTAGCCATATTTCTTAAAATGCTTATTTTTTAAAAGTTTGCTCAAGCATGCAAAACACTTGTGTGTAAGCTGAGGGCTTACTGTATACTGATTGATCAAAACATTTCATTAAGCGAAGAGGAAGCCTGTGTTGGTTGCGAAAATGTTTTTAAACGTTGCCATGAATGACAGCAGCAACCCCTCGGTACACTTGTGCTCCGAGTGAAGTGGAGGGAGGGGCTGCCTTGCAGGTTTTGAGTGGAAACGTAATGAATTTTTGTGATTTCATGTCTGTCCCCCCCCCCCAGGTAATCATATTCCACCCCTCTATCTGGACGGGCATGTCTTTCCCAGCCAGGCCCGGCTGGTTCCTCCAGCCTTGCCCCAGCAGCAGACCTATCAGCAGGTAGGCCCCTGCCGTCTCCCCACCACACTGACCTCTGATTGTCTGCTCAGACGCACCCGAGGCAAGGAAGTCGGCAGCAGAGGTTTACTCGGCAAATATTCAGAGTGTTTACCTTTGGTTAGGTTTACATTTTGAGACTGTTCGTTAGTACAGTATCTCTACATGATGAGGTCTCTGGCACCATGCAAGATGTGTTGTCTTGGAAATGAAACATTTTAAAGTAATTTGTGTTGAGTCCATTTTGAAACATGAGCTGTTCAGCAAATGGCGCAGTGGATGTGAGCGGCTTGTTTCGGGGAGCCCTCTGCTGCCGCTGTCCTGCAGGGCTTGGCGAAGCTCGTTGTCATGTCTCGTGTTGTCCTGTCCTCTCTCCCGGCAGGCTGCGGCGGCCCAGCAGATCCCCATCTCTCTCCACACCTCCCTGCAGGCCCAGGCCCAGCTCGGGCTGCGTGGCGGGCTCCCAGTCTCCCAGTCCCAGGAGATGTTCAACTCCATCCCGCCTTTTAGGTCTGTTTCTGTTGCTCAGCACTGTGGTTACTGTCCTGATGGGCACCAGGGTGGCGGTGCAGCAAGGCTTATGAAGTTGTTTTCCCTTCTGGCCAGAGATGATCCATTTCATTAGCGTTCTGTACAAAACATTTTCATTGCTTTCCTCTGAAAGTTTCCTGATATTATATTCTGCTTGGTATTCCTTGAAATGTTTATTTTCAATATGTACACCTTTTAACTTTTCATAGCTTTTCCTTAGTCTGATGTTAGAAAAGCGCATTTATGAGGCATTGTATGTTTTAAGTGGACCAGACTGATTTACTAGTGCTCTGTTCTTGCAGGTCCCAGGTGTACATGCACCCCAACCTCTCTCAGCCCAACGCCATGGTCCTGCCAGGAGCTGCCCCCATGAAAGGCCACTACTCGCCCTTCCCTGGCATGCAGCCGTCGGAGATGGTGAAGCCCCAGTCAGGCTCGCATTACCAGCCCATGAGTGGCAGCCAGGCCCTTGTTTATGATGGGCAGATGAATCAGGCTGCAGGAATGGGCACCTCGCAGCTCATGGACTCCCAGCTCATCCAGGTGCTTCTGCTGATTCTACAGCACCTAGCGTGCATCACCTTGTATACAGCACTGTTCAACACGCAGGAGAGCAGCACACAGGCTGCAAATGAATTAAAAGTACACAAGGCTCTCAAATTTAAGTAGAGGCTAGTAAAGCAATTGCATTTTTGGTATTTATAGGAGGTTGCCGAAAAATGTAGTGTAAGAAGGGGTGTAGTAAAGACTACCTAGCCTACAGCTTGAAAAATGTTTCCATTGGTTATAGGAAGAGCAAATAAGGACCAGAAAACTGAAGTGTAGGTTTAGAAAACATGGAGAAAATTGTATGTGCCGCTGTTGAACACATGGTTGGTGTGAAGCGCTATTAATTTGGACACTTAATTGGTAATGCACTGTAACGTGCAGAGGTTGGTAGTAGCGGAAGGGGTGTCTGTTCCTCCGTTTCGATGCCTTGGTGGGGGTGGGTTCTGAGCAGCTCCAGCAGCGAGGGGGTAATCTGAGCTGACGTTTCGAAGGCTTTCCTTGCTTGGCAGGTGACCATGCCCCTGCCGGGGTCGCCGCTGAGGTACGGCTCCCAGCAGCACCTCATCCTGCCCCAGTCCATCCAGCTGCAGCAGGGCCAGAACCTGCCCGTGGGGGCCCCCCGGCGCGTGCTGCCCCCCGGCTCCCAGCCCCCCGTCATGACAGGCAGCAGAGAGGTGAGCCCCCCGTTCCTGTGGGGTGGCCGGCTGGCGGCTCGTTAGCGGTTTTAATAGTAAACCACCATTTTAACTGTAGTTTCCCGTTGTAGCTGGGATACTAAAGGTTTTACAACAGTTTGAGTTAAATCTATATTTTGGTTGCTTTAAAAGTCAACCAATATATTTTTAGTACAGGATCACGTTAAAATGCATTTCTAAAAGCTGTTTCCTTTACAAGCAAACAGACTACATTTTAAGGGTCATTTCCCTTTAATGATGAATTCCTTACAGAAGTAACCATTTGTGGAGTCTTCAACGTTTGTTTTTTGTTTAATCACTAGTTTTTCCACTTTCCCCAACTTAGCTACCGAGATGCATGTAAAATCTATATAGTTATAACCTCTACACTTTTGTGGTTCAAAAGCACTGTTATAACATTGTTGATGGAAATCTATAGTGCTCTATTTTCCTCTCCTTGACTTTTCTTATTTCCTTTTAGACATCGCAGATGGAGATGAAAGGCTTTCAGTTCCAAGATAATAAGGCAAACCATTCTCCTGGCATGTCAGCAGGGTCTGCCCAAACTCCCAGCTCTTACAGGTGAGCCACCATTGCCATTACCGACTTGGCCTCCTGCTGGCAATATATAGGCAGTGTTTCAGACTTTCGGTAGTTTGACTAAGGGGGTACAGATTTCAAACTAAAGAAAGTAATCGATGAAGACCTCAGTGTCGTGTCTGCCTGGTGGATGTGCCAAGATGTGTGTTCTCCCTTTCAGGCCTGGATCTGCCAGTCCAAGTGGGAAGCCCTCAGGCCCCGGAGGGCCGGCCAGTGTAGCGCCCCTTCCTGGACACTACGCTCAGCAGGTATTGATCCCAAATGGTTCTGTACTAGAGATTTTACACTGCAGTACACAACAGAGCATAGGGACAGCTCTGGTCTGTATGTTTAACCCTCAGTGCCATAGGGTATTGGAAGCCCCCTATGTTTGAGTGAATGCACCGTTAAATTCTGTTGCTCTGTGCTTCGAGACAGCTATTCAAAAACCAAAGGCGTGTTGGGAACAGGTGTAGCTTTCTTTTGCATGTTCTTAAACTGTTTTGAATGTGAGCCTTGGTGGTGGTTGAAAGACTAAGCTGATAAACATTTGAGCCCATTTAATTTACGTGAAAACAATCTCCCCTCGCTGGCTCCACGGCCGCGCGGACGGGCCGGCGCTTGCAGCCCCTGTACGTTCATCTGCCTTGTTCGCTCTCAGGTCCCGCCGCCGCAGGGCGGCATGATGATGCACATGCGCCCTCCCGCCACGGGGCCCTTCCCCAGCCCCATCCAGCGGCCAGTGATGCAGATGAGCAAGGCGGTCATCATCCGCTCCCCTCAGTACCCCAGCCCTGGCCGGGAGCCCCCGCCCTGCGTCTCCCCCGCCAACAGCACCGACTCTGCGAAAGGGACGGAGGAAGGCATGAAGGTGAGCCACCCACCATCATTTTAGGTAATTTCTATTTACCCCCATTTATCATTTTCCAAAATGCCTCCATGACATGCACATTCGCTTTCTAGCTTCTTGCTCTGCTCCACACCTGCCTTTTCTGCAAGTCTCGTTTTAGTTTGAGCTATCTCTGGCTTGTGGAAGGTTTTATAACGCTGGAGATGTTGGGGGGGGTTCTTCTCCCTTAAGCCTCCCATGTTGCTCAGCGTTCATCCGTTCCCAGAGTTTTGTCTTCAGCCCTCCATCTGCAGTTCGCTGTTATGGTGTCCTGGGATACTTGTGCGAGTACTGTGGGTTTTGCTTTATCTCATCGGAATATTCTGAAGCTGTTCCATCACTTCCGATTGTATAGTGTGTTGTTCTGTCAGATGCCTTAATCTGAGTATTTCTTAGCAAAACCAAATTTCAAAAAGGCATCGCCACATAAATGCTCCAATGAAGAAGTTTGTCTGCAGCCTCCCGGGGAGTATGGACTATCGCTTGAAGTCTCAAGATGTAATCATACTCTTGGGAGTTGGTTGAATTTCTGTCCATTCTTTTGGCATCTGTAGGGTTCAGGTATTGCAGTTTTGAATGACAAAATATTTGTGTATCTGTAAGAAGTGCTTGCAGAAGGTTAAATAGTTTTAAGGTTTGTACTGTGTAGAATTGTTGGTCTAAAATCAATATGCGCTTAGTAAGGCCCCTTTTTTTCCCCCTGTAAAGACCAAGCCACGAGATGTCCTGCCGAGCTCCGGCGATGGGAAGGGACAGGCCCGGATGTCCAGCCTGCAGGAGCCACAGACCTCGAGCCAGATGAAGCCAGTCCGGACCGGGGCCATCAAGCCGCAGTCTGTCAAGGTGGAGGAGGGGAAGGCGTAACGGGAGGCCGGTGCTGTGGACCAGAGCACACTAGCAGCCGCGAAGGCAGTCCCCGAGATTGGCCTCCGCACTGGCCAGGGAAGATCACCAGTGGGATCTGACTCCTATTAAAGCAAATTCAAGCGTTGTATTGATCGAACACAGTATATATAAATATATAAATAAACACATAGGGACACTTTGAAGCAGACTTTTCATTTCATCTTATTTATTAACTCTACATCCAAACAATAAGTCGTTCAGGTTCTGTCATTTGCCTACATCAAAGGAAAGAGAAAAATAAGTAGCTCCTGCAGCTCAACAATTTCCACTTGCAAAATAACACAAAAAGGACTGCAGTTGTGTAAATGTGGCAAATGCAAGAGAATAATACGAGGCTAGTATGTAAGCTTTTTAAGCTTTCTTTCCCAAACATTCAACTTTTCTTAGCCACTTTGCTGGTACCTTGGAGTTTTAACTTTTTAAGTAATCTGAAAACTTAATATCCTTCGTTATTAAAGGAATCCTTTTATTCAATAAAGTACTATTAAAACTGAAGCAGAGGACACCTGTTTTGTGCGATCTGAAAGAAATGTTTCATGGAGAGACCCTGTAGAATCTGTTACAATTGTATTTCTCACAGCTTGTGAAATGTATACAACTGTGCTTAGGTAACTGCAAATATGTTTCCGTAACTCTGCAAAGCCTAGACTTTTTCATTACTTGTTTTTATTTTTGTGGTATTAAAAGATTTTTGGCATCATAAATCACACTCTGGTTTAAGTTTTAAGCTTCACAGGGGTTTATGAAGTGTTTTATGCATGTGGTGTAAATTAAAACGTATACGCCAGGGCCAGTGATACTTGTAACTTTGCATTTCAGAGATGTATCTAAAGTGAGTAAAATGTACAGCTGAGATGTGTGTGGACAGTGCAAAAAAGGCAGTTTTGTAGCCATCTTTGTGTAAGGGGTCCTCATTGAGTTGCCGATGTGTTCCCAGGTAGTTGGTAATGAGCAGACTGATTTTTTTTTTCTTTTGTGGGGTTTTTGCTTGTAATTAGTAACTTAATTTTTAATATTGCTACATTACATGTATGTCAAGTATAATGCCTACTAAGAAGATGCGATTTTCCTCCAGGTGTTTTCGCCTGAGGCCTGACAGCTGTTCAAGGGCTTTCGGTTTTTATTCTTTCTCCCTCTTGAACTTGTCTTCTCCTTGCTGTGTGAAGTGATGACCTATTGGCTGACTCAGGTTGACACAGGGCGGTGGGGAGTCATGAGAGTGGCTGTAATGGCAGCACACGGAGGATGAGATCCATACCATAAACCCACAATGTTGCCAACAAGGAAAAACCAGTGTACATGGGGAAATTAACAGCACATGAAACCTTGCTTTTTCTTTTTATTTGCTTAAGCCCAGGCTATGTATAATGTGACTGTAAACCTTAAGTGCTGGAGGGGCCAGTGTTGAAGGGAGTTTTTGGGAAGCAGGCAATAAAATGGTTGAAAGATGTTCAGCCTCAGTAGCTGTGGAACAAGGCCTAGCAAATAGAGAATGCAGTATGCAATGTAAACAGCCGGGAAGCTGATCATGCTCACCCCCTTTAGCCTGGTTGAACATTGCAGTTACTTTATAGCTCCAGCTCCAGGAAGAAAAGGACACTGCATCTTCATCTCACAGGGGTTAAATCCATCATTCAATTGAATAATACCACATCATGTAGCTGCCCTGTTCTATAACTCCGTGAGCTTGCTGATCTCATCTTTTAATTATTATTCCTGGTTCAAATCATGACAAAACACTATTTAAAGTACTTGTTTAGATCTAGTTGGTGTTTCACTGATTTTATATATATATATAAAAATATATATATAGTCTCATTCTGTGCTGGGGAGGCCAAAAACCTACTTGATTTCTATTACTGTATTTAATGTCACTTGATACACTAAAATGTTTACAGGTTGTTTTTATATGGCTGTATATGATTTTCTTTTTTTCACAGGACATATACAATTTGGTCACATTTGGAGGATTTTCTTTAGATTTTTAAGATGCAGTGGCTCTTTTCAAATTTAAGTTGGGATCATTCAGGCTGAGAGAAGTTGCCTTAGATCTAAGGTGGAGGTAATCTGGAGGAGCTGCTGATGAGTTGAACATGAATATCGCGAGATATTTGATTTGGATGTTAAAACTTTGCTTTCTTCCAACCATCACCAAGCTTATTTTAGTCTATCAGTTTTTGGCCTTTTCTTGTCTTTCTGTGTAGACTGATATTTGAAAGGGCAGACGATGGATATTTCACTGTAGAAGCTTTTTTTGTTTGTATTTTTGTTTCTGACTGGACCAGTCGTGATTTCATGGAGCTGTTCCTGCAGCTGTACAGCCTGAACCCTGTTATCAGTACCTGTTGTTTATCCTTTCAAATATGTGATTGTATTAGCTCTTTCCATATGAAAGAATTCTCCTTATTTAAATAAAAAATAAAGCAGATTATGCTTTTTCAAATACCTGCTGTGTACTTTTTTTAAATGAGACGTGATCGTTAGAACAAAAATCTAGTTCACACCTGGAGAAGACTTCACAGCCGAAACGTGGTGTTTTCTCTTCTCTTTTCAGCATGGAACAAACCGATTGTTCCTTTGTGGTCATTAGATCTGCGAATTTCCAATGTTGGCAACAATGCTGCAAGGCCGAAGGTGGCTTTGCCGTGTGCTGCCTGTTCCCAAACGGTGGAACCTGGGGCAGCTGTGCAGAGCGGGGGTCTCCAGTAGGTTCCCGGGGAATCTCAGCCCGGGGGGGTTTGTTGGTGGGCGTTGAATTTTGAACTTTTCTTTAAGACCTAAAATGTACTCTTAAGCCCTAAAGAGCTGGAGTTCTGCTAAACTAAGAAAACCGGGCTCGACCTATAAGACTACGTGGGTTAAAGATCTGCAGGGACCGCGTTTGAGACCCATGGAGCAGCGTACAGATTCAGGTCTAGGTGCTTGGTGGGGCACTGCTGGCGTCTGGTGTGTAAAACACAAGGATTATAATGGACCTTTCTGCTCTCCTGCTTTAAGAAAGGTTTTTCCTGTTGCAACACAGATGTGTAAAGGGGTTTCCAACTGCTGGTTTAACTGGAGGGTGTTTTTGTATAGTCTCTAAACGTGCAACACGGTATGTTGTACAGCAAAATGCCCATCTCCATGTGTTCCGGAGATTGGCATAACTGGATAAGTGCGTCAGACAAATAATGAACGAACTTGTCATACTCCAATTTCCAGTCTTGTAATTGTCGTTTGAAAGGCCGCAATTTATTTCAGCGGTAGCCAGGCCCACCCTGGAATTATCCTAGGCCTACCCACTCAGTCCAAAGTAATTTTAAATTATTTTTCCCTTGTTGGCGTTACATGATTTACTTTTTAATGTTACGTGTTTTTTCATCATATGTGATTTGCTATTGGCTCGCTGTATCTTTTGTGACCTATAAGAAAATTATAAATGTAGTGGGGCGGTTCATGCGTAGCCTAATTGGCTATCGTTGTCATCAGACCCTCTTAGACCTATCTAGCGCTAGGTTTTTGGTTTATTAGCCAACATGGCAAAACAAATGCATACATCTGCGTTTTTTAAAATGTTAGTTTTAAATAAAAATGCAAGATAATGTACGTTGCTTAAGCGATTAACAGCTACCGAGGCCGTAGTTTTTTTTTTAATCAAATCACCACTCTATTTGTGATCATTATTCGTATTTTGTATAGTTAGCTGACACGAGTACACGCCTGAAAGTAAATTGTTGGAGGGCGCCACCTGACAAGCTTGGCATCCCCCCGTTTTCATTAGATATTTTTTTTTATTTTCATAATTAAAGGATGGCCCTGCTTGGGCACTGCTGTCCGCAGCCATACTGCACTGCGGTAGAAATCGCCGCCGGCTTGCCATGCAGTCACTATGGTTACAGGCTCTGCAATCGAGCTCCCGTACTGCAGGCCGAATTAATCGATCACAGCCTCGGCGGCGGCGACTCTGTACAGCGGATCCCTAAAAACGGAGTACTCGCCAAAGTGGGTAAGTCATATTTGACTTTTTTTCAGCATCCATCGATCACTTTGAGGTCAGTTTCCAAACGCCATACTGTTAGGGCTTGTATCGTCCGCGGGTCCGCGGGTATTAGCACGTAGATTTGAGCAGACCCTCAATAAGGCAAACGCAAAGAGGCAACGTCTGTTTAACGCTGTAACTACAGTACACTGGCAAAAACGAAGAAATTGAAAATAAGAGCTGGAAAATAACTAAATAAATAGACTCATTCCATATATTCGTGCGTATTATTACCATTGAAATAGCGGTACCTTTCTTTCGACACTTTTTTTTGTTTTTGGGGGGGTGCTTTTACTACTTTTACTAATTGATGCAGTTTTAAATATCTCAGTTCAGTCATCTGAGTCATTTCTTCATTATATTGAATTACAGCAACGGCACTAGCTTCACTCAGTACACGCCTGTCTGTATGGGTCGCTATTTGTAAAGTAGGCGGGCTAGTGTTATCTTCATATCCTTAAGCATTAACAGAGGAAAAAGGTAACGTGACTTTAATCGGAGAGGCTGGTGTGAAATGCTGAAACTTTTCCATATTTTGGTTTGAATTAAGAGTGACGTCAAAATTGTTCACTTTAGTGCGTGCTGGTAATTACAGTGTTAGAATTGAGCTTCTTTTCCTCCTGCAAAACACACAGTAAACACACAGTAATAGAGAGTAACACACTCTAGGCTGAGGAGTACGCTACTTTTAGGTTATTGAATGTGATGTTCTTATTTACAACGTGCCCGTCATGTCCTAACGTGTCTTCTCAGCAGGGTGAAGAACATCATGTTGGGACTCGTCAAACTGCCAGTTAAGGTGAAGGCAGAGATCGACTTGGTGTTGGTCGCAGTGACGATTTTGGGAATTTGGACTAGGCTCTCGGGAATCCATTTTCCCAATGCCGCTGTGTAAGCTACCTTTTCTCTTATCAGTATATGATGTGTTTCCTGCAGCTGATAACATGGTTTTGTAGAACATGCATTTCCAACCCATTTTTTGTCATTTAGATATTGCAGGTTTAAAAAGTTTGTTTGTCGCTAACACCCAGTGCTGCTTGAACTAAAACCGTATACTTGGTGGGTTTTCCAAATGGGGATCGTGTAAGATTCGTTGCTTGCGATGCATTTAATGGTAAATAAAACTGAAAGTAGTGGAATAAGTCTTCCAGGGGTCCCTCAGAAGAATGAGAATCCTTTTCCAGATCTCGCAGTGTACAGGAGTGGACCCAGTCGCTCATACCTGCAGTTGTGCTCTTCATAAAGGTTGTGACAACCCTGCTTTAAACCTATTGTACCTGATGGGCTGGAGAGAACCCAAAACGGAAGGGCCTGACGCTCCCCTGACTGCTGGGCACCATGTGTCACCTCTTTCACCTCTCTGGTGACTCTTCCCTTGCAGGTTTGATGAGGTCTATTACGGGCAGTTCGTGTCCCTGTACATGAAGCACGTCTTCTTCATCGATGACAGTGGCCCCCCTTTTGGCCACATGATTCTGGCTTTAGGAGGTAAGTGAATCCCTTCTTCTGAGACTCTCACAAAGAACACCTCGTGATACTTCAAGCACTCCATCGTCTCGGATGCTGAAGGCCACTGAGGATGCTGCTCATAGCCCTGATCTTCACCTTTTCAAAGGATAAAGAGGCCATATAGCATGAGATCCGATAGGAGCAGCTGAAGAGTAGAACAGACTGAGGTACTTAAGACTTAGTGGAGCACTGAGATTTGATATTTTTGCGGTGGGCTTTGTTGTTGTACTTGAAAGAGTAGGTAGGGTTCTGTTGAATTAAAAAATAAAACAGGGATAAATTCTCATGGGGGAGTAATTTAAAGACTAGAGTTACTGAGAGTGCCAGGAGATACTCCCTATTTGTATTTTTATGTCTTATATGAACTATGTTTTCCAACTGAGAAGAAATAACACTCATTACTGCAGCCCAGCATTGTGTGGGATTGAATCCACACTTAGCAAGTGATGGCTGAGAGCTTGTTTCAGGTGAAGAGAACACAGCGACCTGTGAAAGCCCAGTCTCATACCAATATCTTAGATTACTTTTTTACACAGATCTATATCAGAAAAGTTAGTTATTGAGTGGAGATTTGTTAGGTTGTAAAAAGTTTGGTATTATTTTTATCCCAAACGTGACACTTTACAAATGTGTTGGCAAAGCTGCTAATTAATGTCTTTTCTACACCTGATTAATATTACTCAGCTGGATTCCTCATTGTGTATTGCTGTCTGGTATTTTTAAATCTAGTTGAATTATCATATCGCTCCAGTTTTTCCATTCTAAACTGGCTTTGCATGGAGTTCGAAGTGCATTGTATAATCTTACCTGTGAGTGGTCTGTGGGATAGCTGCAGATATCTCAGACCTCGGGCTTGGGGCTTTCATCAGTACCAGAAACTAGGCAGAACATAGAGCTGTAGAATGACCTTCCAAAGGCCAACTGGGACTGATTATAATGGCATTTCTTGTATTTTATGTATTATTTTACTAATTGTAAATGTTGTGTCTTACACCCTCTACATTTTTTATTATAATTGCCTTCATTTCGTTAAGCAGTTCATACCGAGGGGCACCTTAAGATGTTGTCCATAAAAGGTGCCGCGTAAAATAAATTCTCGATCAGCCGAGTATGTAGTGTTGTATTTGATTTTTGCGCAATAAAACTCAGTGTCAACTTCCTTCTTACTCTGTTTAGCGTATCTTGGAGGATTTGATGGAAACTTTGTGTGGAACAGAATCGGGGCAGGTAGGAGCCTCTTGGGTGACTGTCTGGGGAATAACGCTGTCAGTGCTTGGTAGGAGACCCCATAAATCTGGGGACTGAGAAGGGGTGTCTGTCCTAGAGGTGAGTCCCTCACTGGAAAACATCCCCTGGCCATAACCTCCCTTTTCTAGAACATGCTGTGTTCTAGATGGCTCTGAACACTTCTGGTTGTATCAGACTCTTGCCAAGCTCAAGTACTTCCTAAACATGTTCACATCAGTCACACTGCAGAAGTATCGGAACGTGCAGTTTGACTGTGGGATTTAGTAAATATCTTCCCCTTCTTTATATGATTGCAGCCCTACATATACTGTATGGTGACAGATCATAAGGGCAGTGTAGTGTTGTAAATTTCCAACAGCCTCATAGGACCAAATATAGATGTTTGGATTTTCTGTTGGAACTCTTATGTTCTGCTAAAATTACCCGATTTCTCCTGAGATGAATAAGTGCTTTTGGCCCCTTATTCTTTTTCCTGCATTTTTCAAAATGAATAATGGTGCAGAAACTCTATTTCCCATGACCTGTGAGCTCCTCCAAAAGCCTGTTTCTCTCGCAGTAATCCAGAGCTGCACATCATATGTGCATCATATGAGTAGCACTTTATGATCTGACAGATCATCTGGTGAGTTCTGCCGTAGACCAGGGGCTGGGACTCCGCCACGTGATGTTCTTGAGGCTGGTGCTCAGTTATTGCCTTAAACTGGATACTGCAGCACTGAATTTGTTTGTGATTATTTAACTAAGCATCACTGTCTGTTGTTTTTTTGGAGCTGTGGTCAGGGCCCCCTCTGCTCCAGCTCTCAGCAGCTCGCCCCCAGAGTGTGTTGTGTTCTGGAGGAGGCCTGCTGGCCATGACTGTGTCTTGTGTTCAGAGTACTCCAGGAACGTGCCGGCGTGGAGCCTGCGGGTGGTACCAGCCGTGGCCGGGGCGCTCTCGGTGCCTCTGGGGTACCTGCTGGTGGTGGAGCTGGGCTGCTCCCACGTCGCCGCCCTGGTGGCAGCTCTCCTGCTCCTGACAGGTGGGCAGGCGCTGCGTCCTTCAGCTGAACACGGGATATCTGGGTTCCTCGTTCTCTTCGGGGGGAGGGGGGGTCAGTTTTTGTATTCGGTGGGTGGCTCGGGGGGATGGCACCCCTCTTCCCCTCTCCTTGCAGGGGGTTCCTTACCCAGGTGGTGGGTCTCGCTGATGGGTGGCGTTTTTCACTTTGAGGGAAACAAACATCCTGTTTTTTTAAAAATAAATTCTGGATGCCTGGGAGAGGCCTTAAGTACTAGAATGTTGCGTCAAAAATGGGAACTGTAAACAACTATAATGTTGTATATTTTATAAACGACAGCGCGGGGTCGTGGGTGGAGCCAGATTCTATCCCAGCAGGCAGCAGGTACGAGGATTGGTAAACATGCTTGACGTAACGTCAGGCCAACGCAGGGCAGACGCAAAAACACAGACACACATGCTCACCAGGGCCAGTTTTCCCAGAAGCCAAATAACCCACCAGTAAGTCTTTCAACCATGGGAGGAAACCCATGCCGACACTGGGAGTACATGCAAACTCCACACAGACAGCACCCCAGGTCTGGAATGGTACTCAATGCCTCAGCAAAGCGAGGCAGCAGCGCTCACCACTTCACCACTGTGCCGCCAATATTTCTGTGACACATCCGTTCTTTAATTTTCTTCCCCAGAAAACTCCCTTGTCGTCCAGTCCCGGTTCATGCTGTTGGAGTCGGTCCTTGTGTTCTTCCTGCTGCTGGCCATCGTGTCCTACCTGAAGTTCCACAATGCTCACAGCTCCGGGTAAGGCACAGCATTTCAGCGCTCCCTGTAGTGTGCACAGGCCGTCTGTCAGGGACAGCCGAGTAATCAGGCCCGTTCTTCTCTCCCAGCTCCGGCAGCTCTGTGAGCACGTGGGCTTGGCTCTTCCTGTCTGGGGCAGCCTGTGCCTGCGCGGTAGGGTAAGCCTTTGTTTCAGAGCTGTTCTGTCGCGGTTCACAATCGATGGCTTTCCCAAATGAACAGAAAATATACCTGCTTTTGACTAGTTTAGCCTTGTTCAGAAAAATCTGCAAATACATATCCAGTCCCTCTTTAAAACAGATGCATGTTACTGAGCCAAAACTGTTAAGTCCATACATTGGGTGAAATAAGCAGAATTGCTTACATTTGTGCTTCAAAAACCATAATATTAATTATTAGAATAAAATTAATTTGACAGCATTCATTCCAAATGACCCCAAAGCAGTTTATGTATAGGAGGCGCCTGACTTCATCCACCAGTGTAGGGTGGCAAATTCAGCCTCTGTGCACCAGCTGTCCCACTGCTTAGCGAAATGAGAGAAGTGGGACATTTCTTCTGCACTTGAATTAAAGTGAACACTTAAAGGGGGTCAGATTGTGCTCGTCCAAAGTGGAATTTAGGTTGGGCAGTGCGTTTAGCACCCCCCACGCTTACGAACAGAGTTCAGTGACCAGGCTGTCAGGACCTTGGTTTACTGTCCTATCCGAAGGATGACCCATCCTTCACCTTCTCATCCCGGCACTGTCCAGGGCTTACCTTCTGGGATCAGACAAGATCAGGCTCAGGCTAGAAAGTGGTAACGCTGAGGCCAATAATCTATACTATTATACATACTGTGCAACCCATAAATAATACTCTATATCATAGTTGAGTCCAGTCTTTAAAATATGTGAATGTTTTAATGGAAGATTCCACATTCTCTCCATCAGATGTTCAGATCTTCAGGGACTGAGCAGTTGACATGCACTAAGCTGTTAGCTCGTGCGTTTCCCTCATTGCTCTTTTCAAACTGGCTTCTCTAGAGTGAAGTACATGGGCCTCTTCACTTACCTGCTTCTGCTTCTGCTTGCGGGAGGACACACCTGGCAGGTCATCGGAGACAGAAAGCTGGGGAACGTGAGTGTGTGGTACACAGGCCACTTTCACTGCATTTTCAAATCCTGTGAACCGGAGTGTTTATTAGTGCTTTATTAAGGCTCACATTTTGTCCTGTGTTGATAAGACGATTGAAAGGGTCTGTAATCTGTATCCACCAAGATAAACCACAGTAGACAGCGCTGTGAGCTGGTGGGACTGTTGTTTCATTCGTGATCATTGTGCATGTGCTGAATAAATTTTACAGAGAAAGTTGCTATGTGTTTTTTGGACCTCGGCTTTATCACTGGGTTTTCATTTCCTGAACGCAGTTGATCCAGACTACATTCAGTCTATACAAAGGAAGGTATAAATGAGGTGTGTAGGCATTGAGGAGCATGCAGGTTGGGTTCAGTGTCTGAAGTGCGTCTTTACTGGCTTGCAGGCGACCGTGTTGTGCCAGGTGGTTGGCCGGGGCCTGGCCCTGGTGGTGCTCCCTGCCCTCCTCTACCTGGGCTTCTTCTACGCCCAGCTGAGCCTGCTGTACCGCAGCGGCCCACACGACCAGATCATGAGCAGTGCCTTCCAGGCCAGTTTAGAGGTGGGTCAGCTCTGCGGCGCCGACACGAGCGAACGTGGCTCGGTTTGACTTCGGTCTGCTTTGGCTCCATCAGACACGTTGTCTTGTCTTGTCTTGTCTTGTCCAGGGCGGGCTGTCTCGGATCACGCAAGGGCAGCCTCTGGAAGTGGCCTTCGGCTCTCAGGTCACCCTGCGCAATGTCCTCAGCAAGCCCCTGCCCTGCTGGCTGCACTCCCACAAAGCCAACTACCCCATCAGGTAGGGCTCTCGCACTGGAGATGGGTGAAATTGTCATTCCTTCATGCAATATAGCGCCTCCAAAATTAGATCTGTTTAAAAATTAGAACAGTTTTTGGATTGTTGTTGGCCCCATCCTTTAAATGGATTAGTAACTTGTTTGGTACGACAGCCCTAATATCCCAGTTACTGGCTGCCGACACCATTTACCATTTAAACGTTTCCCGCAGTGTGCTCATACAGTACCTTCCTGTTCATTTGTCCTCCATGAGGATTGAGATCTAAGAGACGCGTCTGCTCTGCACATACGGAGAGTGTGGGGGTCGAAGGGTCAAGTCATGGGGTCCATTCAAGTCTTAGTGGGCTTCTGGGATAAAGGTTCAATGATTGGAATACGTCTTCAAGTGCCGTATACGCTAAGTCCTTTGTGTGCTGACTCTCCTGCAATGTCAGGAGATAAGCGCATCATTCTCACTTTCCTGTCTCTGTGGCCCAAGGTACGAGAATGGCAGAGGCAGCTCCCATCAGCAGCAAGTCACCTGCTACCCCTATAAAGACATCAATAACTGGTGGATCATTAAGGACCCAGGGAGGTAAGTACCCTGAGATTCATCGACTTGTCACCTCTGATCATTTTGTACATTATAAAAAGTGCTTGTAAGGTGGTAATGAGGGGAAAGACAACTACATAAGAAGCACAACCTTATTGTTTTCTTCCACAGTGAGAATCCTGTCCATTTTGTCCAACAGAAGCTAAATATTGCCTCATGGTCATGCCCTGTTTTCAGTGCTGTCACTGCAGACGCCTTCGTGTCGTGAGTTTCCTGTTCCTTCAGACGTGTTTCTCTCCTGTTCTCAGGCAGGAGCTGGTGGTGAGCAGCCCCCCGCGGCCGGTCAGACATGGGGACATTGTCCAGCTGGTGCACGGCATGACCTCTCACCTCCTCAACACGTACGCCCCACATTTCGCAGCCGGCTAAACTTCTGGGGATCTCGCCACACTCCAAGTGTGCTCAAGTTTGCAGCAAGCAGATTTTGTTTGTAGCCTATGGAGAGCAGTTATTTCAGTGTTGGGCATCTTCCATTGTAACATCAGTCGTTACAATGTTCTGAGCCTCCACTGATCCTTTCTAACGTCATGAATACTGTAGCACAGCTTAGTCTGGAAAGACAGAAGAGACAAAAGTTGTCATTTTACAATCTTCGCAGTGATTAGAATCTGTAAAAGCCTGATCATAGCAGCTCCAGGTAAATTACATGAGAAGCCAGTCTGAAGTATTGTAGTTCTTAGTGTGACGTTTGCTGGGCAGATCTAATTTACTTATCTAATTGCTGTCTCATCTCCTGTTAGGCACGATGTGGCTGCTCCCATGAGCCCTCACTCACAGGAAGTGTCCTGTTACATTGACTTCAACATCTCCATGCCTGCCCAGAACCTCTGGCGAGTGGTAAGGAAATACAAGTACAAATGTTTGCCGAGCTGAATTCCAGACCTTGGGTGCTCCCTGCGTTGTGTGATCTCCCCGTCTTTCCAGGGGTTTCCTCACAGTCCAAAGACACTGGTGGGTTAACTGGGAAGCCTGGCCCTGGTGTGCGTGCGTGCGTGCGTGCGCCCTGGCCCTGGTGTGTGTGCCCACTTCTTGCTGGCTAGGCTCCGACTCCCACGCGACCCTGACCCTGATGAAGCCGTTAGGAAATGGAACGATTTTATTATGATTATAGAATTCGAACTCAATATTGTTTTACACTGTTTTGCTGCCTGCATTTTTTAGTCTGTTCTATTGAAATCTAAATGCCAGAAGGAACATTTTTGAGACAAAGCTGTGCACGATAAGCCTGAAAGCACAAGGGACAGCTTGCAGGTCTGGCAGGTCTGCTTGTATTTCCAGGACATTGTGAACCGTGAGACGGAGCACGAGGTGTGGAAGACTATCCTGTCGGAGGTCCGACTGGTCCACGTGAACACCACAGCAGTGCTGAAGGTAAGAGCCTTTCCCAGAGACTCATCGAAACACAGCATTTGGCCAGGTAGATCATTTTATCAGTCCTATTTAAATTTAGTGTACCTGTATAGTTAGAAATATCCCATGAAGTACAATAAAGTTAACAAAGTATATGCTATGTAATGTTTCATAAAAGAAGCTCCATTTTCTTTTGCTTCTGAAAATATGGTTATGTATCGAACCATTGTTTTAGAATGCTTCACATGGTAGATTTTCTTCTGCCTGTTTTAATGCCATCTACACTGGTAGCCCTTATCTGAGATGGGTCCTGGGAGGAGCAGGTGGGTGTTGTTGAATGCCGGTCTGGAGCTTGACGGGAGTCCTGTTCTCTGTCTGGGGGGTGATCACATCGCTGACACTGGCCGTGGCTCCAGCTGAGCGGAGTGTTGCTGCCCGAGTGGGGGTTCCGGCAGCTGGAGGTCGTCGGGGACAGGATCTCGAGAGGACACCAGCAGAGCATGGCCTGGACTGTGGAGGAACACCGCTATGGAAGAAGTAAGCTACCGAGATGCAGAACGCCCACCGGTCTGGGCTCAGGTGGTTTCCAGGTCTGCTTCAGTCTGAGCGTGCTTTGATTTAGTTGTCTTTCATTTTATCATGATCCTCAAACATTTTATCATCTAAAAAAGGTCCAGATACACACGCTCAACTGAGAGGACTATAGCAATAATAATTCTGCCCTTTGAAATGCTAAATTAGTATTCAGAAGCCAGAAAGAAAATATTATTTTCCCCTTTCCTCTAGGTCGTGAACAGAAGGAGAGGGAGCTGGAGTTACACTCCCCAACGCAGATTGACGTCAGCAGGAACCTCAGCTTCATGTCCAAGTTCATGGAGCTGCAGGTGAGATCGGCGACTATTATTCACTGACCCAAGTAGCGGTCACCAATGGCCATGTCTGAAAAGGAGTAGGACATGGTGCTTAGATATTGTGCACCATACACCAAGGAGAAGTGAAATTTGGTATCTGCTGATAACTGGAGGCACCACTGACTATGGCAGCAGGTGCAGCAGTGTTTTTATACACCAGGAATGCACTGCATGCCCACTGCCTAGCTCTGGCATTGGTAGTGTCCTGCGGTGTGCACTCTTGACTTATCTGCACGTGCACGAAATCTCATTACTCCACTGTGCCGTGATTAAGTCCTGTGTTTTTGTGAAGCCACTAGTAACACTGGGACACGTGTTCTCTGGCAGTGGAAGATGTTGACACTGAAGAACGAGGAATCGGAACATAAATACAGCTCCTCCCCTTTGGAATGGATCACCATGGATACCAACATTGCGTACTGGCTCCACCCCTCCAGTAACGTAAGCTGTAACCCTTCTCTGAGCCAGGCAGGGGGTTCTGTGGCTGGGCAGGTTCATTTGTCCCAGTGCCAGAGCCGCCATGTGGACCGAATGACCGGTCATTAGGAACTCTTCCAAACTAGAGCGCCTTCAGTCCACCCTGCTCATTTATTCTGTTTTCAATATGCAGTCATTATCCGAAGGGCCCTGCATTCGAGAAGAGCTGTTGCTGCAGAGTCACAGTACGACCTGGGCTTTACATCTCTTCCAACGTAATGAGCCCAAGCAGGTCCAGTCAGCATGACACCCAGGGCTGAAGCTGGGGTCCCCTGCCTAGCCTTACACCTGAGGCCAGGGCTGTATACAGTATGTTTAGAAATATTACTGCAGTGACCTCAAGGGGTTTGATGAATGATGTCGTGGGGAAAAGCAAGAAGAGGTTGAAAGTGTTTGTGTGTGCTTATCCTAGGCTCAGATCCACCTCATCGGGAACATCGTCACCTGGTCTTCTGCCAACCTGGGCCTCGTCGTGTTCGTGCTGCTGTTCCTCTGGTACCTGCTGAGGCGGCGGCGGAAGATCGAGGATATTCCTCACGGTAAGAGTGAAACTGTAGCGCGCCGCTCTGGCAGGGCTGAGCCACAGCCTGGCCGGGATCGATCCCCGCTTCAGTCGAGCATTGATCTGCGACGCAGAATGAAAGGCTGGGTTACTGCATTCTGATCAGATCTTTTCAAATATAAGGAAGAAGATGCACAGCTGTCTTGTGTCATATACATCGCGCTCTCCCACTCTGAATTCGTCTCGCGTGTTTTAATTGTCTGTGCTTCCCTTGCTCTCTCCCTGCCCGTGTGTCTGCAGCTTCCTGGTGTCAGTGGACTCTGGCAGGGGCAGTGTGTGCAGGAGGCTGGGCGGCCAACTACCTGCCTTTCTTCATGATGGAGAAAACGCTCTTCCTGTACCACTACCTGCCTGCCCTCACCTTCAAAATCCTCCTCCTCCCCATAGTGCTCCAGCACCTGCACCACCACCTCCTCAGGTACTCAGGGCTGCGGGCCGACCTGTGTTCAGGCGCTGAGTTTCCAAAGCCACGTCTCAAAGGCTTCCATTGCCAGTCCCCTCTGTCCAAATTAATATCGCCATTATTTAGTGATGCTGGCTCAACACTGTTTCCTTCTTGAATGTACGTATGACATTGTGGGAAATATGATGTGTTATTTTTTACAGTGTGTGTGTGTGTGAGATCTCATGGTGAAGAGTGGCCTGTCTTTGACGATACTTTACGGAGGTGTGATAAATACTGCCTGTTGTTGCCTCTCTCCAGGTCCTCGCTGCACAGACGTGCTCTCGGTGGCCTGCTCCTGGCCTGGCTGTCCTCGGTGTACCTGGTGCACCGCCGCTTTTGCCCCCTTACCTACGGCCAGCCTGTCCTGTCCGCCGCCGAGCTGGGGGCCCTGCGCTGGAGGGACTCCTGGGACATCCTGATCCGCCAGCACTGACGGCCGACAGGTACTGCGACCCTGGGAGAGGGCGTGGACTGGAAACTGCGGGTGGAGAACGACATTGTGGCCCTTGTCCCTCACACCAGTTATACATTGTGGACGTGCACAGGCCTCCTGCTGTCACCCATGACTATTTGCATTTTGTCTGGGAGAGCCCTGTGCTGTATTTCTAATCTGGATCGTCTTTTTTATCACGTACCCACCCAATCTGGAATCTCCAAGGCTCGGCTAGCCCGGCAGGAGAGGAAGCTCCAGCTGCAAGTGTGACGTGTTGTTCACTCTGTCCCAGCGCCACCTGTCAGCGAGTTCCAGTCCCCAGTCCCAGTCCCAGTCCCCTAGTGGCATGACCCAGGCTCAGTCCCGCAGCGTCCTGCGAACCATGGGAGTACCTTCATGGGCAAATGCTCAGACCAGCTGCTTAACATGAGTTAAGCTCACACAGGCCCTGTCCCTTACATCATACTGTATCCACAATAATGTGCTTCTTTTTTAAAATGGAGTACCCTTCTTCAAGCAAGGCTAAACGCGTATTTCACCATGGTGAGGCTGGATCCTCAGGGTTCTATGTGTGCTTCATGTGCACACAGCAATAAGTCTTATGTTCTGCATTAAATGACAGTGTTTTAAAAAAGTGAAACTAAAACTCTTTGAGAGAATATCATAATTAGTAACTTTATATTAAAGTTAGCTAGAGTGTGATGGCGTAAAATGTTATCTTTTAAGACAACCTTAATAGCAACCTTAATAATTTCCTTATATTTGAAAATGCATTTTTAGTTTTAGACATATTTGTGATGTCTATCACAGTTGTACATGAATCATTGTACATAAAGAACGATTAAAATATCAAAGTTGAAATCACTGTAATTCTTTATTACAATTTCTTCAAAAATGAAAACATTAACAGTAATGACCTTTTTAAATGAATTATTCTTCAACAGAGATACAGTTGTCCATTTCACAAATGTGAAAACACTTGCATTTTATTGCAAAAATATTCAGGTAGACATCCAAAAGAATTAAAATATATTTATACATTATTCTCAGCAAACATATACATAGAATAAACCTAGGTATCAGAAACATGTCTTAGTATGAGTAGAAAACAGTTTAATTTGTTAGTGACTTGATATAAAGAGAGAGTAGAGAAATGAACACTTCTCTGGAGTCGGTAAGGATGTAAAGCAATACAGGTGGCGGAAGACATGTGTCCTTCATGCCAGTGGCAGCAGCTGCCCTGTGTGCAGACATGGCAAACCTGTGCCAGCAGAGCGCAGATTTAGACACGTTTACAGCACCACCACGCTCATAACACTGTTGACCTGTTCTCCTTTTCACAGTCACAAGTCCGGTCGGGAAACACTAGAGTTCGCAAGCGGAGTCCTAACACTGCCACTGCGGGACAGCGGGATTCCTAAACACCAGGGGCCATTAAGCTTTGTTAGCATTATACTCTTTATAAGTATTGTGCACATATTTTATATGTAAACAAAAGGCTATAACTGTTTTACTTCTTTTGTAAGATTCCCATGTGTTATGCGTAATGTGAAACACCGAGCTGTACTCTAGGTAGAAGACCTGTAAAAAGCACATGAACTGAATGGGGATAAAACAAAAGGTCTGGATTCATTATGAAAAAAAACAGAGAAAATCTTAACTAAGTGAACAACACTATCAGGCTGTGATTAACCATGTCAGCTGTTGAATACTGCTGACTACACTAAATACCACTTTAGGAAACGGGAACAGGACTAGACACTGATAGTCGGCACGGATCAGCGTGGCCTAAGGAGAACCAATGGCATATTCAGCTACAGTTATTAAACTGTTTTTACAACATTAATAAATAAATGCTTGTTTTAAAAGGATTTCTTTGTTACCCTTTATTCACGTTTCTGATGCACAAAAGCACCCTCTCCAATGTGAGAGGTCTGGGAAATATATATTTTATAAGCATTTCTCAAAGTACCTAACCAAAAACGCTGGGGATTTTTAATTCTAATCTCTCATTTATGAGAGACTGAATTTGTTGTTTTGTTTGTGCTAATAACACTTTAGACCACAGGGCTTTGGAAACTTGCTCATTTCCAGGACTGAAGGTCCACTGCAGCTGCCGTCTCCCCAGGACCAGGGACTGTCTCTGACAGTGCGACTATAACAAGGGGCAGCTGTGCTGCACGTGCAGGATGCTGCCATCACAGTTGCACCTGACGGTTTGTGTTCTAGATTTGTTTTCTAACTTGCTACTTCTATAAACGCATTCCTAGAGGATTTGCCGAGATGTCCTGCCTCTCTTCCTGATTCGTTGGTTTGCTGTCATTCTCGTGGTCATGTCTGCCCACAGCTACATGGCTATAAACTGTATGATTACAGTAGACACAGCAGCCTCCCACACTGGCTAGAAGGGGTTATGGGGGGGTATCGATGAGGAGTCGAGATGTCGGGGCGCTCGCTGCTCGTGTACCCGTTCTGCAGCTGCAGGAGTGCGCGGAGGCAGGCGGCTGGGCAGACAGGAACTGGGAGGATGAAGCCTGGGGGCTGTGGAGGTCTCAGTGGGGTCGGCTGCTGGGTTCCAGTAGGATACGTTTCCCTGGGGGGGTTGTCACCCCATTACCCACGTCCCCTTGCTCCGGCAGGCCCCGCTTGTACCCCCGGCCCTGGGCGTCGCTGTGCACGGCGCCGCGCTGCCACCTGCAGAGATCTCCGTTCAGGATGTCCTGGATGTGCTGCACGATCAGATTGATCGCCACTGTCGTGAAGAGAGAGGACAGTAGATGGAGAGGGGGTTCGGTACAGCAGGACGGCTCAGGTTACACGAGCTCCAGGCTCTAGTACAAACCGGTGAAGCCGGAAAGCAAATCTATGTCTTTAACATTCTTTTCACTCTACATCTCTTTACTAATGAAATACCGGAACGTCAGCTCATACAAAAAGCTTCCAGCTTTTTGTGGCTTCAAAACCTATGCACTGAAAATCTTCCTTCCATTTCTAAAAGAAAAGTAGTTTTCTCAAAGCTCTTTGTTTTTGTGTTTTATTGCCTTGCGATTAACATCTCTTTGAACTTACAATAAGACGGTTCACTTTCCCAGTTAAAAACATTAACGCTCCACTAACAGCTACCTTCATATCACACTACTCACCCATGTTATCCACTCCTCGGGGTATTATAACATCTGCATATTTTTTAGTCTGCAAAAGGAAAGACAAGAATCAGCTGTCTTTATAAATCTCCTAAACCCCACAAAGCAACAGTGCAGAAACAAAATGAGCCCGTTTGACCTTCCAGAAAGTTGAATCTTAAGCTTCTCATTCCATTTATAGTCCATATTTATATGGTAAAACCAAGCATTTAAAAAGAAGCTTTTCTGGTCACCTTCATTTTTTAAATTATGTTTCACTGGTACAAGAAACTCTTATCCAAATTCTCCCTTCCTGCATTATTGGTCTCACAGTAAAATGTTAGGACTACTAAGCAATTGATAATCTTTTAAAATGGTCAGTGTTCTATAAAATATATTTCATCATACAACAATCAACATTCTAGCAAAGCCTTTGCAGAACTGAATTTCTTTTTTAAACATTAGTAACAGTATTACCGGCAAGCAAAACTCTTCAAATGCAGGTTTTACAAAGGTGGTGTACTGAGAGAGAATCTGTTCTAGGTCTCTCCCTCTCTTCATGTCCCGGAGAACTGGAAGAGAATCAGAGAAAGCATCAACTATAGCAGCCTTTGGGCACATTAGGAAACTGCCTTATTCCTCTGGCACCTTCATTTCCAAAACTTTTAAGAACTTTATTAATGGGTAAGATATCTGGTGTAAACTTACACTTTTTCCAAATAAAATACAAATTTAGTAATATATAATATATCTTTAGATGCAGAGTATATTCAGTGTTGCTAAAAAGCTTCATTAATGTGTAACATAGTGTAAACTTGACCTTTTAATAATAATAATAAACTTTATTTTATATAGCACCTTTAAAGGTGGCTTCTCAAAGCGAAAGTTCTTTTCAAATAAAAAGAGTATTTATTTTAAATGTACCGTATAGTCTATGTTTGTTATTATAAACTTCATGCAAGACATAATGGCATTTAACAAGCTTTCCTGTCAAACCTATATGCATCTTTGAGGTTTTTCTTTCTTGTCTAAACCAGATAAACTCTTTTCCAAACGTGGAAATTCAGAAGCTAGAAAGAGGGTCTTTTTTCACTCACTGTTTCCGACCAAGACGGGGAGCTCGACTTGTCCCTACCTCTGCGTGACAGCCTCACGTCCGAGTCGGTGTCCACGAACAGCTTCATGTGGAACATGTCCCGAATCTCCTGGGAGTAAAACACCAGGATCCCCTCAAAGAGCACTACATCCGCTGGATAGACGGTTATCCTGTCTTGCAATCTGAAAGGAAAACAATTTTAGAGCTACAGAATAATTCCCAAACCTCTGACATTTACTGGAGGAAATGGAGGACTGCTGCACTCTCACTATATTGTTAAATTGGCGAAGCAAGTTAACGGAAAGGTCTTGTCACCCTGATAATAGAGGTCAGCCGCACAAGTGTCTAATATAAAGTGTCAGTTTGTATTTAAGTATTCTGACATTGTTCAGTCCTTTGTAGTTCACGATAGTTTTATGAAACCTTATCTGAATATCTCAAGGTGCTATTGTTTGTGCTGCCTTCACAGAATTTCCTCTTGCATTTAGAGGAACAGAATAGCAAGACGTTCAGATGTTGAAATAAATGAGGTTGTTCTTATGTCAAAATACTGAATGTCGGACCTATTTTTGTTTTACCTGGAATGGGTGACAAAATCATATGTAGGGACTTCCACCGCCTTCCCCTCCACGATGTCCTTGAGGGTCTGATACATCAGTTCATTGTCGAAAGCATCTGGAAGGAAGGATAAAGGTGTGACGAAGGGCAGCAGCTGGCCCAGAGGCGTGCGGGCGTGATTAACGGTCACGAGCTCGTGGAAGCTGCCCGGGGGCGCCGGGCCGGAGCGGTTGGTACCTGGGTGGTCGAAGTTGTACTGGCCCTTCAGCGCCTTGGCTTTCTGCTCGGAGGTCAGGACCCTGTAGAAGGAGTCCTGGCTCACGATGACCACCTTCCGCTGGTGATGGTCCACCTCGTTCTGCCCCAGCAGCTCCATGATCTTCGCACACACTGTGGACTGCAAGCAGATGGCTTGTGAAAACATCATCCCGTATGTGTACATCCTAATCCTGTACATGTTAGCCCCCCTATACAAGTCACTACACTTTACCTGTTTGTTTTGTAACCGATGTCCAAGATCTGACACAGTACAGATGCCACTGTTAATATAAGCCTGTTTTTACAAGTGGTTTAAATAAAAAAACTTACCAAAGATATCATCAAAGGTATAATAAACGGGGCGAGTTTATGGATTTAAATTCAAGAAAGCTCTAGATATTGTTGTTACGGGGTTTAATGGATTATTCTTCTTCATAAGGATACAAAAACTGGTGGAGACTGTCGAGTCCCTGTCTAAAGTAGTTTTATAGCCAGTTTGTGTGATGTCAACCTTTTTGATAAAGATTATAAAATTGGTCATGTGTATTAAGCTACTAAGGTTTAGTAGTTTTTTTTTTTCCCTTAGCAGCTGCTTTGGACTGCAAAAGCAAGCCAAGTAAATAGGTTGATCTAAGGCAGTGAAACAGAATGTACCCTGAGCAGAGATGAAATCAGTGTTCTTTTCCAGGCTTTAACTGTTGACTTGTGAGCTCTGACCTACATTCCAGCTGTGCCTTCCCCCTTCCAGAGCTTCGTATTTGCGCCACATCTGAACAGCTCATCTCTGGGAAGCCCAGACCCTTTTCTCCCGGGAGGGAAGCTCCATACAGCAGTTTCAGAAAACATAATGTCACATGTTGCTGGAGGACCAGACATCACCAAGCACTACTGGGCACTTTTTCATTATAGTTATGCCTCTGGACCGCAGGAGAGCTTGGTTATTTTTATATAGAGTTCTTGAGAGGCTTCAGCAAACTATAATTAGCCATTGTGTAACAAACACACAACCGTGAGGGCCTGTAAACTGTAGTAATGTGGTTCTGCAAGGTGCCATGAAGTACCCCCAGGGAACTGGATCAGACTTTAACTCAAGTAACTGTAAGCTAATATGCGATTCCCCACATTAGCACTGTACTCAGAGCTGCTTCACAGATGGCAGAAAGCATGAGCAAGTACACACTACACTGTACGCGCAGCACGAACACTGAATCCTGTCTTTCTAATTGTCTTTCTAACAGATCCGGTGACACTAGCCAGGGGTGGAGGCAGCTAAACCGAGCTAGCGGGAGAATTTGTAAGCACATGGTAAAATACCCTGAACGCCTGTTTTCATCACTCATGCTCGGTTCTTACAGGCCGGAACCAAAAAAGTAAGTCCCGACTCTCAAGTGGCTCTAATCAGAAACATGTAATGTCTGCTTATCCAATATCCATGCATAGTCTGATCCACAGAAGCCCTTTTGTCTGCTAGTTTAGTTATCACATTACCGAAAACATCGCCCTTAATATTTTGAGACCCCAAGGCATTCAACTGCACATAAAAGGTTATTTTTGAAACCCCTAGAATTCCAACTGATGTTGATTACGCAAAAAAAAAGTCCTGTCATATGGCAGTGCTCATCTGGGAGAAAATGAGTGCTACAGCTCCAATGTATGTCTTAACCGGGCGTTATCACATCGTGCAGCTTGCAGACGATCGATCAGTGACTGGTTTTCTACGGCTGCTCAACTCGTTAGCTGGTTCAGAATCGGTCTGGCTGATATTAGTCACTCTCAATGTCTTAGAACCGCTGCTACTCTTGTGTATACCAATGTTAACAGTAACGTCAGGATAGACAGGGCACTGTACAGGTAATAATTTAAAGCCAGAATTCAGGGGAATGCTCAGTGGCCCGTTCAGTCCCCGCACGGTTTGTAAGTTCAAGTGACTTAAGTCCTTTGGCACATTTTCACGTTTCATTCTCGCAGGAGGCGCGACAGTGCGACTTGTTTTGCTGTGAGCAGCGCCGGCCTCCGTGCTGTGGCTTCGGGTGTCGAAATAAAAGCCGAGCTGCGACAGTCCGACATCAGAGCCGGCGCGTCGTGTCGGCCAGCAGGGTGGGGGACAGACACACGCCGGGGTCGCCCCGAAGAGCCTGACCTGCCCTCGCAAAACGCGGAGCCGGGACCCGTCTAGAAGCAGGAGTTGCCCTTACTCGCATGCCGCCGCTGTGAATTATAAACGGCTTGTTGGGGACTAGAAGTCACTGCCTACGGTGAACTGTGAAGCAATGTCCCCGGCGCAGCAGTGAAATGAGCCGCCGCCCCTCACCTTTCCGCTGGCGGTGCCTCCGCTCACGCCTATCAGGAAAGGCCGGTGATGAGGCCGCTCGGGTTCAGCGGGCAGCCCGACACCCGCCATGGCTGTTCGGCAGTAATCCGGTAGGTACGGGCCCTCCGCCTCCAGCGAAAATAGGTCTGCAAGTCAGGAATCTCACCGTTCCTGGGGACTCTGGACCCTGCGCCGCACCACCGGGCCCTGCACAACTACAACTCCCAGGACCCTTTGCGGGGACGCTGCTTTGCTTGGCCGCACGGTAGGCGAAAGGGTTGCCGGTAGTTGGAGTATGAACTTGTTCGCTGGGAAGTTCTTGGTCCAGCTCAGCGCGCATGCTCGCCGAGTGGGGTTGCGAAGACAGCGCACTGAAGTTATGGCAGTATGAGTGCATGCTGTTCTCCGTGTTGTGACATGTCGAGAAGATGCAGTAGACATTTTAATGCAATGGCGGTGAGGTGTTTTTTATATAATACTTAAATAATTGTATAATTCGAACAAAGCGAGTTTTCTTGTTTAGTTTTTACTTTGCTGTGTCTTCACTGTGCTCTACTGAATCTGGAAGTGTGGGAATACTGTAAAACGCATTTCAAATCCTACTCGCAGTGTCTTCTCTGCAGAGGAAACTTGAACGATGTTGAAGGCCTCCGTCACCCCTCCTGACCATGGATCAGTAAAACACAGCGTTGTCATCGTTTCACATGGCTATGCAGACTGGAACAATCACTATATCCCGAGCCGGAGCAGCAGGTGCAAGGCAGGACACACCTTGGACAGGACACCAGTCCATCACAGGGCACACAGACACACCAGGGCCAGTTTCCCCAGAAGCCAGTTACCCTCCCAGCAGGTGTTTGGGCTGTGGCAGGAAAGCAGAGCACTCAGAGGGAACCCACACAAACTCCACACAGACAGCACCCCAGGAACTGAGCCCAGGACTCCAGCACCGCGCCACTGTGCTGCTGAGCCACGTTATCTCCAGCTTACTTTATTTGACCATTATATCACTAAAAAGACAGAACAGTCGATTATTACAGATACTGCTAAATCAAAATAATCGCAAACACAGCTCCTGCTGTATGTCTAGATAAGGCTGAACGCCAGAACCATGAAAACTACAGTATTCCTGCAAACAAATCTGGATTTTGTGTGGCAGTTATCCCAGTATTGTAACTGTAGTAAGGAAGAATTTCCTATGAAGTCAATGCTTATGTTACTCAGGTGATACAAACCTGTTGTAATCAATCCCTGAACCCAGTAGTGTGTGATCAGACCATGTGATTGCACTCATGACTAATTTATGCAGCCATGAAGCCTCAGGCTCATATTACTTGAAGCCCAACCGCAGCTCAAGAAGCCCTCTGTTCTTTGTGTCAAACACTACAGTATCCAAACACTTGGAAGCTGAAAAGGTACTTGGTACTTCTGTGGCGTTTCATGACTTCCCCTTAAACTGCCACTCCCTGCTGCATTTCTCAAAACTTCCAAAGGTTATTCCCTCCAACTAATATTAATTTACTGCCCCTGGCTGGTTTCTCTCTCACTGTCATTTAGTCACTGCATGTGGAAGCAATTGGATTACCTCAGTGTGATACAATGGAAAATAATGAGAACACATACTGATAATTCACCTTGGGCTTGAGCATGAGATTTTATATACAAGGCCTGTGCAGAACATTTTATGATCTGAACCAGGATAACTAAGATTGCCTATAAATGCCGGGCATTCATAACTTAATTCAAAGGAAGTCCAATATGCTCTGAAGAGTGTCAGGTGTAACTGAATGTAGTTCCTTGTCATTTCTACCTGTAAATCCTAAAATTTGAGAATTTTCTACACCTAGACTCCAGAGTCACAGGGATTCAGATCAGTTAACATGATTTTGTCCTTCACTATATAGGGAATCCTGTTAAAAATATTGTTCTCAAAGCCTGTCCTCAAACCCCGCAAGGTCCCTGTAGGTTTCTTTGCAAAACAGCAAGATCAATCCCCAGAGAAATACCTTTTCACAATGAACACGCTTCCCTTCGTGCTGTCTTGATGCTGCTGTCTTGGGTTTAGAGGTATGAAACTGTAGCCATAAACACCTTTTAGCTTGATGAAGGCAATCAGTGCTTCCTACCTCATGCTGGTGTTTTGAATCTTTAGAAGTCAAATTATTGCATTTAGTCAACTCAATCACAAATATGGCACTTTATGCATTACATTCCATGTGGCTTCTACAGATGAATGGTGTTGATGCTGTTTTGTTTTTTTGAAAACACTTCTTTCTAAGATGTGCAGCCACCCCATACAAACCAGTCTTCTCTGGGATTTGTCTGGTGATGGTACAGTATATGATACGAATACATCACGCTTCACATTGCTGCATTCGCAAACATGTCTGTGCTTTTGCAACACTCACCTAGAAGACTTTTAGTGGGAACCCTGTCTTCTCCATGAAACAGTTCTGTGGAGAGGCAGCCGTGTTTACAGCACAATAGCTAGTATCTCATACGGAGAAGCCAGGTAGTCAATGTTCAACAAATCAGGACTCCCATTTGACACTTTGATATTGCACATCATTCCATTTTATTACAAATCGGTGACTGTAAAATTATTTATTGGTTTACCCTCGTTACATATCCAGACAAAACATGTGCTTCTAACAGGGCATGAGTAATGGACTCTGGATACCACAATAAAGGCGTCAGGAGCCGATTCTGGATTAACTCAAGGTCGCTCTGCAGTTCAGAGTTCTCTGGTCAAGCTGTCCAGAACACCCTGCGCAGGCTTCCTCGTCGATCCAGAATTGACTTGGCCTTTTGTCGCTCGGCTGTGCCAACCTCCTCTCTCTCTCCTGGCTTCTCATCGCCTCCTCAGCCCAGGGAGAGCTGGCACCACCAGCCAGAGCCTGGATCACTATCACAGCCTGTCCTTATCCAGCACACAACCTTGTCAATTATTAATGAAACCTGATAGACTCGCTCCCTGCAGAGGAAAAACACAACAGGCTGCTTTCATTTCAGAGAGTTTTGGAGCCTAAACTTTAAACACGTTTTCTCCCTGTCTCTTACTTTTCAGCCAAATATGCGTTGATTCGTCTCTGGCACAGTTTAATGGTGGATCTTCTGAATGACCTCATAAGCCCAAGACCAGGTTTTCCAACAGAGATTGATACAGCTTTTGTCTACCAATGGACTCAGGTAACAAACATTTTTTTTTTTGCTTGTAGTAGAGTTGATGTTTGCTCAGGTTATTTTGGGAATTTGTAATCTATCAATTACGCAATCAAAAAAGATACGCAGACCTGTTCTTTGAGGATCTTGTTTTTACATGGTGTGGGCTTTAAAATAAACTGGACAGTAGGAAGAATCCTGCACATTGGTTTCTGTTGTTTCTGTTCAGAACAGGACAGAATATGGGCAGTATTCTGTGTAATTGTGTGATTTGTACAATAATGTCTGTGTTGGAAGCAAATGTAATTGGAGTGTATGTATTAGGTTTGCTGATAATAAAGAAGAAAAAATAGTTGGTTACAGATATTATTATTAAATAATTTTAAATATGAGTTTCTAAATTTGAAGAATAGCTCCATCTCTTGTGTAGTTTTCATGTTTCTCCAATAGTTCTAGTTAGGAAGAATTGAAAGAGAATCAGGAAGAAAATCTCTGGCATATTCAGTGATACAGACCCTTATCAGTACACATCACTCAGAACTGCTATTCAGAAGGCAATAAAAGTGACTCTGCTTTCTGTTGTAAAACTATTAAGGACAACATTCAAAATAGAAAGCAATGTAAAATTATTACAGGAAGGGGTGCTGTGCAGTCAGATATGTTTCTGATATTTACAACATGCACGACTGGCCTTAGATTATTCAAGTCTGTGAGGCTGGGATTCATCACTGGTCTAGTGTTGGTCCAATGTGAAGTGATGAGATTTGTACCAAGAGGTACATTTCTTTTCGCTCCACAGGGAACACAGTGTTTTTCCTTCTGTTACCTGTCAGATCCAGCACTCAACACACGTCTTCCCAAAAGGATTTAGGAGTTCTTAGCTATAGAAAATCTTTAGCTTTCAGAAAATGAAAATGATTCTTTTTTTTGCAAGCAAATTGATTGTGCTTGGTCAGTTCCAGATTGCTATTGCAATTGATCAAATAAGACCAGTTTAACTGTCATGTTCGTCCGTCCAGTTTCTAACCAATTCTTCAGTTCTTCTCATTCAGGGTTGTGGGGGAGCCAGAGCCTATCACAGCAAGCACCAGGCGCAAGGCAGGGTACGCCCTGGGCTGGAAACCAGTCCATCGCAGGACACACACAGACACTGGCACAAACACGCACACACCCACACCAGGGCCAGTTTTCCCAGAAGTCAGTTCACCTACCAGCACATCTTTAGACTGTAGGAGGAAACCCGATTTTTACTCTAGAAGCCTGCTTACACCAATAACTCACAGAAACTTGGCTGAATTCAGACCTAGGCACCCGGGCAGAGACTGATACTTGTGAGCTGATTGGCTGTTGGCAGAAGCCCTTTGGCAGTTGGCTAATCGGTGTTCCTAGTCCGGACTCGTACCAGTTCGCTATCGCGATTACAGGGCCTAGCTTGTGTTCCAAGTGAAGTCGGGCTGTTTTGGGAATGCCGTCCCACCAAGTTTATTTGCGCTGAACAAACAGTCTAAGTGTTATCAGTGTTTCTCCTTAACATAACGTTAAAATAAACTGATATAGGAGCAACGGAAGTTGGAACACTGAGACCTGGGCGGTGAACACGCAGCGGAAGATGCCGATTGTGGATGTGCTTCTAATGGCTCCCTTGCTTCTGCCCTCTGCACTGGCAGGGACGGGCCCGGGCTGTTCTCCAGAGAGTCCTGCTCCTTACCCACAAGCCCCGGAGCCGCCGGCAGCGAATCGGGGCACGGCTGCCCTCCCAGCGGCCGTGCAGTCTTCTCCTGCAGCGCCCCCCGAGAGCGGTCCACCCCCCGCAGAGGAGGGCGGGTGCCACTGGGAGAATCCCGCCGAGACCTCGCCGGCCAGACCTGTGGCCCCGAGCTGCGAGCAGGAACCCCCAGGAACCTCACCCCCGCTGACTGGAGAGCCTCCCCCTTATAGTCCACCGGACCCCAAAATGGCCTATCTGTTGTACCCTCCCCTCCAGCCACAGTTCCCTGGACTGACTCCCATCATCCACCAGCCGGGACCCAGGGAGCCCGGCCTCTATCAGCAGCCCCTCTCCCCGACAGGGAACTACCCCTACACCATCGTAAGAGCCTGACTGTTTTAATCGCCACGCGCTGATAGAGTGGGCGCAGGGGTTAGCGTTGCTGTCTTACAGCTCCGGGGGGGCCATGAGTTTAATTCCGAACCAGGGAACTATCTGTGTGGAGTTTGCATGCTCTCCACGTGTTTTTGCATGGGTTTCCTCTTCTGGGAGAACTGGCCCTGGTGTGAGAGTGTGTATATGTCTGCCCTGTGATGGACTGGCGTCCCATCCAGGGTGTATCCTGCCTTATGTCCATCGCTGGCTGAGATGGGTTCCGGCTGCCCTGTGATCCTGCGTTGGCTGAAGCAATTAGAGAATGGATGGGTGTTGATTAAGCATTTTAATTGAGTTAGCATTTGCAAAATTATTGTCCTGTGCTCATCTAGACAAGATCAGTTGTGTTGTTTTCTTTAAATTTGCCCTAACACTGTCACTATGCTGGGACCGCTCTTAAAATTCTTCCGTGTCCTCCGGAACAGTTCAGGTTCTGATTTTTCTCTTGGGATTTTTTAAATAACCATCAATGGAATAACAGAAATCTGACAGAAGTGATCAGCTGTGAAGAGCATTATTCTGAGGACCACAGCAGTGACTGAGCCCTCTCTCTGTATTACAGTACATGAACAGTGTGCCGGTGACTGCAGACCACAGACCGCTGCCCAAAGACTACCTGGTGGAGTCCCTGCTGGTCACAGTCTTCTGCTGCCTGATGAGTGGGCTCGTGGCTGTCATGTACTCGTACGAGGCAAGAGAACCATCCTCTGTCCTTCCATGTCTCATCGCAGGGAATATATAGGCAGCACAGTGTCACAGTGCTGGGTGTTCTCTGTGTGGAGTTGGTGTTCAGCAGTGGTAGGTTATTTGGCACTGGAGTGAGTGCCCGTCCGTGTCTGTCTGCCCTGCGCCCCGGCCCAGGGCTGGTCACTCCTTGTGCCCACTGCCTGCCAGAACAGGCTCTGACCCCTCTGCAGCCCCGACTCAGATAAAGCAGTTCGAAAACAGATGGCTGGGAGTCTTTATCACATCCCAGTCAAAGTCTACAATTTCAGGAAGGTTGACAACAGCGTGCTGGAGAGCACAGCTTGTCACCACACACACAGAGCCGCCGTTCGCTAGTTGAAGCTCAAGCCCCGAGAGCCCGCGGCATCGTTCGTGCAGTGAACCGAGCCCATGTCCCGCTGTCCTCTGTCCCTTGCAGACTCGCTCCGCACTCAGCCGGGGGGACCTTGTGGAGGCCGAGCGCTCCTCGCAGAAGACGCGCTCCATGGTGCTCTTCAGCCTGCTGTTCGGGGTCTTCGTCTCAGTGGGCTGGGTCATCTACGTGGTGGTGGCCTTGTATGCCCTCTGACCGGCAGGAGGACTCCTGCTTCAGCCCATTCCCACCCTTCGGGGAACTGGCTGGGCGCTGGAGAAAGACTCGGATGGTATTTGCTGGGACCCCTGCCTGCACTGAGGAGCACGCTGTGCAAAGGTTCTCTACCAGCTGACCAGAGACTGAGGACTCCACAGGGATCCATGTTTTCAAGACTTTATGGTTAGTCCTGTTCAAAAGCAACTGGGTTTCATTTTTCAAAATGTAATCTGCATAATGGAATTACCTGCAAACCACTCTTAAAGAAAAATCAGTGCATAATTTCCTACTTTACCTCTGAACAAACAAGCACCTTGAAGAGATCTTGACTTCCTGCTCTGCATTTCGGCTTTTCCCTTTTTAATGTTTCATTATTCTATCCAAAATAAACCCATGGAAATGAGTGGTAAATAATGGTCATTTCCAAAGCTCCTTCCCTTAAAATAAGAACAAACACCTTTATTAAAATCATGCAGCAATGAGAACTTGATTTGTGGGCACCTTCCTAATGTCATGTGTTTGAGCAGGTTGTCCATCTTGAAATATACAGTATCTACCAGTTCCAAATTAAACTGGAAAAGGTCAGTTCTTGCAGGAACATCCCTCTACACTAATTAGTCTTGATCTGTAAACTAAGTTGGATGGAATGTAGAATAGTGGGAACAGACAGTTCCTTCACTTGGTGGTTTTGGAAGAAGCCAGGAGGGACCTGCCCAGCTGGTGACCACCCTGTTAGAGGAATCCATCCCAGGCCGTCAGCTGGTGGTGACACTGCAGCAGCTCGTCAGCTGTTTGGAGTTGAGAGCGACCTTCACAGCTTATGGTATTATGGTCCTTGTGTACCACAGCGTTAAAGCATTCCCTCCTTTGTGGAGTTTCCAAATTTTAGTTAAAGAAAAGATGCATAAGGAAAACTTTGACATCTGTGATTAGAGGCATCACTGGCTTCTGTTTTTGTTAGCAAGCTGTTGTCCCCATGTCTGGACAGACTCAGACTTAAACACGTCCCAATAAAGCTATTGTTTATTATGTTAACATTTCATTCATTCACTATGTGGGTTACAGAAACAGGCAATACACTCAAAAAGGGAAACAAAACTCAGGGAGACAAAGCCCAACAAAAAAAATGCAGAAGCAGGAGTAATATAGCATCGAGCTATCCCAGCACACCTGGCTTCGGCAGCTCGTCTCTATGGTCTGTTGGCAACACCCTCCTGTGAGCAAGAATTCAAACTGCAAGCAGGCGCCTCTCTGTTACTGAAAAGATTTAATGGAAAGCCTAAAGGAAAATATCGATGAAGGAAACATTTAGTTGGGGGTTTGCAGAAGACGGAGGCAAACCTCCAACCTAGAGCAAAGTAAATCGCGTTCCCCTGTATCTTTTTCAACAAGGTGACACTCGTAGTCACGGAGACCAAGAGTCCTACAGGCGCACCAATGGTGGGTTGGAACAGTTTGAAAGACCAGACCTTCACTCGCTAGAAAACAACAACAATGACAACAGCAAAGAGGAAAAAAAAAAACATTTTTGGGGAGGGTCAACTTCAGTGTTTCCTTCAGTGTCTATTAATACCTTTAAGTTCAACATTTCACACAGACAAATAGGAGAGCAAGGAACACTCACAAAATCTGACATTGAACAAGCAGTTAATTCTGCACTGAGCCAAAATAAGCAGAAAAATGTTTATATACAAAGCGTAGTCATAAATAAAACGAATATGCCTTGAGTTTGTTTGCTCTGTTTCCTTATAGATGATTACATTCTTTCAGTTTCAATCCACCTGCATGTCATTTATAAATTGTTGCGTCAGGAGTTTTACGATCCTAGAATTCTTAAAGGTTTGGACAGAAGCAACTGCAACTGGTCCTCACATACAGAGTAACTCCCTGACTCTTTGTTAGTCACGTTCTCATTTTTCCATGTGATCCCCAGCCACTAAAAAAAATAAAAAAATAAAGAGACCGCCGTCAAGTTGTCCAAGTGAATGTGAACCTAAAAACCAACTAATAAAAGAGCACAAATACTTCAGCGCTAAATTCACAGATCTCATAGCTCTGAAAACCAAACATCAAACCAGCAGAAGCCAAGCTTTAGAAACTAACTCAAGATGGAGGACCTGTGGCACAGTCCAGCCATCCGCTGTAACTTCTAGGGCCTGTGAGAGATCGGAGGTGATCTGTACACCCCAATAACAGCACATGAGTTAAGGGGATCAGGTGTGAAGCCATACAGCATTTTTTTGCCTCCTGGAAAACACATAAATGTTGCAACATTTAATTATCTGAGATAGGAGAAACTCATTTTCAGGGGATTCAATCCAATTTCAAGGTTTTATCTTTAAAGAACACCTGTTGAGCACAATGGGGATGGTTTTATGTTGTTTTAGAAGGTGGAAAGATCTTTAGATTAGAATTCTGGTTCCACAGAACATTAACAGGTCAGAAAACTATATTAAGTAAAAAGGGAATTGTTCATCTTCTTTCTGGGCATAGTTAGGCTTCATATATTAAATCAGTACAACAACAAAGAGGTCACACTGTAATGATCTCTGATAAAGTGCTGTATCCTGAAAAACTGAATATATTACGAAATTTAAAAATAAGCCACATGTAACTTACTTCTCTCTGCTGTGGATTTGTATGAGAATCTGAGCAGTTTAGAGGGAAGATGATGGAGGCTGCTAAACCAGATAGTTCATACTCACTTGCTTTTGATGAACACTATCAATGCAAAATAACTAAATTTGGTTCACCAATATAAGCATTAAATGTAATGCAAACTGTTAAATAAGAAAACCCTATATTTGGTGCCATCAATGTCAGAATCCCTGTGCCAGAGCAGGGAGAGAAACTAAATCAACCTCACATTTATGACAGCACTAGAGAATCTAGCCTCTTTGACCTAAAATAACGCTCATTCTTTCAGACTGTATTGGAACATCTAAAAACTGCACTATCGGTTACAGAATTAATGTATTCTGTCCCGTTCCTGAAAAGCTTCCGTTTCAGCAAAAACAGAAGCAGCAGCAAGATGATTCATCTCCTGGAAGTCAGATGAAATGGAAATGAAATGGAGAGCGTGTGTGAGCACTCAGCCTGTTCACTATATTCTTGGGACCAGCGGACATGGGCACCTCTGAGCTAATCTATTCGGAACCATCTTACGTCTGTTCTGTGTTTGCTTTTTGTGACTGTTCCCCTTTTGATCAATGGTTGTTGTTGCCAGTTTGTCTGGGTGTCCGTCTGTGGGTCCGTCTTTAGCTCAGCAGCTCCAGGTAGGTGACGGGAACTTTTCCTTTCTGATTCCCCCTCTCTCCGATCAGCCAGTCAGGGTCCATGCCTGGCACAGTGTACACCGTGATTAACTGGAAAAACAAACAAACAAGCTGCAGTTAAGACACCTGTGAAAGAAGCTGCTTTTCCAAAATTTCCACAATTGATCTAGTTAGCCACAAGAGATCACCTTTTAAACCTGAAAACAATTCTATTTCATTCTGAATATGAATTCTCCACTCTTTAAGCAGGTTGAATTGTGCAGCTGCCATCCTTTTCTGACATTCCAATAAGAAACAAATGTAAACACATCAGGCTGTAGTCTCATATTAGAACCACTGATGCGCCCCCTGGCGGCTGATATATTTCACATAAATGCTCTACATACATCCCGAACTGAAACACTCCCTGCCCACCCAATGCAAATACAGTACAGTTCAACACTACAAGATTCATCACTGCATGAGCTTCACACACTACAGAAATAAGCTATTAGTTAAATAGCTTTAGTCAATGTATATTAAAAGCTTATTTTAGTTGAGCCCAATTCCAAGCTTAAAATACAGACTCTGCAGTGCATTGACACCGATATCTATATTGAAAGGATTGCAGCCTGGCATCCTACAGTCTCTCGCCAAATGTCTAGCTCAGTTTAATTTGATGTTCCCTGAAGTTTTAATTATCCTCAAGAGCCTCCCACACATCTTGTTATTCAAAGACATGATGTTCTTTTTTCCCCTCAATATTTCCAATTAAGGGCATGAGCAGAATGTAGATTTAAGCCATCAAATACAATTAGACAAACCATTCTTTGCCTGTTTTGCCTCTTATTTATGGTGTTATCGTCCAATGAATTATTCTTTTCAAAGTTGAGAGCTCCATAGTGCTGTCTCCACTGGACTTGTGCTGTATTTTTAGATTGCCCTACTGGAAAAATACAGTTGTGCAAAACACCAGGAAAAGTTGTGCACAAGTTGCATTGCTTAGGACGTTACATGGTACTTTTCTAAAGCCAAAACTAAAATTAAACTGCAGTCAAACTGCCAAGATCTTGCACATCAAGACATAAAGGGAAACGTTCCCCCACATAAGCCACCTGGCAAGTGCCCTTCTCGTTTCATGTTCTTCAAACTCTACATCACTCACCTAACCAGCGCAGGGGCCTGCATCTCCTGCTGTGGAGGAGGAAACGTGTGTGTGGGCAGACTAATGTCACAGAGAGAAAGAGAAGCTGCAATAACACCCCAGAAAAACGGTCAGGAAAAATCGCACTGCTGTTCATTTCAAATTAAGCAGAATAAAGATGGACACAGCCGTCAGGCTGAAGAACAGGAAGTCATTTTCTGGTATGAAGCCTTGTGGGAAACCAAAGACTGCAGATGCCAGAACTGTAGCCCAGGAAGGAACAAAGTGATGGAGCTTCACAGGATAAGGTACCAACAGAGGACAACATGCAGCCCCTGGCTGAACTATCGGGAACCCGGCAGACTAATAAGCTGCACCTCTAAAAACAGAGCAGAAGCTCCTTCTTGACCTGCTCCTGCCTAGCTGAGGTAGCCTTCATATTCCTACTGTCTCTAGAAAAAGATCTAAAAGGAGCCGCTGCTAACATTCGGATTTTTGTTACTTTTGGAACGAGCCCAACGGGGCCTCGCTTCGGGGAAGCGGTTCACTTCATCAAGCGCGAGAAGACGGAAAGGTTCGGGACCCCGAGACATTCAGGCAAGCGCGGGGCGCTGAAAACCCCGGAGGGCACCGACCTCGTCGGCCAGCAGGGAGAGCTCGCTGGTGTCGGCCGCGTCGTAGTCGTACAGGACCTTGGCCTTGCGCGTGCCGGTCGCCGGGGGCTGCACCTCCTCGATCTTCAGCGAGTCGGCCTGCATGGCGCCGGCGGAGGCGCCGCCCGGGGCGGGCGTCAAGGGGAGGGTGGCCGCAGCCGAGGGGGAGGCGCCCGCAGGCGCGGGGGGGGCGTTGGCATTGGGGAACCTGAGGGGGAGAGAGAGACAAGAAGCCTGAGGCCAGCGCACGGGGCAGCCCACTGGGCAGATGTGCTTTAAGGAACTGAAAAGCAGCACATTAAAAAAAAACAGTTATGTTCTACAGCTAGACTTTGAATTTAATCCTGAGCAGTGGTTGAAAAAGAGCTTCTCTGGGTTGAGACTTACACTGCATGCACTAGTCACACATTAAACCTTGAATATGAACAAAGTGTGCACGCAGCCCCTAGATGGCGCACTCAACATACTGTTCCTATGAAGCCGTGCTGATGACACTCCAGATTAATTACACATCAATTAACACATCAAAGCTCGAGACAGATAATAAGACCAGCCGGTTTACACTTCTGCTTTAGATTCCCAATGCAGACAAATCTGAACTTACACTTCTCCATTAGCGCTGGGAGCACAAGGGAAGAGAGAAAGAAGCACTGTTAAAGACAGGAATTTAGCCAGCACTCAACAGCTCTGTGAGCAGTGGGTGACTGGCTTTCGACACAGTGTGGCGTTCACGCAGAAGAAACAGGAGCAGAGGGCCCTTAAAAAGCCCTTAGAGCTGTATCGCCCTTTTTCTTCTTGGTAGTAGTGCCGCATTTTCCTGCGCAAGCTGGTGTGTGTGAATCGTTGGCCTACTATGAACTCGGACCTGTGTGTTAAATTCCAGTGGGACCTGGGCAAAGCTCGCTCTCTGAAGGAGGGGGATACCTTTCTAACGCGCTGCGCTGTCTGTCTCTATCAGTACACACCAGTGGACAGACCTCGTACATTGAAATTAACATTAAATTGCAGAATCAAGAGCAGCAAGAATGAGCAGTTTAAAACCCTCTCTGGCACACCTGTACATCTCCAGTATTAAATTAGACAGTTCATTCAGAAAGCTTCTAAAAGAAACATGCTAAGAATGGGGCACCAGCATAAAAAAACAGCTGATTTTCCAATAAATCTAATACTCATAATTCACTTCTTTTTGTGTCCTTTAAATCCAAACACACTGTTGTATAGAGACGACGGGACGGGTTCTGAGCAGGTCTGCGCGGGAGGCCAGCAGCACTCACCTCCCCAGCTGCTTCTGCAGGTCCTGCATGTACTGCTGGCACTGGGCGTAGTAGGTGGCCTGTGCTTCTACAAACTCATGCAGGCAACGCAGGTGATGGACCTGGGAGACAAATTTGCACAAAGCTTTGCTCGTGGGAGTCCGTGCATGTTGTCAAAATGGATGCCCTGGCTTCTTACAACAAAGGCAGATTTCAGATGATCCCATGATGAAGATCTCATCCTGGGCGGCTGAGACCCCAAGGTAAATTAACTATTAGCATCGAAACAAGCTAGACAGAACTGCCATTTTAATAATAATTGCTTACATTTATACAGCATGTTTCTGGACACTCCACTCAAAGCGCTTTACAGGTAATGGGGATCCATCACTATACTGGGGCATAAGGACCCACTGCAGGGTGAGAGCCCCCTGCTGGCCTCATTAACACCTCTTCCAGCAGCCGCCTTCGTTTTTCCCAGGAGGTCTGTTGAGTGCGATATTCTGCTTAGATCGACAGACGGGATTGTGGTCAGGGGTGTAAGTCTTTAGCATTTTCACTGGTGCACACTCAAGCACAAACTCCTGTCGGGTGTCCACACACCGCCAACGGATATTGGTAGAGAAATACTTCCTTCTCTTACTTGATCACCACCCACGATGAACACGCCAGCGTCACGCGTGACTTACATGTGTACTGCTGATGCCCTCCAGTAGCAGCCGTGTGACCTCCGCCTGGCGGTCAAACTCCGTCTGGGCGACTCGCAGCTCGTGCTCCGCCTGCAAGACAAGAGGAGTGCAGACCTAGCGGCTGGGCCCCGGAGCGCCAACAACAACAACAACAACAACAACAACAACAACACAGGCCCGCGCACTCACACGCCCACACGCGCCAGGATGGCCAGGGAGAAACAGGCTGAGGGACCGCACGGTGAGACACAGGCCTGAATGAAGGCGTTGTATGGAAATGAAACTAACACCTTCACACCGAGCTCTTCCACCTCCTCCAATGCTGGCCAAGCAATCACACATTCTGAGTAAAACCAGTTTAGTACACATTTTTTTCCCCAAAATTAAAGATTACCTTTCCCGTTATCTAATTTAATCACCCTGCTCAGCTTTGTTTGATGCTAGTAACACAAAGTCTTTTGTCATCCTTGAAGATACACACTGCGCTGATGGTCGAGTTTTTCTCTGTAGAGATGACTAAGAAATATATTATCTGACCTTTCTTAGCTAATCCATATTATAGTAATTTAAGCAAACATTAAGGTTTCATTGTCTAGAAATGCAGGTCACACTGCAGAAACATAATTCAATCATTTCAGAATAGTTATATTTTAATGTAAAAAATTAATGCATAAAATCTTTGGTCAAAGTATTTCAACAATACAGGTTTTTTTATTACATCTACTAAAAATTACATTTACTTTAAAACATTAATTGATCAATTTACTTAAAACATTGATTTTAGTATTATAAGCCATAATATCAACAAAGAAAATCAATCAATTGAAATTCTATAACCTAAAATAATTAGCACATAGAAACTGTGTATTTTCAAGCTACAAAATTATCACCACCAAGTATTTCAAACGCATTTTTATATGTTGTTCAGAACTTGACCCTGAACAAATATCTTCTGGAAAACATTAGTGATACATTATTCTTGAAAAACGTGTAACAAAATCTTCTGCTGCCTGATCTTCAACACTCCTAACCGTGAAATATGATTTGATATAAATACCAGGTTAATATCTAGATGATCACTGTATCTAAGCAAGAAATCTATATTTAGATGCTTGCTGCAAGTCTACACTAACGCTTCAAAATATAAGGGTGAAATGCCTAGCAGGCCTACAGTACAGGCTCAAGATTTGTATATATTATTGTATAATATTCTCTACTAACTCTGGAAATAAAATTCTAACTGCCATCAAATACTGTATAAAAACAATATATAGGCCTTGCAATTACTCCTGGTAGGAAAGATTTTGTGCGACCTCTGCAGGAGAGGCAGAAGCCTTTATGACTCTAAATCATAGCTTAATGGGAGGCTGCTGTGTAAGGCATCTGAATCCAATAGTAAATGATCAATAGTCAATCGCAGCTGAAGCTGAACTCAGCTCCCTTTAGGTCACAAGTTTAACTGCAATAGTCATGTTCCCTCTAGACATCAGATGTATGAGGGACAAATCACACAATGCTTTTATTGGTCTCTTAAGACTGGAGTTAATTTTAGCTACAATTTGGGTTCTAAAATATTTTCTTGTTCTTTACTCTGCTTCCAAAACCTACACAAGGAACAATTTCTACTCAACCCTAATAAAATCTGACCTCTACAAATACCTTTCATGTTCCTTCATTCAGCTAGTTGAGAACAGTGTTTATGCGACACAGGGAGATGATATTAGATGCAATACATTCAGCACTGAACAAATCGAATTCAGAACTCTATAGCAAAAGTGCAGAGTCCAAAAGGGCAAAGCAAGCCAATTTGTTTTATTATTGACAGGCTGGCTGCATCAGATCACGGTCTAAGAATTACATTTAAATTAAGCAACTGAGGAAACTATCCTGATTCAGTGCTGTCCCCTTGTGATGGAAAACAAAAGTAATTCCATATTCTCCCTGCACCGTCACCCACTCCCCCTACCCCACCTCACACACATTCACAGTAAGTTATCATGATAATCATCGTCGCCGTGATTATGATGATGCGTCTTAAGATACTCACTTTGTCCACCTCCTCACTCCAGAGCTGCAAAGCCACACAGCAACAAGAGAGGTGATGAGTGTCGGGTTCTGGCAACAGTTCGGTCGTGATGACAGCACAATGGGATACGATTCGGCAGTCTTTCCCAATCCCTAATCCCCAATCCCCAATCCCCGTCTCGATCCCAGGAACCCAGTAACGACCTGGGCCCACAAAAAGGTGCAAGGCACCACCTTACTTGGGGTTGTAATTGGTGCTTAGGGGGCACCCAGTTCCTAGAACCAATTGAAATGCTGGGACAGAAGAGAGCCACGGAGAACAGTGCAGGCTTTGAAATAAAACTGATGGTGATGTCTGGCAGGCAGATTCCTGGGGCTGGAGTTGGGAAACGCTGCCTCACAACAAGAAGAGCTGACACGCAGCTGAGTCTCTCTCTACAGAACCGCCAGCTTCTTGTGCTTCGTCACTGTACAGCGTTAGGTGGGAAAGTACTGTCGGCCACGACGCTCCGCACAGTTCACTGAAATGCTGGGTATTTGCAGACTAGGGACACTCTGCAGACAGAGCAGGAGGTTTTGATCCTGGATTCTGTACACAGATATCTGCCCTCCTCTGTGAAGCCATAAAAGACTGCGTCCTTCCCCACGTAACTCAATCTTCAGAAGAGCAAATGATTAGAATCAAAGATATACAGAAGAAACAGGCCTACAGCATTGCGGCCTACAGTTTACCAGAGTTACGAAACAACAAAATGTCGAGTTTCACAGTACCAAAAACAAAAATAAACTAAAATATTTTGGAGGGTGTTAATACATATCTAAGATGTTTTCAAATTTACCTCTGAGGCCATAAATCAAGGAATAATGCCAGAAACTAAAACGGACAATGATTTTTCAAGAGTATGTTATATTTTTATAGCAAATCACGGGGAAAGTACAGTCATTCTAACCCTGTTTCATTTGGTCTCATTTTTAAAATACTTTCTTCCAGCAGGACGATCACAGCAAATATCAGCATTTCAGCTCTCTGTATGCAGTCTACTGCTAATGCATTCTGAACACTGATCAAAACCTATTGTTAAACAGGAAGAAATGACATGGCTTCTTTCTCTGACGTTACCCAGGAGCATGTTCAGATATTCCTGCAGCACAAGGTTTTTTTCAGAATCAGCCGCAGAGTTTGGGAGAGAGACTCGGGCCGGTAGAACACCAAGCTGACTCACGCACATGCGCAGAGGGAAAACATGAGCAGAAGAGAAAAACACACTGATGCTCTTGTACAGTGTCTCAGATAAAACACCTGACATGGGTCCCAGCTGCCTGTGTGCTGCAATGCTTCCTAAGGTCACACCTCATCAGACAAAGGTCTGTGTCACAGATGGCTTACAAGCAGGACATCGCTGACATAATGTGAATGTTTAATTCTGCCATCTTCACCATGTTTTCCGCTCAAGGATCAAACAGCAGGATGTTGCAAAATAGTGTGGTGCTTCACCACGCGTTGCTACAGCTGTTCGAGGAGGACGCCTGTATGTTTGGTGCTTGTTGTCCACACTGGGACATATTTCCCAACTTGCAAGTTGCACCTTCAATGTGCTTCCCCTGAGCGCACTCTCATGTGGCTCCCACTGGTCTGGGGGAGCGTGCTTCACCGGGGGCGAGAGTGAGGTCAGGACAGACCGCCTGCTGAGCAAGCGCTGCTCAGCACGGCCACACTGTCGCCAGAACGACAGGCGCTTCACCGGCACTTTCGGAGAAGCAATGGTTTTTACTGCCCCACTACTGCTGCAGTTCTCCAAAAATCATTTCATTTTCAGGTTTGCCAGAGGGATTTGCTCCTGTCCCAAGAGTATTTAACATCGTGAACTGAGCGTCAGAGGAACATGTCTGAATACATTCGGCTGTACAGGGCCGTTAGCTGTTTTTTTTTTTTAAACAGTAACTCAATCGTTTTTTTCAGAGGGGTATAATTTTTGCTTCCTTGTTCTGGCTGCCCCATCCACAGCATTTGGAGAGATGATGGATGGGAAATAATGGAACAAAGAAACACCTTTTTAAAAAACTGACAAGGTCATTTCAAAGAAGGACGGCACTCTGTCAAGCTGAGAGAGACCAGAGCGCTGTGACTGGCCGTGAAGGATCAGCTGACTTCTCAAAAACAGCTCTGCAGCAGGACATGATGGCTACAGGCTCTTTAGGATCTTTTCAAGGGAAACTTTCTTTTGTTTTCCAGAGAAAAAGCCCAAAACCACTGTAATAAGATCATGAGGAATGACTTGTAGTATGGCATCAGGACCATCCTGAAATACAATTTGTGTTGGCTGTAACTCTCATAATCTAGTATAAGATTAAAGGAACTGTCCTTGTCCTTCAACTAATGGGACTGCATGTCGGTGCTGCACAGCAGATGAAAAGACTACTTACATGAATTTGGTTCACATTCAAGACAGGACTTCACACCACACATCATGAGCTCATTCCAAACGTGAAAGTGGACTAAGATCAGGACCAAGAAGAAATGTGCTGTGATGTAGTTTCTTTAGATTCAAATGATTAATTTAACACGACACCCCCTGCAACCTCAAAGTATCTCATTATAAAATGAGAGGGGAAATAGGGAACGTGGAAGAACTTGATTCCGCTGTTTACAGAAAAAAAAGTCTGCTGCTTATTAGTCTTGACAGCTCTCCTCCTAATGGTGTAAAACCTGAAATATTAATGGATGAAACATGAGAGTGTACAGACTGTTAGCAGAAGGGTCCTATTTCATGCTTGCACTACAAATATGACAATTCTGCAAATGTCACCAGCAGTGTTTAGCCTGTTTCTTTGGGCTATTTTATACTTCATCTCTGCAATCAGCTTTTGGAGCAGAATTTGTTTGAAGTCTTTGGGTAATTCACGTGTTTCGTGGTCAAAGAAAAGTATTAGGGAGTGCAGCTACAGAAATCTCGTGATAAATAATTCAGTTTGGGCTTGTATAAGTCCTACTAGGAACCTTATGAAAGGGACACGTGTGCTAAACTGATCAGTTGTATATTGATGTTACAGGTTTAGAAATATTATGGCCAATATAAAGATTTCCTGCCATGCCATTTTTGTGGATAATGAAAGATATTGAACTTTATAATTACAACACAGGTGGAAAAAGGCATTCTTAGCCTGTCCTGTTAAATATTACACTACAATATGTTACATATTCAGAAACATCCATGTTTTTCCATTCAGCTGTATTCAGTGTAGGGAAGGAGATTTTAGTTTATGGAAGTGTCTACATAAGGAAATGGAAATGTCAGAAATATATGTAAATCATAGAAAAAGGCTACAAAGAACACAAACTGATACAATTATCGCAACATATCTGAATTCAACTAAACATGCTCTCTGCCCTTAAATCTGAGACACTTGTAAAAAGAACATCAGAAAGAAATAAGAACAGGTTACAAAAAAGTATTTGAGTGATCTGATATTTTAAGCAAATGCAACCTTTAACCAACATTTAAAGTCTGTCCTGTACAAAACACACCTTACAGGCTCTTAGAGAGAAACAAGCGACATGGATTTTAAGGAATACTAAATACTAGAGCACATACTTCATCTCAGTAATTCATGCAAAGTTTGAGTATAGAGTATAAGTACAGAGTAGGTGTTTCTGAGTGTGAAAATCTTTCTGCTGAGGAGACAACTGCTATTAAGAAATCCAGCCATTTTCTATCTGCTTCTTCCAACTCAAGGTCACGAGGAAGCTGGAGTCTGTCCCAGCAAAGCAGGACACCCAGGACAGGACACTAGTCCACTGCAGGGCAGATGGATACATGCACACACAACTGGGACAATTGTCCCAGAGGCCAATTGACCTACCAGCAGATTTCAGGACTGTGGGAACCCACACAAACACTGGGAGAACATAAAAACTCCATGCAGGTGGCACCCCAAGACTATTAGGAGACGAAAGCTTGAATTTAATTTTTTTTTCCTATACAATTGCTTATGTGGTACAGTTTTACATTCAAATCTGAGACATGCCGTGATATTTTCAAACTAAAATACTTGATTTGAAATGTAATGACCCATTTATCTATTTTTGTATTGTGCAGCACTAAGGGATAAGCTTATTAATATTCATCATCACAACAAAAGCTTTGTATCTGCTTTACTATAATGGATAACTGCTACCTATTCATTAGAAACAGCGAACAAAAGGAAACTAAGATGCCAAACCGAATGCCTACCAGTCTCTCTCTTTTAATGTCAGAAAATTTTAAAAAGACTTACTATAGTCATCTTTTCAGATATCAAACTCTAAAACTCCTTTGCAGTTTTAAATCCTTTTTTGCAATGAAAAAAACAAAGCTTTTTTATATGCATAAATCGAAAGCTCAGTATTAGACTGAGTAGAATCCAGAATGAATATTCCCCTTTGCTTACAGAAATGAGCACTTATACACTGCACACAGTGTTACAACACCCACCACAAGACAAATTCATGGACAGAGGACATATTAAACAATACAATATCAGAAGCTGGCAGATGGGGAAAGAAAAAAGGCCTCAAAAACCATTTTAAATGTTGGAAAAATGTTGTGGTTTTTCAAAATCAAATAACAAGCCAATTGTTTGCACTCAAAGATAAGGCGTAGAGAAAGGAAGGTCTGAATCATTGTTGCAGAATCGGATTTAAGGATTCGTAAAAGGGGCTTGGAAAAACTACAGGGCAAGGCACACAAAAAGCAAAGAAGGGAATTCCAAACAGCATTGCGTTAAAAGGTTCAACGTCCTTAAATAATCCGATCAGAATGAGCAGCAGGCTGGAGAGCGAATTGCCGATCAGCAGCCAGCGCTGTAGCGCCGCCGAAAGGAATATTGCCATTGGTTCTCCATTGTATTGTCTCAATCAGTGTGCAAGCAAAGGAGAATCTCGCAGCAAAGCCGGACTTCACACGCCGATCTAACTGCAAGGTGAGAGCAATGAGAGACGGGTGTGGTGTCGCTCTGGGCAGCCGGCTGCTTGTTTCAGTCTTCAAGCAGCCAGCTGCTCTAGGCCATGTGCTGCTCCAGGAGCTTCCTCAGTGGAAGGCCAAAGACTGCACATGAGACCTCATTCAGCCTTTTCAACATTTCTACAGAGCATAGCCTGCTGAGCAACAGTTGTGAACATCTGTAGCCCTTGCAGTTACATAATAAATGAAAATCTGGGTGGATCTGAGGATACTTTCTGGAGGAACAGACATCTGAGCTCAATTCCTGCATAACACACAAAATGTCGCAAGTATTAGGTTCTTTAGTCAACCGCCTGTCACCCTCTTGTAAAGAAAAACCCAGAGCCACTGGTCACAAATGACAGGACGCTTCAGACAGAGACAAGCCCTCCCTCTCTTGCGAAATGTTGAAACTGCATCATGACTCACAGCAGGCGAAAGGCTGTGGATGTTTTGGAGGAGTAAACTGGCGTCTGTGTAAAAGTATCTGTGTGTGTGGGAGTGTTTGTGTGTGTGTTCTACCACCCCAGCTTAAACACTCTACTGCACCACAGACAAGACAGTCTGAAACGGAAACTCAGAATTGCTCTTCTTTAAAAAAAAAAGTTAGACAGGGCCAGGTCAATTCTGAAACAGTCCTCTGATCACTGGAGGCTAGGACATTCCAATGAAGAGTTCCTTTTCAAAAGTACAATTAATGCACAAACGGAGTGATTATGTCTTTCCAGGGGAGTAAGATGACTTTGATAGCAATGCTCATCCCAGATTTCTCATCTTGCTTAGAAAGCTCAGCAGTCTGCGTCAAGGAATGAGAATCAAGCGCAGGGGAAAATTTAAGTGGGGCTGGTATCGTGTCCAAAGGCATGTGTTCAGAAGGTATGAGGTGCTGCCGAGAGCAAGCAGGTGCGAGATGTGTGATCGCGTCGGTAGGAGCGGATGGGCGAGTGTGTGCATTTCGTGGACGCCTTACCGCAGATGCGCTGGCAGACAGAACGTAATTACGAGGCCTAGTCTCCTGAAAATCGGGCATGGCCTACAGGCAGGAACAGAGTTTACACACAAGTCATGCAAAAACACAAACACTGTTCAGAAACGGGTCAATGAAATCTTTTCAGCTATGGAACGGCTTCTGATTGCCCCCAGTGCACAGGCTTCACTGGAGTGAGCTGAGGAGGGGACAGCGCGACCTTCAGCCTTTGACCTTTGACCTCTAAACGTATCCTCACTGGGTCAGGGGGACGTGAACATGGAAGCAGCTCTTAATACTGTACCTTGACAACCATGGGCACAACAGAACACTGATGAGAAACTATACCGTTACCCACCTCACATTAGCAGTTGAGCTGGTATCTAGTAACGTATGTAGACTCGACTGTAATCATTTCGGCCTAAGTCCTAACCCATTGTCAGTATATTTAAGAAAAAAAAAATAAAGTGTGGTTTGGATTTACGACTTTATGTGTTGCACAATCACATAACCTGAGGCTTAAGCTAAAACAGTTTAGGACGATTATACATTGAATGCATCACCTAGAAAATGAAATTCATTTCACATGGGGTTTTTGCATTTTTAACATGGGGTGAACAGAGGCAATCCTGAGGTATCTAACAAAGCTCAGGATGAGTACAATTACTGTTATCCAGGCTGGAATGTAACGATTCTAAACTACATTGACTACAATTACTTTCAGTGCAGATAAATTTGATTGCAAGTCGATCATTTCATACTGTTACAAAAATCATGCAAGAGGCATTTCCCTCTATATAAATGTGTGATTTTCCTGACGTTGTGACTGTCACAATGGAGATCTTGTCATTCCAATTTTAGAATACAGATCTCAACCTTGATGGTCTTTGTCGGTCTCCTACTGTGACAATTAACGGATGACCTTCATCAAACAGTTTGAAAAACGTTTATGAACTGTTTTTCAAAGAACAATGAAAGTACAAGTCTGAATGGAACAGGACCCTCATTTATTGAGGAATACCTTATTTCTATATTTTAGCACTACCACCTTGAACATTAAAACAAAATCACAGCTACTACTCAAATCGATCATCCCCATCTCCTACCAGTATTTAGACAAGTCCTATTATTAAGCACGCGCAAGCATTAAGTGCATGCTGTGAGCTTTTCCAAAGCAATTAAACTGAAACAAGATATCCCTTTAATCGACACCAGAGGGTGATGTTCCAATCAGCCAGGTCCTACATTACATTATGCTGTTGTCCGGGGTACCAAAATAAATTCGGAATTAATATTTTCATTTTTTCCAATGGCTTTCATTTCCTTATTGGCGCAATATTTTTTCGCAACACAGTCAGCGAGGTTGGACATGCACTGGGGCAGCTGAAAAACTAAATTCTATAATGGCGCACAGTAATTCTGATGTTAAGGCAATGTGTCCTTTCGTTATTAAAAAACCGGCGCATCTTTTAAGTGATCCAATAGAGAGTTTCTATTTGGAAAGATTCAGTATAGCTAATTGTTTGAAATGCGCACACAATCTCTCCACGCAATTACCCATGAAGACCAGCCTATTTTGCCCCCTGTTTTAACATGACCTTGATAGACAACATAATGTAACACATGACCCATCTGTCATCAACCACAAATGCATGAGGGCTACAGGGTTCACTTTTAATGCTTTGCTTTGGGTTAAGCTAGTTTTGAGTGCTTTATTAAAAAAAAAATAGAAATCATTTTACCCCTGCGTTTTAGGCAGCACTCACCATGCATGTTTTAAAGGTCAGGTTTAACTGTAATCCAAACAGGACAGCTCACAATGACTCAAAAGGATGAGTAAACTCACAGCACTATTGTACTAGGTAATCCCACTGCCCTGATGCAGTGGCTGAGAGTTTGGGTCTGGCTTCACTGCAGCCTCTAGACTAAAGGAAGTAGAGCTGGATTAGGAACAAGTCAGATATTTAAACGTGACCTTTAAAATGACAAGAAAAACACTGGATGCTAGATGTCACAGACTCTTCATAAACCAGATGTGCCTGTTTTGCTGGTATGTGATCTATGATTTTATACAACACCAGACTGGACAGGTATGGTGGAGCAAAAAAGCATTTTCTGTTACTCTCAGAGAATTGCAGAATTGTAAAAGAGCCCCCTGGTCTACCTCTTAGTCACCTGTTGCCAATTAAAATCACACTACATACACAACACTACATCAAGATCTAATTAAAAGCTCTTCTGTAGTGGAGTACAAACTGAAATTAATAGCTGTCAGGCATTAATAACACATTCATGTGCTGTTATTTTGACCAGCAGGAATGACTCAAAGGATAAACAGTCTTTCCCTCACCTTCCTGCTCCACTATACCGTATGATGAAAGTTTTGCTGCAAACATTTAATTCTAAAATGAATGATTCATATTTTCAAGCACCCTTTTTTAGCATCAAATGCAATCTTAATAGGAACTGTCAAAACAAAGATTAAGCTAGGAACAATTCAGTTTTGGGGATGGTGATTGAATTGAAAAGGAAGGGAATGAATCTGGCTTCAGACAAGAACAAGGGGAGAATTCTGGAGCTAGGTCTTTCAAAAAAAGGTGAAAATATGAACACAGCAACACAATGCACACAGCAATACTCACTTCTCCCTCACACTGTGCAAATTACAACAGAAAAACATGTTAGTACAGAATCAGTATGGTGCTCTGGTTCAGATGAAGACTAATGAAACAACTGAGAAAGACGATGGACTTGGGAGGCAAGATCTGTGTTGACAGTAGTCCAATTCCATTAATACAGACGAGCCTCCTCTTTTCTGTAAACCAGGGTTTACCAAACCTGGTGCTCATGACTTTAGTGTCGGATTTTTTTCCCACGTGAACCCTCAGACTCCTCATTGCACTTATAAATCCAGTTACTCTGAAGTTTTATTATTTTCTTTTTTTTTCCCCCCATTATTTGTAGGTCTCAAGTTAACATATATATGTTAATACTAACTCAACAGAACTGAAAACAAAGAATTCAAAGAATAAAAACTTGTGTTTTTCCATATACTGTTCTATTGTGGTCTCATTCTTTCAAAAAAGTTGAAGGTTTGTTATTTATGGTAGCTCTTTTTAAAGTCCCATATACAGCTCAACCCTCCGACCACCGTCAGAATCGTACTGGATTCAAGTATAGGCTTTCTTCCACTGAACCCCAATGGAGAATAAGGTCTCTGTGAGGCTCAGGGTCCCTTTGGTTGTGGCATATTAAAGTATTAAAGACAAGCCATGCTGAAGAAACAGTTAGTTCCAACAAAAAAGTAAAAGGTTACATTCTATCTGCTGCTATAATTCGGGGCTATTTGTGCCAACATTTTCAACATTTTCAGACTGACTTGCATCAACCAAAAAGCTGGACATTTGCCCCATTAGAAAGCTAGTCAGCTAGCAAGCTGGTGAACAAAAAAAAAACAGCTACACCGTCACAATACTGGCAAGGTGTGGCATTGTCAGACTGCAAGCTCAGTTTCTGCTGAAGAAGACAAGGCAGTATTAACTGAAGCCTCACCATATCCTTTTCCAGATTTACCTGTAACACACTACCCACCTGAACTACACACTTTATCTGCAGATCCTCTGATCTCTCTCTCTCTCGCATACTGTAAACCCTTATCACCTGCAGAGCCCTTCTCAACACTACACTACACCTAAATAACACTGTTGGACTACCACTGCAGCCAATAAGGTGCAAGATTAAAAATACATCTTAATAGCAAGCATACAGTATGGCAGGTCAGAGATTGAGATTTTTAATCTCGCCTTACTGTATGCTTGCTATTAAGATGTATTTTTAATACCTGCCATACTGTATGCTTGCTATTAAGATGTATTTTTAATCTCGCACTTTACTGGCTGCAGTCGTAGTGCAGATTATCTTGGTTGTTAAGCCTGCTGCATTAGCTTCATGCTGGAGCCTTCGGTGCCTTTGAGGGCACTCAGTATAGGGAATTGTTCAATTATGCTGCACTATCACTTAATAAGGTTCCATAAAATACAATTCGACTGTTAAAGTATCATCATTTTTGAATTAGTCAGATAAATAACCGATTTAAAATATATAAAGCCTGGTTTAAAGTGCACAGCCTCCTAAAAAAAAACAAAAAAAAAAACAAATCAATGCTTGTAATTTTCTGTATTATCAAATGGTTGTGTATCCCCATCTGTGAGAACAGAATTTTCCACTTTATTCCATTTAATGCGTCTAGATATAATCGCTTGCGTTTCCAGCCTGAAAGTGTTAACGGAGCAGTTTTTAAGCTATTTCAAGTCTGTCTTGTTGTGTGCTTTCCGAAGCAGCACGCATGTCTTTGTGCTTCTCTGTTGCTCCCTCAACTCAATAGTTACTATGATATTGAAAGTTCCATAAACAAAAACACTAATGTGAAGAAATTACTCCGGGGACATTAAACCAGTGATGCAGTTTCAAGTAAAGTCCTGCTCTGGGCATCTGTAGGAGAGTTTTAGGGATTAATCAAAAACAAATCCCACAGCCCTAATCAAACACTACAATATAACCTACTGTCACAAATAGCACAGACTGTAGACATCATCCCGAGACATGTTAGCCTGGGACCCTGAAGAGGCATAGTAGGTAGGGCAGGTAGTCTGCTAAGGTAGGAAGGAAAGGGGGAGGTGTTTTGCCAGCAAACATTACTGCAAAGTGCAAAGTGAGCGCGGGAAAAAAAGATCTACTGTATAGGAACTTGATCAGCTGTTTAGTGAAACCTTAGCTAGAAGACATTACAATCCAAAGTGAGTCACAGCCCCACTGTACATTTTTCCATCTTGCAATCCCCAACAGGGACTCCTCGCATGCACTTGCAGGACCTACTTCGCTTTTACTGATCTCTCAGCTAGCGTGGCGTCTCAGCTGAAAGAGCAACAGAGAACCCACTGGAAGGCAGTGGAACGACTGTCAAAGCTTTCCAGTCCAGCCTGAAACCCTCTCCCTTCCTGAAAGCAGCCGGGGGGGACAGAAGGTGCAGATCTGCTGACAATGTAGCTATTGAGACGTTAAGCGAGATTAATTTTCTTTTGTCCATTTTAACATGGGATCTGGAAAAAGAACCCGATTGAGAAAGTGAAGCACCCTGTTCTGCATGGAGACAGAAGGCTTTGAATGTCATCCCTGGAGTAGGATGTGCAAGGAGCATGAAATGGAAGAGCAGGGAAACGTGGGAATTCACGTCCGCTGTGAGAAGGGTAGAAGGACAGAGCGTGGGCTCACCGCCACTTTGGCCTCTGCTGCCTTGGCTTTCTTTAGCCGGGCTTTGCAGGCGTCCAGATCCAGCCTGCGGTTCTGAAGGACACGTCTCTCCTTCTGCAGGAGAGAAAAAGGACAGGAACAGGGGAATACCAGGGGATTGGCTTTTTTACTCGGATTCAGACCAAAAAAAAAAAAAAGAAAACACAGAAAACTGAATTATTTTTAAACTTGGGTAAAAGTGCTGGCTAGCAAACTGCTCTGCTCTGCTCTTTCTGCATCTGATGGACAGGCTGCCACCATCGCAGTTCTGCTCTCAAACGCAGCCCGTCTGTGACGGTGGTGCGTCAGGCTGAGCGCCGGTCCTGTGGCTTTCCTCCGAGCAACGCAGCAATACAGAACAAGAAACCGATACATTTGCTTTGCATTTTTCTGGTTGCCATTTACTATTTTAATAAAATAAAACAATGCACTGAGGAGGCTAGTATATCCAAACTTCAAATAAGACAATCCAGTCCACATTAGGAAGCTTGTCTTATACGAACCGAATGTTAATCCCTTTGGTTAGCAGTTAGATCAGAAAACTAAAGCAATTTTGTCCAGGACATTGCTTTTTTTTTTTTTTTTTTTTTTATGCGGATAGAAAGGCTTAATATTTTTGTCCGTTTTCCATGAACAGGCTGCAACGAGACACGACAGCCATGGGGGGCTCCCTGGATGTGCGGATCTGCAGGACCAGCAGCTGCACAAGCAACATTGGGGTCACGCGCCCACACTCACAGAAATGGTCCTCCAGTCCCCCTCCAGGAAGTTCCTGAGTGGGGTGAGGAAGCTGATGGAGGTCGCCTGCATGAACTCGCGCTCCGCACCGCCCAGGCGCCGCTGGCTCTCCCCCACCTTGATCAGGGTGCTTCCTGCAAGAGAGCAACGAGCAAAGAGGCCGCTCACTCAGCCCGCCAACGATGGGCCTTCAAGGCCTGGCAGCCCAGTGCAAAGACAAAATACAGCAACCACTCAAGGCATGCTAAAACACAAATCGATCAACGTATAGCTGAACACCAGAACCCAGAGGGCCGGTGTGCCTGCAGGTGTTGAAGGGACTCTGTAAAAGCAGCAGCTCCTGAAGAGCAGGGAGAAGCTCTTCAGTTGACGGTTTAGCCCGTTAGCAGCAGAGCTGGAATGAACACCTGCAGGATCAGGACTGGACCCCCCTGCACAAACGATTCGGTTACAGACAGCTTTGCCAACACTGGGTCACGCAGTCACCACTTGCGAAACGAGGGAAAAGGGAAACATTTTATGCATGTCAGACGCTCACACAATCTGCAGGGAGACACTTTAAATCCCGCCTCTCCCCGGTGGGATAAAGGCATTATTAATCCATTCTGCTCAACTGCGAGATCGGGGAATGTACAGCCTCTGGAATTAATCATGTTACATCTACACATCAAATTAAAAAATAAACAAACAAGAGTCGTGCTAATGCAAAGCAGACATATCATGCCACGTCTGTTAAATTATACAGTATATCCTCCAGCCAGGGCTCATCAGCTTCCCAGTATATGAGTTAGGGGCTCACTTTTATATACATTACATCCCAGTATAAGAGTTTCTACAACGTCTTGACTAGAGCACAAGTAATTCATCAGGTTTCTTCCCACATTTGGGCTGCGCTGATAAATAATTCAAGAACAATCTAAGCTTCCTTTAAAAACAAATTCAGGAATACCACAAGCACCTGGGGACCGGTGAGCTAAGTGAAGTCATTCCCCTTTTAAAGTGGAACTGCAAGGCAATTTTTTTATTTAAGAGTGAGAAAGAATCCGAATTGATGAGGGCATTTCAAACCACAATGAAAGTAAAATGTACACAGTAACTTATAAAACCTCCAATTTACATCACAAAACAGACTCAATTTCCAAGTGCATGCAACACCTTGTTCCAGGGGGAAACTGGAGCACCTAGAGGTCACACACCCAAACACAGGGAGAACAGACAAACTCCTGGGCCAGAATCGAACCCAGGGCCCTAATGTCCCACCCACACAGGATCCATCACCACTGACAGGAAGAGTCTCTTTGAGACAAGACTCTTCAGCTACTTTCAAGACAAAAAGAGAACAAGCAACGCTAACAAAAGGCCATTCAGTCATTCACATTGGATTGCTGGTGGCTTATGAAGAAGATCTCATCCAGCTCTTCCCCATGACCCCAGGTTTTCAAAAAACAGGGCCATTGTTTTTTGAAAATGAACAAAGGTCAGACATGTGGCTGTCATGAGGCTATTTCTAGCGCATCATAATAATAAAAAACCCTGTTTTTTCCTGCCTTCAATAAGATCGATTCCTGCAGGCTGCACAACTCTGGCTTTAACTACCAGAATGTTCACAGCGCGCTGCAATCAATTATTTACAACTTGAGCAGCAAAGTGGAACGGTGATGTAATGTCTTTCCCCAGCCTGCCCAGCACTTACTCTACAGTCATGAAGGATAATGTCATTGAAAAACAGGCATACCTAGAACAGCACTGTACCGGGCAAGGAACAAGGAGGCTCTTGTGAGAGTAATGCTTCCGAGACTGAAGAGAAGGACGTATAAATCACACACCACAAGCGCTACAAATAATCATGAGCATTCCCATCACATGAGAATTTATTTGATTAAATTCAATTTCTCGTTCTTAGGCTGATCCCCAGCTCCAGAGCAATCTACTCTATTAGCTAATTATCTTCAGGACTATTGCGAAAGGAGCTGTTCAAGCGCCAGCCTGCATGCGTCACTCTCCCCTGAAAGGCATTCCGCGCCTCAGGGGGGAACGGCCGGGATGAGGGATGGATTCCTTTTGGATAACGGGATCGAACCGCTGCTGTGCCTCTCGCCCAGGGCGGGCAAAACAGGGACCCCAAAACATGCCTGAGTGGGACTAAGGTTCGACGAAGGTTTTCTAACGGAGGCCTTACTGTTCCATTATACAAGCTTACATAATCATTCTTGATTTAAATTCTGCGCTTTTGGCTTTGAAGCCTAAGATTTTGCTGGCATTTATTATTTTTTCATGATTAATTCCCCACAATTTCTAGAAGATGGAAATGATGTGTAAACATACAGTACAACCCTTTTTAAAAAGTCTCTTTTATAAATAGCTTCTTCTAGCTCCGTGTATCCCTTTATGCATCTGTAGTTAGGTTTTGGTACCTGCATGCAAAACCCTACACTTGTCAACATTAAACATCTGGCTGGTGCTTGCAGTCTTGAATCTTACCTACATTTTTTTTAATTTTATGTGCCGCGGTGTTTTCTAATCCTACTAATGTAGTGCTTTCACCTAGAAACAGTACCGGTAAACAAGATACAGCAAACCAGGTAGAGCAGTGGTCCCAGTATAGCTGCCTGTGGGAACTCCACAAACTACGTCACCTCCAGTCTGAGCATCCCCCATCATTATTTATTATGGCCATTATATACAGTATTAACCACCTCTCAACCCAAACACCCTGCATCACATGAAAAAAGAGTGACCAACGAATGAACTCAGTTTTCTGTAGACATATCTATCGCACAACACAACGATGGCCAAGATGAACCAAAGGTTACACAAAGAACCCTGCTGTTCTTCCGTGCCAGTAGATCACAGCACACAACAGCACGACAATGGTGAGAAGGGGGTGAAAGTCACAGTTTAGTACCGAATAAACAGGGATGTGACTAAAGAAGTGGTTTATTAATCACACACACTGAGTTGTCCTGCTACATACCTCAAGTGCGAGGGGTAATCATTTTAACAGCCCAGCTAGTAACAGGTCAAATAACTCTGCTTCTTAGGGAACGTGTGCTGAGAATATTTCAGTCATGACAAGCCATATATACACACTAATAAATGCTCTTGCTTTGCATTGCATCTTGCCTAAGCAGTTACTGCAATTTAGAGTGTAGAAAAAAAAAACTCTTTCCTGGTTAATTAAATTATTTTGAAATGCTGAAAACCAAAGCATCCTTCGGTCGTGACTTTCAATACAACTAGGTTTGAGCCACAAGGATCCCCGGTTTTTTAGCATCCCAAATCTAAATTATTAACAGAGAAACAAGAGCCAAAACCGAAGCCCAGAGACAAGGCCTAACAAAAAAGCAGTCTCCGAAGATGGATGCCTCCCCAAAGTAACTCCACTCTCCACAGAAGACAAAGCTTGGACCGAAACACAGTGAGCTGCTGAGCAACAAATGAACAAAGGAAACACGGTGTCTGCAGGCAATGTTTTTCTGGAAATAAAACAAAGAACAAAAACATTCTGCTGTTAGTAAAACCTATTTCCCCAATACAAACCACACCATCTGTTTATTGTGCGTATAATCAAATACACTTCCTAAAAATACTCTTCTCTGATAAGGGATAAGAACACACAGAGGAATGGGCAGAGCCCAATTAATAATGCTATTGTGGGTGTTGATGCAATTCTCCACTTTTAAAAGGAGAAAGGAACAAAATGTAATGGGCTAGGAGGACAGCAACCTCCTGTGACATATAAAGCCCTTTAACCTTTCTCTAACCACTAGACAAGCCTTCCTTTTCCATAAAGGTGAAGAAGGCCTTCAAAACAGCTGTTAAAAATCGCTAGGCTGTGCCGTCTCCCTTAGCGAGAGCCTTTATTAGGACAAGTGCCCATCCAGACATTGTTGGAAGGAGTGGAGTGGATCTCTGTGCCTGCCACCATTCATTAAAAAGCACTTCAAATATTGAAAGCCCACTTATTCCTGTAGATTTCATCTGTCATTTGAGAAAAGTTTCCTAGGGAAAAATCATTTTAAAAAAGGTGGTCACCAGTAAAAGCCGATTTAAATTGCACTCAAGGTTCTGTGGGATTGCGATTAAGAGAGAAGAAAAAAAGGCTAGAAATAAAAGAAAAACATGAAATGTGATTCATTTCATTAAAGCCTAAGACAAAAACCGAGACTGAAACGAATGATAACCAAAGGGCAAAGACAAATTCATTTCACTTTCCTGTGAGAAGCTGCCATCAGGTCACAAGCCTGGAATGAGGTATTAATGACCGATTTAAAACAAGCCTTCGTCTGCGGCGTGACTCTTTAAGCAACTGTAAAGAGTCCACAGCGAGAAGCGTGAAGTTCTGCGCTGTTGTCTGTGGTCTTCGCACTCCTGCTGGAAGCCCAGTGGCTGAACTAGACAACTGGCACCACCTTCCAACACTTTTCCCACGCCCACCTGTACGGACAGCATCTACAGACTCATCCGTGCTTTCATTAGTTCTGCCGTCTTGCAGTATTTTTCCTATTGTATAAATTATAGTTGATTTGCAAAGTTCTTTGTCATACCACCCTGCACTAAGTACAGTATATAACTCTAAAGCATTTAGTCTATTACAGCCCAGTGATCGTTCTGAAGGAGCATCACCTTGGACAAAGAAGCTGATTAAATGAATAACAAGAGACAAGTACAGGGAACTGAACACACCACGTCCTTCACAGATGATTTCTGTCAATCAGAACAGCTCAGGTTTGTACGAATGGCTGAACTCGCACTGCAGCCTCAGAAAAATCCTTCCTTATCTCGGTCATCACATGTTAATCCTGACTTCAGAGGTCTTCAGTTGAACACAAGATGAAACAAGAATTGGGCATTTTAGCAAAATAACACCACAAAGTGCCTCTCTCGCCACCTCTGTCACTGCCTAGGCTGTGCGACGCAGTGGCTGCTGCTGCTCACAGGAGTCCTGCTGAGAGCTGCAGTGTGTGGGAGAGGCACTGTGCTTGCTTGTCATAAACAGCCTGACAGCCTGCCCGCTTCCACACAGCGCAGGGAGAACCGGTTGGCACAGAAATAAAACGGCTAAGGTTTCAGGATTACCAAGATCTGTAACTGATGTTTTAATGGAGGCACCACCGTTCATATCTTGTTAAAGTGTCTTGCCTCAGCTCAAAGTGGTTTTAATCGATTTTGCCATGACAAAACCTCCTTTTACAGACAAGAGTTTGAAAATGTCTGCGATACTTTAGCACTGCTAAATAGCAGAAGACTACGTGTTGTCCATGTTGGCACCTGTGCATCCAGCCACCTGAAACCACATCGTCTTCAGAGCACCAAGTGAGGAAGCACATTTGGACGGTAGATCAACAAGAGAACAAACAGGATCATAACCAACAGGCCACGTCATCTATGGGGATGGGGGTGGAGAGGTTAGCGTTGCTGCCTTGCACTGGGTTCGTTTCCTGGGCTGCTGTCTGTGTGGACTTTTAAATGTTCTCCCCGTGCTCACATGGGTATCCACCACGTGCTCTGGATTCCTCCCACAGTCCAAGTACATTCTGGTACATTTGGCTTTGGAAAAATTGGCCCAGGTGCGAGTGTGTGTGTGTGATGGACTGGTGGTACCCTGCCTTGCACCCGTGGCTTGCTGGGATGGGACAGGCTCCGGCTCGCCTGCAACCCCCAACTGGATGAAGCAGCTAGAGAACGGAAGGGCAGAGGGATGGATGGAATTCCAACACAAGTGGTTTTGGCTGTAGTAGATTGATTTTTCTCTCCCCTAAAAGTTCCATCACCCTCAGGGGAAAAAAAGGAGACAGCTTTTGCAAACAACTCGGTTGAAGAGACCAGAGCACATGGGCTATCGATTCTCTAGAGCCGCCTTTCCGCTCTCTGCTTTTGTGAGGGAAAAAAAGACATTGATTTCCTGGTATGATGGATGGAGGAGAGGCAGTAGGGTCACGAGTGGGAAAAACAGCTCTGAGCCTCGTCAAACCCCCACTGAAGAGGGGGGACTCCTGCCAGGGCCCGACGGCCTCGGCACCGCCCGTCTAAAAATCAGGCAAGCAACACCGAGACGGAACGACACTGGCTGGAGTCCGGCAAAAGAATTGTACGGACCTGCCAGGACAAAAGCATGGAAACAAGAGATGGAGCGAGATCGAAACATCTGCTTTTCCTCTCGTGAAAGAAAACAGCTTTGCGTCTCATTTTTATATTCCTTTACCATTAAAGCAAGCGAGCGACAGAACATCACAAAACAAACCAAATGTAATGCTAATAACACGTGGAGTGGCTAGTGCAAATATTTAAATTTACAGCAGAGCGCGTAGGAGGGGGGCCCTATTTTGCCTTGTTATTGTAGGCCCGTTAAATCTCTGCTTTGGCAAATGCTTTACAGCAGCAGAAGCTCATTGGAAAGGAGAGGTCAAAGACCCACTGGGAGTCCAGATGGCAGAGGAGTGGGAGAGAGAGGCGCACAAAAGAGCGAGCTGGGTAATTTACAGAATCCTGAGTGATCGCAATTTTCTCACTTAGAGGGAAAAGAAACTGCTGCACTTGGCCAACAAGGAACATCAAGACTACCGAAGCATATAGTTTAGTAAAAATCACCAAGGTGAAAGCACGCAAGCTTCGTCACAACACCTTGGTGCTTACTGCAGGGGCTAGGACGTCACAGGCAATCAGGAAGGAAAAGCACTGGACAAGGAGAATGCCGAGATATATCTCTGAATCCCCAATCACCAGGTGAGCTTCTTGCTGGAAGTCCAGTAGGCCATGCATGCTTCCGGACTTCGACCACTGACCGTAAGGTGTTCCGGGTCCGAAGTCGTTAGCGGCCTCCAGCATGTACTGGCCCAGGAGCTCGCCATTAGTGGTCCGAGACGGGATCTTCCGGTCGAGCTTCTCGAACAGGAACTCCTCGATCCGTGCACCTGGACAGGGCAAAGACAGAAAACACGAGGGGTGTTGGAGGAGGCGGCCCAGAATAATCGATACGCTGTCTGGAGGGCTGGGTCTGTGCTGCTCACCACTGGACATGACAAGGGTCTTTCAGACCACCGAAGCCATGCCACAGACCCCTTCACAAGGAAGCCAGCAGGCATGCTTCAGTCGACTGCAGACTTAATATTGCAGCTATTGTGCAAATGGATAAATTGCCATTTATTTAATTAAAATGGATTATTGCTTCAATCCTTAAGGCATCAGGCTATTAAGGATAATCTTAAATTTTGTAAAAACAATCTATGTAAATTTTGCAGTGGTTTTAAATCCTCGCGAACATAATTGTTCATATTTTCACAGAACACAGAAAAAGACAAAACAAAGATGACAACAGCATGCATGTCAAAGACACAGTCAAGAATACAAGAGCAACCTTAATCAACACTGAGAATGGCTACAGTAACACTGCTGTACATGGGTGTTTGAAAGGCAAAGCTAACTTACTGGAATCCTTCATAAGGCTGTGGACCACTAATCTAACCAGGCAACCTAAAAAGCATTACAGTAGCTAGGTCTGGGGTTTCCATTTCCTGTTCACACGATAGGGAATATTCAACCACTTAAAATTGTGCATTGAAATAGTCCAATTAAAGCAATTTAAGCCTTTCTCAGGTGTAAAGTCTGTGCATACTGTATCTTGTAGAGAAAATCAACAAGATGGCAGCTTCCAATCACTCCAATTCTTAGTGACTCAGTGCTGGTTATTATGGAATTCCCAATTTAAATCCTAGCAACAATTAGACTACTGTACACGCTACACTGGGGGGGGTTAGTTAAACCATTTCAACTACATTCTCCACACAGAGGAAAAGCTCCCGCCAACTGCGTAGCTCACTGCTGATTAATAACTGTACGTATCCTATTGGCAGGAAGAGGAATGGGCTGTGGGGCAGAGCATGCAGGCGGTACAGCTTGGCCATCACATGGCTAGAATATTGTAATTAAGCATCAGGAAGGCTACAGTAAAACAGGCTTGCTTGCAACCTGAGGGACACCAGCTAAGCACCTCCACTGCTAGCTCTAGAAGAGCAGGAGGGATCTAGAGCAAAGCGAGTCTCCATGTCCACAGCCCCGCATGACACCGTGCACAGAACGCACTGGTGACAAAGGCTGTACCGGTCTCCCAGTCCTCGGGACACGGCGAACCGCTCTGCACCTGGCTGATTTCGTTTCGGCCATCGCCCCGTGTCTGGAGCGTCAACAAGGACGTTGACCCGACCCCCGGATTATGAAACGCACGCTGGACGTATTCAACCTGCGGAGTTACTGTGCCTGTGAGGCAGTGAGCTCTGTGCCACTCTCAGTCTGTTGTGCTGTAAAACGATCGGAGGCTTTGATAATTCTCCAGCCAGCCTGTGCTGCCAGACCATTATCAACAGGCTCCACTGGCCAAAGAACAGGTGTTAGCTGGTATCTGGCTATTTACCCCACCCCATCCAAACAGAGCACCCAGCGGCAGACAGAGAACAGGCCAACTGTCAAAGACTGGCGATGCTCCTTCTACAGGAAGAAATAAAACAGCCGCAAAGGACTTACAAAACGTCACTGTTCACCCAACCATGCGGCTGAAGAAAATGCGTTTCATTACCTCCATACACCAGAACGAGGTTTCACAGGACAGTGAAGAACCTTCATGTAAGTTTATGATGAGAAAAATCTGAACAAAAAATGTACTGGACCTCACAGCTGTAAATCTGTTAATTTATGGAAATAAAGAACTAACATTAGACATTGAAATTCTGCAAATTTAACTTATTTAAATGATTAAAATGTCTGAATTTTTAAACTTGATTATATGGGTTTCTGAAACATTCGCATATCCAACAATTTGAACATGCAGTGTTTTTTTCTGTACATACAGTAGCTCTTCCGGTGGCGTCTCCAGACTGATTGAGGATGATTATAACACCATGCAGTTTTGGACACTGTTCAATATTTCTATCTGAATTATTATTTTTTTTATTATTTACTGTGTAAATGTATCTGCATTCAAATAAATAATTTTTCATTGGAAGTATCCATGTGTTTTATCAATATATTTGAAAATGCAGGTGGAGAGAAAAATTGATCAAACTGCTATGCAAAAGGGAGTCTCAAGTCATAAGTCACTGACACCTTCTACTCCGAGATAAATGAACACTTAGTATGTCAAGTGCTGTTAATTCATTAGTAATAACTAATTAATATTGCTTGGATATTACAATTCCTTTAGAGTATAAAAGATCTCTAATGAAACAAAATATAAATACAGTGAAGAAATAAACTCTCCTGGACAACCATACAACACGGGGTGGTGTTTAAGGTTTCGCCTCAGATAAGTGTCAAAAAAGCGGCCTAATAAACAGTACAAGCCCTGCTGCTCAGCGTCTGAAACCTAGCAGGAGATTTTCACAGCCTGCTTAGATTAGAAACAGCTCTTCGCCTGGGAGAAGCATCACATTGAGCCAATTAAGCCTTCAATGGGTCAGTTTATTCCATCTCTCCAGCCCCAAGCTGAAAAACCTGCTTTCTTATGCAGCCCGTGGGCTTGAACCCCTGTCCTCTACCACCATCTCCGAGCAGTGAAGGCAACCAAGAACCAGCTTAACACGAGTTCTTTCTACCAGTACAATACACGTATCTGGGAGATCAGGCCCAGCTCGACGGGATTACGGTTAAGAAATGTGAACTTACCCGTATGATCAACTGTAGCATGCAAGATCAGAAAGTAATAGATTAGAGCTCCCTACTCTTGAGGAAAGAGTCAGAGCTTTTAACACAGCATGTTCATGACTAAGACAGACCGCGGACTCTCTACAACTACAGCAGTTTACCGCACAATTGCCTTAACTTTAGATCCTCGCAAAGCAACAAAACTGACGCATTCTCTTTTCGACTGGGCTCTGACAAGCTCTGCTTGTATTTGGCATGACTTAAATTCTAAGCTTGCCTTGTGGTTCGATGTTTGATGCAAAACCCTGCGGTCCCATACAGAAAACAAAAAGTTTTCCCCAAGCAAGCATAATAAAAGATTGTTTTGCATTCAGAACAAACATTTTCTATATATATATAACGTAAGTGAATAAGTGGGTGATAAATATACTGTATGCATGACATTGCTGTCAACATATTAAAAATGTTTGCTCCATGTGAGTTTAGAGGAAAATGTAAAATATAGATCTAAGTAACACAGGATACAAGTTCTACTGTGCTATAGTTGCAGAATCTTACAAATACTTGTAATCTATTTCAATCAGACAGCTCAATAAACACATGATAAACTCTGTAGTATTCTTGCACTCACCCACAGAAACCCTTGGCACTACAATATTGCTCTGAGAGTAGAAAGAGCAGTGATGTCACCAGCCCCTGGGGTGAGAGTAAGTTAACAACAACCATGTTGTTCCTGGTCTATTTTCTTAGGCTGAAGAACAACACATCTCTGGTGCAAGCAAGTAAAAAAGCATCTCTATTTACTACAAGCCTTTGTATGAAGAACACCAGCTCAATTAGGTCAATACAGCAGGATATCAAAAACCTCTACATCACAACAAATCAGGAGGCTAGGACTTAAAACCTGCTATCACTGCATTTTATTACTACTAATCTCCATTCTAACAAAACCGCCTTAAATGACTTGCTGAATTCCTTAAGATATAAGGCGACCAACACTGGGCCTAATGTCACCCCAGTACATTTAAATTGAGGAAAATTGAAAGCAGCCATAACAGGGATCCTGGATTCCTAGGGGACAAGGACACATGGCAGAAATACGAAAGCAAGAAAGTTACACAGATATCGACAGTCTGCACGCAGAAGACTGGATGGGGTCAGCCTCTCAGAGATAAACAGCAAAGACTGATCATCTCAACCAGACCTTCCCAGCTCCTCCGTTTAAGGACATTCAAGTCTTGCAGACCTTCTGAAATAGCCAGTTAGGCTTAGGGCTACAGACTATACTGTACTTGTACTTAGGTCACTTGTTTTTAATAACTGGCAACACCTGCAAAGCTATTAATGAATCAAGAGTGCAGTCTTTCTGTACAATTAAAAGAACACTGGTTCTCGAGTCAGTAGTTTGGTCTTAAATTATCTCTAACTTACTTAATTTAACAAACTATCTGCTTACTGGAGCACATTGAAACTGCTCCATATATTTAGCAAGTGGTGATTTAATGGTGACCTACAAAACCTGTTGGATTGGGGCTCTTTAGACCAGGCTTAGAGATCCCATGTCTTTAGTCACCAGCAGGCTCAGACCTGGGCAGAGGCTTACATTGGTTCAGTCAGTTCTTTATTTAGCAACTTTAACTCTGTGAGGTCTCGCACTGTTGATAGTTTAAAGAGACCTACCATTCCCTCTCTTCAAGAGCAGAGTACTGGGGTCCTGACATAGACTACCCATCCTAATATCTGAACTCTCACTCTTGGGACTGTAAAGATATGGTCTTCATTCACCAGACATCTCAACAACTTAACTGAGTAGCTCAATAACCCATTCCTGGACCTGGAGAACAACACCTTCTCATCCCAGCAGAGCTTAATTACCGAACCGAAGCCTTAACTGAATTAACAAGAGGCTTGATTGGATTGCTTGCAAATTACCTTCCCCCCCAACTCAGAAGTTTGCGTTTTTAACATACTTGGGAAATGCAGTAGTTAAAAGGTGACTTCCAATATATTCAAGCTGAAAACAGTCAATCAGTTCCCATTAATCCTATTATTAGGTCAGGTAAAGGTCCAATTGTGTAACTGAGACCTTGGATGGAACAGAAACCAGCAGGTATGGGAGTCTCCAGGACCAGGACTGGGAAACATCCAACCATTTTCGAACCATTGCATCTCCCACAAGACACCCTTACACCTCGGAGCAATTTTCCGGGACACCCATTAACCTGCCAGCATGTCTTTGGACTGCGGGAGGGAACTCGTGTGTGCGTACAAACTCCACACAGACAGCGCCCCAGGAATTGAACCCAGGGCCCCAGTGCTGTGAGGCAGCAATGCCAACCACTGGTGGCAACCTCTGGTCTAAATTACTGCTGTTCTGGTTTAGCCACTGAGGAATGTACGTTATTCATCAATTAAAAAGACTATGTCTGCTGGGGACCAAGAGAAAGCAAACCAGCGCCAGCATCTCTCCTCAGATTCGTGCCCCCACTCAGAATTCCTTCTTCTTTATGAGGGTCAACAGTATTTGATTATCCAAATGTATTCTTTAGACGGCAGGTCTAAGATTTAAGAGTGTCACAGCACCCTTTAAAATGTTGCAACATTTAGCGGGAAACAAAAGCCAGGTGTTTGTTTTACAAAAAACAAAAAGTACAAATGGGTCAGCATCATCGTGATTCGATAGCAGAGTGAGCCAATGCATGAGATCGGATCCTTGGTACAGGGCAAAGCAGCAGATTGTTTCTACTCAATCTCTGATGTCTGAAATCAGCTGAAGCGGAGGATTCCCCACCCAGCACCAATCTCCTCGGCCTGCAGGAGGTGGAAAGGTGGCGCGTCTCACCTGGGTTGGGCTGGAGCAGGGCCTCGGTCTGTCTGAAGATCTTCTCGGTCCAGTTCTTGGTGCTGTCGGCTCGGGCCAGCAGATTCTCAAGGTGGGCATCCAACTCCGTCTTTTCTGCCTGGCCCAGCTTCTCCTCTGTGAACTGCAGGAGGAACATGTCCATCAGCCCCAGAACGTTCACATCTAGCACAGCCGGTTAACGCACTCGGAGGCTAACGAAGCAATAGGAACCCCTCAAGAATCATAACACCCTCGGATACCTTCCAGTGGAGTTAGCATTGCAAGATCTAAGAGATTTTCTTAAAAAATTTAGATGATGATGATGCACCCTTACCAAAACGTACAGCATTCCAAGATGTGCCAGTTAGTCACTCTGTTACTTTGGGAAATATACAGAGAGGCTGTATATATAGAATGTGTTCCAATGTGTTCCAGCCTCTCTGCATGGGAAATTAAAGAATAGTTTGCATTTTTAATGTTTCTCAGTATAGTAACTCCAACCAGTCCTTCAAATACAATCATCAGGTTTTGGGACTTATGGAGCACTTTGCATTTCTAGGATTTGAACAGGTATTAAAGACTTCCAAAACTCAGGAAATGTTTGCATTTAAGCTGCAGGATGTTTTCTCAGTTTCTCCGTTTACAAAGCAAAATTACAAAAATGAGTAAAAACAGTATGTCAGACTATATGGCACTGAAGTTTGACTCAAACACTACAAGATGATTCAACGTGCACCCTAAACCATAATCTGCTGAGCTGACAATTTTCCTGATAAAAATGACAGTATGATGGTGGCATGAAAAGACATCTTAAGCCCTTTGTTTTAAGTATTGATAGACACAGGGTTATAGAAATCATCTCCAGTCAGAAATAACATTGAAGAAAAAGCTGCACAAACAATCATGGCCTGAACAATAGAAAAGCTAAAAAAAAGCCTATTACAGAGAAGCATGGCCCACTTCACATCTTACAAGCTTTGGGCACATACAATATGTAATTGATGAAGCAATAGCACATATCTGTAAAAGCGTAAATTTGTAATTCCGTTAAAAAAAAAAAAAAAAAAAAAAAAAAAATCGATCTGTTCATTTTCTAACTTTAAGCCTCAGTCTTCAATGCTTTAGATTCTCAAGCAGGAGACTCCTGGTCCTGGAGGGCTGGTGTGTATGCAGGTGTTTTAGGTCTCTGTAACGCAGCAGCACCTGAAGAGCAGGGAGAAGCTGGCAATGTGGGCTGCTTTAGGTCAGCAAGAGCTTTCCAAGCTGGAAAGAAGACCAGAGCTTTGGACTCCTAATATAGACCAGAGCATATTTTACAGAATAATTATAGTTTAACGCAGAAACATAAGTGCGCAGTAGGAAAGGAATTTCATTCTTTAAAAACCCATGAAGAAATTGAGCATTTCAGTCAAACTTCATTGAGTAACAGCGAGTCTTATCAATGCATGTTAAGGTGTGATGTGCCACATGGAATATGAAATCATCCAGACATTGCCTGGGATATTCATTACAGTCCCACCACCAGCCTCAGCCTTCAGACTTGGAATAAAAGAATCAATATTCACATTGTAAAACTAGGCAGGCCGGCAGCCCTGGTGCTGGTACCCCGTCCCGTCTCCTCCTGACCCATGTGACAGTCACGCTGCGGATCCCTGGTGCCATTTGGATTATTAATGACTCAACACCAAAACAACGGCAGGAAACAATTCTCCCAAAATGCACAACAGGAAGTGGATTTGTGCAGACCAGTTTACGTAAAGACTGATAGGCTTGAATTAACGAGGGACATTGTTAACACGAGTAAATAAACACCCTCTATGGCAAAAACCACAATCTAAAGCTTATAGAAGATTAATATCAGCTGTCAATATGATATATGAGGACTAAACCCACAACT